AATCGCAACAACAGCATCAACAGCAACAACAGCAACAGCAGCGAAAACCACAGCAACCGCAAGGACAGAGAATGCCCCCTCCAGCGGTCCCACAAACAGCCCCTCAAGCAGCGCCACAGGCAGCTCCTCAGGCCCCCCCACCCGCACCCCCCCAACAAGCCCCACCTCGTGGATGGAAGGCAGGCACCTGGGCCGCCGTGGCCTCGGTACCCGGTCCTGCCCAAGGTAACTTCCAGGTCATCGAGAGGAAAAAGAAGTCCGCAAAGCCAAAAGCGGATCCCCTCTTCAAACCAGAGTACACCAAGATCAACAGGGAGATCATCGTGGAAACTACTGCCCCATCCGACGTTAACCCCTCCGAGATCAGAACCCTCGTCAATGCAAGAATCCAAGACGAGTCCTGCCATTTCATTTCGGCAAGAAGAACACCCAAGGACAACTTCATCCTGGAAACAAAATTCGTTACCCCTGCAACAAAGGCAATGGAATATGCCAAAGAAATTGAGGAGGCCCTCCTCACCCTACAGGTACCGGTCGCTGTCATCCGCGCAAACTCCAAATGGTCAAAGTTTCTCCTCCACGGAATCCCCACAACGGTCGGGGAGGGCATTGAGGCGGGACAACTAGTAGCATCAGAAATCAGAAGCAACTATGGAGAGAACTTCCAACTTGCCCAGGTTCCCCGCTGGATATCCAGGGCAGAAACTCAAATGGAGAAAACCCACTCATCAATGGTAATCGCGCTCCCAGGACAAGTCACAATGGAAACACTAGGAGTTAAGTTCCTATCCCTCTTTAACCGGAGCTGCCACATCGAGGCCTTCCTCCCAACCTTCCCAGACACCCAATGCACGAAGTGCCTCGAATACGGTCACCGCCAGGAGAAATGCAAAAACAGTGGGAGATGCGGTCATTGTGCCGGAGATCATCTCACCAGCTTCCACCCATGCAATCAATGCCAGGGAGGATACAGATGCACCCACACCCCAATCAGATGTCTGAACTGTAAAGGAATCCATAAGGCCTCCGACCCAGCATGCCCCGAAAGAGTTAAACGCCGATTCCTCAACAAAGGAAAGGAAAACGCCCCACCCGCTCAAGATCCACCGGCCGCACCCATCCAGGAGCCGCTTCCGGTAGTTCAAGTACCAGCCACCACCCCAGTCGGAGCAACACCCGTTCCCGAAGACGACCAACACATGACAAATAATGCTTAGGCCTCGAACCACCGCGCTCGCACACCAACTCAATTGTGCACGGAGCGAACTTATCACCAAGGCGGCGGTAGAAGAAGCGGAAACAGACTCTAGTATTTATTTTCTATTACTACAAGAACCATGGACCTCAGCAGAGGGATACCCACCAGAATCAAATCTCTTTTATATTTTTACGGCCAGCAACACCAATACAAAATGTGCAACATACGTCCGCAAACATGCCAATCTCAAACCAAAACACCACTACACACACGATAATTTCATAGTATCGATTACGGTAGAAATCCAAACCAAAAAAACCCAAATCCTAAACATATACTCCCCAGGCCGAAGTGGCCCCTTCGCCCAAATAGCAAGTACAATCCAAACCCTTGATAACTGTCTAGTAATGGGAGACTTCAACTGCCACCATCAGATGTGGTACGGAGTAAATTCACATGAATACAGAAACAACATCCGAGCAGACCGGGTCAACGGCGCACGGTTAAAACGATGGATAACCCGACAGAAATTGACCCTCCTGAATGAACCAGGCGTCTTTACGCACTTCCCCAGAGACAGAGGGAAAAGGCCTACAACCATCGACCTTGCATTTGTTAAAGGCCCAACACTCGACCACAACCTACGATGGAGCACCGAACCCTATGGAGCGGGCTCAGACCACGGGAGAACCTCCGTCCACTTACACTTGGAGAAACCACCTTTTGTACCAAGACGAATGTGGCGACAAACAGACTGGAAGCTATTGGAGAACCACATGTCAAACATCTCCATCCCTGCAGAGGCATGGGAAACCAAGGAACACACGGAACAAACTGTCGATTTCTTCCTAGAACTGGTTAGGTCAACAGTCAGCATAGTAACACCACTCTCGAAGGAGGGAGTAAGAGCCAACTCCTGGTGGTCAGATGAGATGAAACAGATGAAGGCAAGGGTAAACGCAGTAGAAAGGAAGGCGAGAAATACAAGGAAATCCAATCAAGTGGAGGAACACCGGAAGGCTTGCAGAGAATGGACAGCCATGATCCGGAAAGCGAAAGCGGACCAGCGGGAAAAGACGATGAACGAGGCGAAAGGTAGTGAAGTCTGGAGAATCCTAAGCGCGGGAAGGAGAAGAGACACAATCATACCAACCATACAAGGTGAAGAAACGTTCACGGGGAAGTGTCAAGCTCTAAGAGCCCAACTTTTCCCCTCGAAACGGACGTCCCCCGACCATCCCCCCTTGAACATTAGACCCCCCTCTTTTGACCTTAGCAACACCTTCGACAGAGTCACCCCCGAAGAACTTAACAAAGCAATCGACTCCTGCCCAGCGCACTCGGCGACTGGCCCGGATGGCATCCCTTATACCTTTATCAAAGCTATAGTCAAAGCAAACACAACTCTAATCCAAGACATGTTCTCCGCTATGCTCCGGCACGGTGTACATCCAGCGGAATGGAAAATAGCTAAGTGTATCCCGATCCCGAAACCCGGTAAAGCAAATTACCATGAAGCAAAAGCCTACCGGCCCATTTCCCTTCTACAATGTTTCAGCAAAATCCTGGAGAAGATAGTGGCCCAGAGACTCTGAACCGCTGGAGAAATCCTAGGCACACTCTCAGCAAACCAATTCGGAGGAAGACCAACCATCTCGGCAATCGATGCCCTCCTGAAAACCTTGACACCAATACAACAAAACCTACTATTAAAAAACAGCACCGGAATCGCCCGGCGAGACAGACCAGCGATCCTAACCAACGACATCCAAGGAGCATTCAATTGTGTCGATCACCTACTCCTCGCGGAAATCATGCACCAACAAAAATTCCCCACCTATCTGACAGAATGGTGCAAGGAATTCAACACTGGCAGAAAACTACAGTTCCAATTCAACCATGAGCTAGAGGAACCACAGCCCTATGATTCCGGAGTGCCGCAAGGTAGCCCCATGTCTCCGGTACTATTCATGATCTATGCCGGAGTAATTCTGGACCCAACTAGCAGCCCAAAAGAGATGGACACAACTTACATTGATGACGATGCGCTGGTACAAATATCCAAAACACCAGGCTTTACAATCAAGAGAATGGAGGAACGAATGAGAGAGAGACTAATTAAAGCTGAGCCACTCCAAATCAAATACGACCCGGACAAATCCGATCTGATCTTCTTCCGGCCCACGACATCATCCACACAACAACCACGACTTCCAGTCAAAGTGAACAACATCAATATATACCCCAAAGAGAGGCTGAAATACGTAGGAGTCTGGATAGATCCAACACTCTCCTTCCGGCCCCATATCGAAGCAGCAATCGCAAAAGGCCTAAAAGCCCTCCACCAAATCCGAAACACCGCCCGCCTGCCAGGGATAACAGTCAAGACAGTTCATCACCTAATAATACAGGGCTTCCTTCCAAGCCTGCTCTACGGATCTGAGGCTTGGTGGACTGGCGCAGACCACATCATTAGATCGCTAGAACCACTATACAACGAAGCTGCCCGGATCATCACGGGCCTACCTCGATGGACCAAGAGAGCTAAACTCCTCCGAGAAGCAGGACTACCCCCCCTAGAACACCTCCTAACATATCGCTCAAGAAAGTACGGAACCAGAATACTCTGCACCGAGGCAACCCACCCCAACAATGAATCCCTGATCGAGCTCCTTCCATACAGAGAAGCAAACATCAAAGGGACAGGGCTACACCGAATCGCCTCCCTCCTACTCCCATATCAAACCCCCGGAAATGCGAGAGACAAGTGGAATCAAAACAAACTACTACGCGACCACCTGTTGGAAGAATGGAATACACAACCAATACCGGACTACCATCACCGGGGGGATTTCCGCCCCCCTCCCAAGATTGCGAAACTCACCCTAACGGAAGCGAAAAAAGTTTTTCGAATCCGGTGCCAAACTACCCGAATCGATAAACACGCGGTATATACAGACCCCGAACAATGCCAGTGTGGTATGGAAAACTCAGCGAAACACACACTTATGGAATGCCCAGCGTGGGCTCGAATCCGCGCCCCTTTGATAGAAAAGATCCCCGGAGCGATGACCTGGGAAAACTGGATGTTTACAAACTTGAAAACGGACCTTATCTTACAATTTGCAAAAAATTCTCAACTCTCGAAGTGGTACGAGTCGGCGGAAGCGGAGGAGGACCTAGAAGAGGGGATGGAAGAAAATGATTAGGGACGAGATTAGGAAGGGCGGTTTCCTTTTACCTTTTAATTTTGGCTTTACTTTGTTTTGATGGATCCAGCGCCCGAGTTCGCTGAGATATGTTATTTCTCCTTATCGTTGGGTTGATTCTGGTTGAGTGTCGTTCTGGAATTTCCTTACTTTTACTTGTGTTCGTTTGTGTTCGCTTTTGCTCTTGTTCGTTTGTTTGCGTTTGTTGTTTTCTTTCCTTTTGTTCTTTTGTTTGGTTTGTGTTTTAGGCGGTCGGGTCGGCGTGCGATAAGTCTTGTACTTCAAAGCAATATAAGTTTCTTCTTCTTCTTCTGCATTCTACTTGCTCGCTAAGGCTCGCAAAGAACTCCCTGATAACAAACCTCGCTTTAAAAACATTCTATTTTATTCCCCTCGGTTTACCCTGGTATACCATACCAGGCTGAGCCACTTCGTCCCCGATCGTACGGTCGCGTTTTGTTGTTCCAAGCAAAAGAAACCCACGAAAACTGGCTTCTAGCGAAGAATTCTCCAGCCTTGACCTCCCGAAAGGAAGGAAAAGAAATCTCTCCGAAACATCACTTTACGCCGCCAGGAGAACTGGACACTCAGTCATGTCGCAGCAAGCTTCACTCCAGTCCTTTTTCACCCAGTCTTCCCAACAAGGGACAGCCCCCTCGCAGAACAGGAACACTCAGGTTCCCGACCTAACCCCATCCGGAGCTCAGGAACAGGAATTCTCCTCGACCTTTGCAACAGAATCCGACTACAACGACCCCTACCAGCCGAGAGTTGACTACCTCTACCCGAGCATTGTCCCCCAGGACACCCACACCCAGACGGACCTGAACTACATCACCTGGGCCATTAGACATGCCACCAGCCGGATCTGCCCACCCTCCGACAGGATTGAAATCCTCGAAGAGCAAACGACTACTCTCCGGAGAACAGTGGATACACTGAAACATCAGATCGAGGCGCAGACAAACATGATCACCAATATGCATTCGGCGATCCACGCGCTCCTCAACAAACAATCACAACCGCAGCATCCGCAACAACCGCAACAATCGCAACAACAGCATCAACAGCAACAACAGCAACAGCAGCGAAAACCACAGCAACCGCAAGGACAGAGAATGCCCCCTCCAGCGGTCCCACAAACAGCCCCCCAAGCAGCGCCACAGGCAGCTCCTCAGGCCCCCCCACCCGCACCCCCCCAACAAGCCCCACCTCGTGGATGGAAGGCAGGCACCTGGGCCGCCGTGGCCTCGGTACCCGGTCCTGCCCAAGGTAACTTCCAGGTCATCGAGAGGAAAAAGAAGTCCGCAAAGCCAAAAGCGGATCCCCTCTTCAAACCAGAGTACACCAAGATCAACAGGGAGATCATCGTGGAAACTACTGCCCCATCCGACGTTAACCCCTCCGAGATCAGAACCCTCGTCAATGCAAGAATCCAAGACGAGTCCTGCCATTTCATTTCGGCAAGAAGAACACCCAAGGACAACTTCATCCTGGAAACAAAATTCGTTACCCCTGCAACAAAGGCAATGGAATATGCCAAAGAAATTGAGGAGGCCCTCCTCACCCTACAGGTACCGGTCGCTGTCATCCGCGCAAACTCCAAATGGTCAAAGTTTCTCCTCCACGGAATCCCCACAACGGTCGGGGAGGGCATTGAGGCGGGACAACTAGTAGCATCAGAAATCAGAAGCAACTATGGAGAGAACTTCCAACTTGCCCAGGTTCCCCGCTGGATATCCAGGGCAGAAACTCAAATGGAGAAAACCCACTCATCAATGGTAATCGCGCTCCCAGGACAAGTCACAATGGAAACACTAGGAGTTAAGTTCCTATCCCTCTTTAACCGGAGCTGCCACATCGAGGCCTTCCTCCCAACCTTCCCAGACACCCAATGCACGAAGTGCCTCGAATACGGTCACCGCCAGGAGAAATGCAAAAACAGTGGGAGATGCGGTCATTGTGCCGGAGATCATCTCACCAGCTTCCACCCATGCAATCAATGCCAGGGAGGATACAGATGCACCCACACCCCAATCAGATGTCTGAACTGTAAAGGAATCCATAAGGCCTCCGACCCAGCATGCCCCGAAAGAGTTAAACGCCGATTCCTCAACAAAGGAAAGGAAAACGCCCCACCCGCTCAAGATCCACCGGCCGCACCCATCCAGGAGCCGCTTCCGGTAGTTCAAGTACCAGCCACCACCCCAGTCGGAGCAACACCCGTTCCCGAAGACGACCAACACATGACAAATAATGCTTAGGCCTCGAACCACCGCGCTCGCACACCAACTCAATTGTGCACGGAGCGAACTTATCACCAAGGCGGCGGTAGAAGAAGCGGAAACAGACTCTAGTATTTATTTTCTATTACTACAAGAACCATGGACCTCAGCAGAGGGATACCCACCAGAATCAAATCTCTTTTATATTTTTACGGCCAGCAACACCAATACAAAATGTGCAACATACGTCCGCAAACATGCCAATCTCAAACCAAAACACCACTACACACACGATAATTTCATAGTATCGATTACGGTAGAAATCCAAACCAAAAAAACCCAAATCCTAAACATATACTCCCCAGGCCGAAGTGGCCCCTTCGCCCAAATAGCAAGTACAATCCAAACCCTTGATAACTGTCTAGTAATGGGAGACTTCAACTGCCACCATCAGATGTGGTACGGAGTAAATTCACATGAATACAGAAACAACATCCGAGCAGACCGGGTCAACGGCGCACGGTTAAAACGATGGATAACCCGACAGAAATTGACCCTCCTGAATGAACCAGGCGTCTTTACGCACTTCCCCAGAGACAGAGGGAAAAGGCCTACAACCATCGACCTTGCATTTGTTAAAGGCTCAACACTCGACCACAACCTACGATGGAGCACCGAACCCTATGGAGCGGGCTCAGACCACGGGAGAACCTCCGTCCACTTACACTTGGAGAAACCACCTTTTGTACCAAGACGAATGTGGCGACAAACAGACTGGAAGCTATTGGAGAACCACATGTCAAACATCTCCATCCCTGCAGAGGCATGGGAAACCAAGGAACACACGGAACAAACTGTCGATTTCTTCCTAGAACTGGTTAGGTCAACAGTCAGCATAGTAACACCACTCTCGAAGGAGGGAGTAAGAGCCAACTCCTGGTGGTCAGATGAGATGAAACAGATGAAGGCAAGGGTAAACGCAGTAGAAAGGAAGGCGAGAAATACAAGGAAATCCAATCACGTGGAGGAACACCGGAAGGCTTGCAGAGAATGGACAGCCATGATCCGGAAAGCGAAAGCGGACCAGCGGGAAAAGACGATGAACGAGGCGAAAGGTAGTGAAGTCTGGAGAATCCTAAGCGCGGGAAGGAGAAGAGACACAATCATACCAACCATACAAGGTGAAGAAACGTTCACGGGGAAGTGTCAAGCTCTAAGAGCCCAACTTTTCCCCTCGAAACGGACGTCCCCCGACCATCCCCCCTTGAACATTAGACCCCCCTCTTTTGACCTTAGCAACACCTTCGACAGAGTCACCCCCGAAGAACTTAACAAAGCAATCGACTCCTGCCCAGCGCACTCGGCGACTGGCCCGGATGGCATCCCTTATACCTTTATCAAAGCTATAGTCAAAGCAAACACAACTCTAATCCAAGACATGTTCTCCGCTATGCTCCGGCACGGTGTACATCCAGCGGAATGGAAAATAGCTAAGTGTATCCCGATCCCGAAACCCGGTAAAGCAAATTACCATGAAGCAAAAGCCTACCGGCCCATTTCCCTTCTACAATGTTTCAGCAAAATCCTGGAGAAGATAGTGGCCCAGAGACTCTGAACCGCTGGAGAAATCCTAGGCACACTCTCAGCAAACCAATTCGGAGGAAGACCAACCATCTCGGCAATCGATGCCCTCCTGAGAACCTTGACACCAATACAACAAAACCTACTATTAAAAAACAGCACCGGAATCGCCCGGCGAGACAGACCAGCGATCCTAACCAACGACATCCAAGGAGCATTCAATTGTGTCGATCACCTACTCCTCGCGGAAATCATGCACCAATAAAAATTCCCCACCTATCTGACAGAATGGTGCAAGGAATTCAACACTGGCAGAAAACTACAGTTCCAATTCAACCATGAGCTAGAGGAACCACAGCCCTATGATTCCGGAGTGCCGCAAGGTAGCCCCATGTCTCCGGTACTATTCATGATCTATGCCGGAGTAATTCTGGACCCAACTAGCAGCCCAAAAGAGATGGACACAACTTACATTGATGACGATGCGCTGGTACAAATATCCAAAACACCAGGCTTTACAATCAAGAGAATGGAGGAACGAATGAGAGAGAGACTAATTAAAGCTGAGCCACTCCAAATCAAATACGACCCGGACAAATCCGATCTGATCTTCTTCCGGCCCACGACATCATCCACACAACAACCACGACTTCCAGTCAAAGTGAACAACATCAATATATACCCCAAAGAGAGGCTGAAATACGTAGGAGTCTGGATAGATCCAACACTCTCCTTCCGGCCCCATATCGAAGCAGCAATCGCAAAAGGCCTAAAAGCCCTCCACCAAATCCGAAACACCGCCCGCCTGCCAGGGATAACAGTCAAGACAGTTCATCACCTAATAATACAGGGCTTCCTTCCAAGCCTGCTCTACGGATCTGAGGCTTGGTGGACTGGCGCAGACCACATCATTAGATCGCTAGAACCACTATACAACGAAGCTGCCCGGATCATCACGGGCCTACCTCGATGGACCAAGAGAGCTAAACTCCTCCGAGAAGCAGGACTACCCCCCCTAGAACACCTCCTAACATATCGCTCAAGAAAGTACGGAACCAGAATACTCTGCACCGAGGCAACCCACCCCAACAATGAATCCCTGATCGAGCTCCTTCCATACAGAGAAGCAAACATCAAAGGGACAGGGCTACACCGAATCGCCTCCCTCCTACTCCCATATCAAACCCCCGGAAATGCGAGAGACAAGTGGAATCAAAACAAACTACTACGCGACCACCTGTTGGAAGAATGGAATACACAACCAATACCGGACTACCATCACCGGGGGGATTTCCGCCCCCCTCCCAAGATTGCGAAACTCACCCTAACGGAAGCGAAAAAAGTTTTTCGAATCCGGTGCCAAACTACCCGAATCGATAAACACGCGGTATATACAGACCCCGAACAATGCCAGTGTGGTATGGAAAACTCAGCGAAACACACACTTATGGAATGCCCAGCGTGGGCTCGAATCCGCGCCCCTTTGATAGAAAAGATCCCCGGAGCGATGACCTGGGAAAACTGGATGTTTACAAACTTGAAAACGGACCTTATCTTACAATTTGCAAAAAATTCTCAACTCTCGAAGTGGTACGAGTCGGCGGAAGCGGAGGAGGACCTAGAAGAGGGGATGGAAGAAAATGATTAGGGACGAGATTAGGAAGGGCGGTTTCCTTTTACCTTTTAATTTTGGCTTTACTTTGTTTTGATGGATCCAGCGCCCGAGTTCGCTGAGATATGTTATTTCTCCTTATCGTTGGGTTGATTCTGGTTGAGTGTCGTTCTGGAATTTCCTTACTTTTACTTGTGTTCGTTTGTGTTCGCTTTTGCTCTTGTTCGTTTGTTTGCGTTTGTTGTTTTCTTTCCTTTTGTTCTTTTGTTTGGTTTGTGTTTTAGGCGGTCGGGTCGGCGTGCGATAAGTCTTGTACTTCAAAGCAATATAAGTTTCTTCTTCTTCTTCTGCATTCTACTTGCTCGCTAAGGCTCGCAAAGAACTCCCTGATAACAAACCTCGCTTTAAAAACATTCTATTTTATTCCCCTCGGTTTACCCTGGTATACCATACCAGGCTGAGCCACTTCGTCCCCGATCGTACGGTCGCGTTTTGTTGTTCCAAGCGAAAGAAACCCACGAAAACTGGCTTCTAGCGAAGAATTCTCCAGCCTTGACCTCCCGAAAGGAAGGAAAAGAAATCTCTCCGAAACATCACTTTACGCCGCCAGGAGAACTGGACACTCAGTCATGTCGCAGCAAGCTTCACTCCAGTCCTTTTTCACCCAGTCTTCCCAACAAGGGACAGCCCCCTCGCAGAACAGGAACACTCAGGTTCCCGACCCAACCCCATCCGGAGCTCAGGAACAGGAATTCTCCTCGACCTTTGCAACAGAATCCGACTACAACGACCCCTACCAGCCGAGAGTTGACTACCTCTACCCGAGCATTGTCCCCCAGGACACCCACACCCAGACGGACCTGAACTACATCACCTGGGCCATTAGACATGCCACCAGCCGGATCTGCCCACCCTCCGACAGGATTGAAATCCTCGAAGAGCAAACGACTACTCTCCGGAGAACAGTGGATACACTGAAACATCAGATCGAGGCGCAGACAAACATGATCACCAATATGCATTCGGCGATCCACGCGCTCCTCAACAAACAATCACAACCGCAGCAACCGCAACAACCGCAACAACCGCAACAACAGCATCAACAGCAACAACAGCAACAGCAGCGAAAACCACAGCAACCGCAAGGACAGAGAATGCCCCCTCCAGCGGTCCCACAAACAGCCCCCCAAGCAGCGCCACAGGCAGCTCCTCAGGCCCCCCCACCCGCACCCCCCCAACAAGCCCCACCCCGTGGATGGAAGGCAGGCACCTGGGCCGCCGTGGCATCGGCACCCGGTCCTGCCCAAGGAAACTTCCAGGTCGTCGAGAGAAGAAAGAAGTCCGCAAAGCCAAAAGCGGACCCCCTCTTCAAACCAGAGTACACCAAAATCAACAGGGAGATCATTGTTGAAACTACTGCCCCATCCGACGTTAACCCCGTCGAGATCAGGACCCTCATCAATGCAAGAATCCAAGATGAGTCCTGCCACTTCATCTCAGCAAGAAGAACACCCAAAGACAACTTCATCTTGGAAACAAAATTCGTTACCCCTGCAACAAAGGCAATGGAATATGCCAAAGAAATCGAGGAGGCCCTCCTCACCCTACAGGTACCGGTCGCTATCATCCGAGCAAACTCTAAATGGTCAAAGTTTCTCCTCCATGGAATCCCCACAACGGTCGGGGAGGGCATTGAGGCGGGACAATTGGTAGCATCAGAAATCAGAAGTAACTATGGAGAGAACTTCCAACTTGCCCAGGTTCCCCGCTGGATCTCCAGGGCAGAAACTCGAATGGAGAAAACCCACTCATCAATGGTCATCGCACTCCCAGGACAAATTACAATGGAAACACTAGGAGTTAAATTCCTATCCCTCTTTAACCGTAGCTGCCACATTGAGGCCTTCCTCCCAACCTTTCCGGACACCCAGTGTGCGAAGTGCCTCGAATACGGCCACCGCCAGGAGAAATGTAAGAACAATGGGAAATGCGGCCACTGCGCCGGAGACCACCTCACCAGTTTCCACCCATGCAATGAATGCCAGGGAGGATATAGATGCACCCACACCCCAATCAGATGCCTGAACTGTAAAGGAGCTCATAAGGCCTCCGACCCAGCATGCCCCGAGAGAGCCAAACGCCAATTCCTCAATAAAGGGAGGGAAAATGCCCCACCCGCTCAAGACCCACCGGCCGCACCCGTCCAAGAGTTCCTTCCAATAGTTCAAGTAACAGCCACCGCCCCGGTCGGAGCCACACCCATTCCCGAAGACGACCAACATATGACAAATAATGCCTAGGCCCCGAACCACCGCGCTCGCACACCAACTTAATTGTGCACGGAGCGAACTTATCACCAAGGCGGCGGTAGAAGAAGCGGAAACAGACTCTAGCATTTATTTCCTATTATTACAAGAACCATGGACCTCAGCAGAGGGTTACCCACCAGACTCAAATCTCTTTTATATTTTTACAGCCAGCAACACCAACACAAAATGTGCAACATACGTCCGCAAACATGCCAACCTCAAACCAAAATACCACTATACATTCGATAATTTCATAGTATCGATTACGGTAGAAATCCAGAACAAGAAAACCCAAATCCTAAATATATACTCCCCAGGGCGAAGCGGCCCCTTTGCCCAAATAGCAAAAACAATTCAAACCCTCGACAACTGTCTAGTAATGGGAGACTTCAACTGCCATCATCAAATGTGGTACGGAGTAACATCACATGAATACAGGAACAACATCCGAGCAGACCGCTCCAACGATGCACGGCTAAAACAATGGATAACCCGACAGAAATTGACCCTCCTGAATGAACCAGGCGTCTTTACGCATTTCCCCAGAGACAGAGGGAAAAGGCCCACAATCATCGACCTTACATTTGTAAAAGGCCCAACACTCGACCACAACCTACGATGGAGCACTGAACCCTACGGAGCGGGCTCAGATCACGGGAGAACCTCCGTTCATTTACACCTGGAAAAACCACCTTTTGTACCAAGACGGATGTGGCGACAAACAGACTGGAAGCTTTTGGAGAACCACATGTCAAACATTTCCCTCCCTGCAGAGGCATGGGAAACCAAGGAACTTACGGAACAAACTGTCGAATTCTTCCTAGAACTGGTCAGGTCAACAATCAGTATAGTAACACCACTCTCGAAGGAAGGGGTAAGAGCCAACTCCTGGTGGTCAGATGAAATGAAACAAATGAAGGCAAGGGTAAACGCAGCAGAAAGGAAGGCGAGAAATACAAAGAAACCCAATCACTTGGAGGAGCACCGGAAGGCATGCAGAGAATGGACAGTCATGATCCGGAAGGCAAAAGCGGACCAGCGGGAAAAAACGATGAACGAGGCGAAAGGTAGTGAGGTCTGGAGAATCCTAAATGCAGGAAGGAGAAGAGACACAATCATACCAACCATACAAGGTGAAGAAACATTTGCGGGGAAGTGTCAAGCTCTAAGAGCCCAACTTTTCCCCTCAAAACGGACGTCCCCCGACCATCCCCCCCTAAACATTAGACCCCCCTCTTTTGACCTTAGCAACACCTTCGACATAGTCATCCCTGAAGAACTTAATAAACCAGTCGACTCCTGTCCCACACACTCGGCGACCGGCCCGGATGGCATTCCCTATACCTTTATCAAAGCTATAGTTAAAGCGAACACAAATCTAATCCAAGACATGTTCTCCGCCATGCTTCGGCACGGAGTACATACAGCGGAATGGAAAATAGCAAAATGCATCCCGATCCCGAAACCCGGCAAGGCGAACTACCACGAAGCAAAAGCCTATCGGCCCATCTCCCTTCTACAATGCTTCAGCAAAATCCTGGAAAAAATAGTGGCTCAAAAACTCTGCACCGCTGGAGAAATCCTAGGCACACTCTCAGCGAATCAATTCGGAGGAAGACCAACCATCTCAGCAATCGACGCCCTGTTAAGAACCCTAACACCAGTACAACAAAACCTACTATTGAAGAACAGCACCGGAGTCGCCCGGCGGGACAGACCAGCGATCCCAACTAACGATATCCAGGGACCATTTAACTGTGTAGACCACCTACTCCTCGCAGAAATCATGCACCAGCAAAAATTCCCTACCTACCTAACAGAATAGTGCAAGGAATTCAACACCGGCAGAAAACTACAGTTCCAATTTAACCATGAGCTAGAGGAACCACAGCCCTTTGATTCTGGAGTGCCGCAAGGTAGCCCCATGTCCCCGGTATTATTTATGATCTATGCGGGAGTAATCCTGGACCCAACAAGCAGCCCGAAAGAGATGGACACTACATACATCGATGATGATTTGCTGGTGCAAATATCCAAAACACCAGGCTTCATAATCAAAAGAATGGAGGAACGTATGAGAGAGAGACTAATGAAAGCTGAGCCACTCCAAATCAAATACGACCCAGATAAATCCGACCTGATCTTCTTCCGGCCCACCACATCATCCACACAACAACCACGACTTCCGGTCAGAATCAACAATATCAATATACACCCCAAGGAGAGGCTGAAATATGTAGGCGTCTGGATAGATCCGACCCTCTCCTTCCGGCCCCACATCGAAGCAGCGATCGCAAAAGGCCTTAAAGCCCTCCACCAGATTCGATACACCGCCCGCCTGCCAGGTATAACAGTCAAGACAGTTCATCCCCTGATAACACAAGGCTTCCTCCCAAGTCTGCTCTACGGGTCCGAGGCTTGGTGGACTGGCGCAGACCACATTATTAGATCCCTCGAACCACTATAAAATGAAGCTGCCCGGGTCATCACTGGCCTACCACGATGGACCAAGAGAGCTAAACTCCTCCGAGAAGCAGGATTACCCCCCCTAGAACACCTCCTGACATATCGCTCAAGAAAGTACGGAACCAGAATACTCTGCACCGACGCAACCCACCCCAACAACGAACCCCTGATCGAGCTCCTCCCATACAGAGAAGCAAACATCAAAGGGACAGGCCTACACCGAATCGCCTCCCTCTTACTCCCATATCAAACCCCTGGAAATGCGAGAGACAAGTGGAATCAAAACAAACTACTACGCGACCACCTGTTGGAAGAATGGAATACACAACCAATACCGAACTACCATCATCGGGGGGAATTCCGCCCCCCTCCCAAGATTGCGAAACTCACCCTTACGGAAGCAAAAAAAGTATTTCGAATCCGGTGCCAAACCACCCGAATCGACAAACACGCAGTACATACAGACCCCGAACCATGCCAGTGTGGTATGGAAAACTCAGCGAAATATACACTTATGGAATGCCCGGCGTGGGCTCGAATCCGCGCCCCTCTGATAGAGAAGATCCCCGGAGCGATGACCTGGGAAAACTGGATGTTTACAAACCTAAGAACGGACCTCATCCTACAATTTGCAAAGAAATCTCAACTCTCGAAATGGTACGAGTCGGCGGAGGTGGAGGCGGACCTGGAAGAGGGGATGAAAGGAAATGATTAGGGACGGGATTAGGAAGGGCAGTTTCCTTTTACCTTTTTATTTTGTTTTTGACTTTGTTTTATGGATCCAGCGCTCGAGCCCGCTGAGATATGTTATTTCTCCTTGTCGTTGGGTTTTCTGGTTGAGTGTCGTTCTGGAATTTCCTTGTTTTTGTTCGTGTTCGTTTGTGTTCGCTTTGTTCTTGTTTGTTTGTGTTCGTCGGGTTTTCTTTTCCTTTTCTTTTCTTTTATTTTTGTTCGGTTCATGTTTTAGGCGGTCGGTTCGGCGTGCGATAAGTCTTGTACTTCAAAGCAATATAAGTTTCTTCTTCTTCTTCTGTATTCTATACCACGAATATTACTTTTGTTCTACGCTACGTCATAGGGCTCATCTTGGATCTCCAATCAGGATTAAACTATCCCATAGTCCATAGTCACGAATATCTTCTACTACGTTCTCGCCTCGGTTGTATTCCTTGGCACTATAGTCTCTCGTCCATAGACCCACGTTATATTACCTGCGTATCCATTCATATCCGGAATGGTAAAACACATCAAGATGTGGTCAATTGGTTTGAAACTGCTTGTATTCTTCACAACTTCTTACTTGACGAGGAGGAAGTAGAGTGGGACTATGAGGAGGACTTGCTCTTTGCTCGAAGGCATCAACTTGAAGTTGAGCAGCATCAGCGGGAGATTGAAAATGACGGTAGAAGAATACTAAATAATAGAAGAAAAAGAAATGGGGAGGTCATACGGGAGAGTAGTTTGAGATATATGAGAGCATTGTTTCAAGATTTACTATAGTACATATGTCAATCTTTATTTTTATTGACCTGAGACGAGTCCATCATTTCCATCTTTTTAATCACATAATCAAACCTGCGCATGGTTTCTAAATTTCTGTTTTCCTCCTTTTTTACAAGTAACTTCCGGTCCTCCCTATCTCGTTCCTTCTCGTAAACAAATCGTTCTCTCTCAAAGTCAAGCCTAGCGAGTTGATAATCCCACAAAATCTCCTCCCCAGATGATTTCTTAAGTTTTTTTATAGCACCAGTATGCTTTCCGCTACCACTACCAGATTCCCCATGTTTCAACGTGTTTTTTTGACCTCCAGCCGGTGAGTGAAATTCCAATCCATCAGGGTTCTCTTCATCTGTTACAGGCTCATCTTTGGGTATTGTAGGCATCGATTGTTGAGAGTTGCCATTGAAAACCTGAAGATGTAAAAGCTCTCCAGTCTCGGAAACGTAATGGGTAGTGTAGGACTTATCCCGGATCAGGATATCATCAAGCTCTTCGAAGTAAGGACATAGCTTGTTTAACTACTGTGATTGAATGCTTTCCCACTTGTCTTGGTCTGCCTTTAAGTCCCCCAATTCACCCTTGCCGGTGCTTTCTAATTTTGCTCGTACTTGCCGATGCTTTTCTTTCATTTTGTCCCACTTTCCTTTGATTGTGCTTGTGGAATGACGACCACCAAAAACATTTTTGAATATCTTCAATAGTGCGTCTTTTGCTTTGGTTTTGTATAATTTAAAGTTCCGCAAATCTGAAGAAAACCAGTCAATAAAAAGCTCAATATCCTCATTGGTATAGCGGGTAGAGGTGGTGGTCAGATCCGGGGTCTCAGTTTGAGAATATTGGAATACTGTAGGACGGTCTGCAAACCCGCTTGAAAGAGCGGGATCAATTGAAATATATCTATGATTTTGCATTTCGGAAACTGGATGCGCAAAGAACAAAGTCATCACCCGAGAAATTTTTTTATATTGCTACTTGCAAACCCTGACAGTTATCCTTGTCGCAATTTCAACTATACTCGATTTGTTCTTTTGGCTTGCACTATTTTTTCCTACTCGACCCTTTTATGAGTTGGAAAGCTGAGTTGAAGCCAGAATCCAAATTAACCGGGTGGCCAATCAGACAACTCAAAAAATTCCTGGCTCTGGCTCCGGCCCCAACCCATCCTCACTTTGAGTACCACTATTGCACAGCCAGAATCAAAGTGCAACTCCGCTAGCAGCTAGCTGCAGGGGTCTATTGGCGGAGACGAAAAGCCACCATGCAACTGCCAAGAATGCGAAAGAGAAAAGGGCTATGCAAAGTGAAGACGAGGGGTTTCTAGAGAAAATGTATGTAGAGAAGTATAGTAATTGAGCGTGTTTTTTCCAACTAACTAGAGAGGGGGGAATGCCCCATATTTATACTAAAGAAAGGTAACACAAAACATAGTAAATCATAACCGTATAAGTAATAGAAAGACATGACTAATGAATACCAGAGAAAGAATGAGTCAGAACCCATGATTCATGATGACAAATGAGAATCCTACAATACTATGAAATGTGCTGAGCGTACTATTTCAAGAGTTTCATCGGTCGGCGAAATAACATACCTTACACCGTTTTACTGACTCTGGTATTGCGGGCGGGTTAGGGTTAGGTACGGTTGGGTCGCGCGGGGAACCGTTTCGCCGTTTCGTGTTGCGGCATGTTAGTTTACTCCGCGCTAGGTTACTAGGCGAGAGGGAACAAGGTATAGTCTGAGCTGACGCAGAATCCGGAGAGCTGACGGGCGGTTATCGGTTCGCGATGTATTTTATCTCGGAGGCTGTATGGATGCGAGTGAGCTGCATGCATCATGGACCGACGGTTTCGGGGTACTTGGGATTGGGCTTGGGATTTGGGATTTTTTAAAACGCCCTCCGGCGATATTATTGCGGTTTTAATCTTTGCGATGGTACGTTGGCTCTCGGCGGCCACCGCAGATAAACGTCTCAAGGTGCGGGAGAGCATTATCATGAACGCTCACAAAAATTTGCAAAGCGCCGTCGATCGGCAAGCTTCCATCGCCAAAACGCAAATCTGCAACGCTCCCGGACAGCGAATACGCCTCATCATCACGTTATAGCCACCCATTCCCGCGCTCCACCACTCCCGGCCGCGCTACTAGACCACGACAACAAGACGAACATTCAGCATTTCCCGTCTACATAGAAATATCAATCAGAGGGTCGACACTCCTCCATGTGTCCCCCCCCCCAACGGTCTTATCAAACAGCCCTGCCAAGTCGCACGCGCCCCGCACTAGAGTACTTCGAGTCTCGCGGCAGCTTCCGTGCCAAGCCAGCAGGGATGGGCGATGAGGCTCTGTCTCCACTTGTGCATTCTCTCTCTGTCGCGCGCAGTCACCGTCGATCTCCACTCACCCCCTCCGCCATCAACGCCTCCATTCACCCTCCACCGTCACTGGGAACCGTGGCAGACGCGCGCACTGTCAGCTCTGGCCGGCGCTTTGGTCGGCGTTGACTATGACGGGGTGGGTGGATGGGTTGCGGGCGGTACGTACGCGCGGGGCCGGGGTATAACTGACTGACGCGGACAGCTTCTACTCGTCAGCGTCGCTTACGGCTCCCTCCTCCTCCCCTCCTCGTAACTCAGTGGTTCGGAGGGTCCATAAGCCACCGCTCCCCTCTTCTCCGCCGGTTTCCGTCTCGCTCGTCACCCCGCGTCGCGACCCCGCAAACTGTGGCCGTGGAAACGCTTGTTTGGTGCGACGTTGCCGGCGGTGCCGCTTCGTCCGTTGCCGCGTGGTCCGTGAAGTTTGATACGCCAATTCGCCTTAGTTCAGACTTGCCACATACAAATACGGAAGATAGTGGATTATTCGAGAATTAACGGTATGTTGGGCTTTCGAGCGCTGTAGACTGTAGTTGTTTGTATGTGGCTATCACTGTGGTAGTGTAGGAGGTTTAGTGTGGTTAGCTGGACGAAGCGTTATGAGTAAGAAGTATAGAGACTCTACATGCTCTATAGTGTTGATAGTAATAATATACAACCTTCGCACACTTCACACACAAAAGCTGGTTACAGCTAGTATGGTGAGCCCACCTCTTAAAGGTAGCGGATCGCGACGAAATGTCAATGGCTGATAACTTTGCAACGAAAAATGGCAAAAGAAAAGCGTAATGATAGAACTCTAGTACTAGTGATGAAGTTTAGTTCTATCATTGCAGATTCTTGATATCTGTCTGGCTTGTAATGTTATCAGGGGTTGAAATTGTGTATTTTTGTATGTAAAAAGCGCCAAGACTGGGCAAAGTGGAACAGTATTATACCCATTTATACCCCCTCAAAAGTGAATTGCGGCAGGAATACAGCAAAGTGGCTAGGAATAAGCCCCTCTCATTGGCCTTGGAGTTCACCTTGCAGCCACGATTGTTCCACTTCCAGATACCGCCGTGTCACCTTTAAGAGTGTGCGCACCATACCGCAAATACTGTAAACGCCTGCGCGGGCTTGATGATTTGGGGGCAGGATGTTCGAATTTTGGGGCAATGATCCCCTAGTATGATCTTTTAGTGAGGCAAGTAACGATTTTACACTCGGGTGACTAATGATTGGGGGGGGGGCGGCAGGACAAGCTGGGGGGCAGTTATTTCCAATTTTTGCGGTAGTAGGACAATACGAGTGATATTTCACGACCCCGCAATAGTTGGGGCGGTATAATCTGGCGGTTAATTTGTATCAGAAGGGTCGCACGCGATTGCATAACCAGTACATGCGGATAGCCACGTGGCAGTTTTGTAGCAAGGCATACGTCTTATGCTCTTTCTGGGTTCAGTCCTGCGCATGCCGCTCCTGGGTAGCATTGGTCCCCGTGGCTTAGCGCTTTCGGCAGCATTAGAGAATATTATCAGTTAGGTCTGAATTTACTTCCTGGCTATTCTGGACGCTCCGGAGGTGTGGTTGGTTCGGCGATCAAATAATGTTGAGCTTCAGTTCCACCGCCGCTAGTGGTCTGCAGTGTTACGACTCTCAATTTCCGCAGTTGTTGTATTCAGACGCTACCCTTTTTTGAGACCCGGTTATGCGCGGTGTAGCCTTCTTACTGTCGACTAATTGAGCTTGTAGTACTCCTAAAAACCCACCAAGACAGGGTGCGGGGGTGGTGATCAGTGGGAAGACACCCCTGTACCCTCTAACGCTAGGTAGCTCTCTTACTTGCCGCCGCCGCACTCGTGGTACGGAGATGTTGGATACTCGTCTTGTTGGCCTGTTGTTTGTGTGCAGCTTGAAGGATTATGACCGCTGAAGTATTTATGTTCCGTAGGAAGCTCTTCGCTTGATACGTTGTGTATGGGAAAACAACTCCAACGTCAACTTTCTCCACAGCCACGATGCGAGAAGATAGGAGATTTCATTCTTGTGATTCCTTATGCCTCTGTTATCTTAGGCTTCGTTATGAGCTCGATTGAAGTAGTTTCAAGATTTGGTTATTGTAGCCATTTTACACGGTTGCGACGCGAGCGTCCAGATAATTTTGATAATTAACCTACGATACCTAACCTTAGCGCTAACCTTTCCCATTGCTCGCATACTTTTTTTGTGTCTAGCTGCTTGTCTCCTCATGTAGAAATATTGGAGTCTCTACTTGGTTTATAATGCATCAGTAAATGAATCCCACCTCCAGGTTAACAAGGTGTGTGATGGAAAATGAATCGGTGTTCATGTGTTTATTAAGGTAATTGTCTCTCACGTGTACTTGCTGCGAGAATCAGTTTCCGCCAAATTTGTACGTGAAAATGCGGTTGCAACACAAAAGTGGCGGCGGAAACATATTCTCGCAGCAAGTACATGTAAATGAATAAACAAGTATGGGGAAACGAATCCGGAATTCTTAAAAAACAACAAAAAAAACTGATCTTGATGGAAGTTGAACTCTCGCTACATTGGGTGACTAGCATAGATCTCATCACTTACTACATAACTTGAGATGCTAGTACTTTAATTAGAGGTATCGAAAGTGGATTCATTGCTTCATTTCCTCGAAATATTCTTTTGTCCTACACTATGTTTAATGCATTCCCCGATTCCTTTTCCGAGCATTTGTAATATGTTGATACATCAACTGTTTCTATAGGGAAAGGTAGTCTGGTTCCCATACCCAAACCGGTATTTCTTTGGTTGTGGTGGTGGTTGAGTATTTTTATATCGGGGTGGGTCCGGTGTGCTTGCCCAAAAGATTTGTACCAGTTCTTTTCTGAGGGCGGTTGCTATGCCAGGACCCCGACTCTGGTTGCTATGCCAGAAAGCGGGCCGGGGTGACTGAGTAGCCCCGTAGCTCTGCCAAAACCCCGGGTGCTACCTCAAAACCACGAATGTTATTACTCCAGACCCAACTGGTGTGGACAACAATAAATCACGACCACGCTAAATTACTATCACACCAAAAATACTCACCCACCACCACCACCACCGGATTGGGTCTGGGAACGAGACTAGAGAAAACGCATTGGTAAAGATGTCAGGAAACGCATCCACTAATTGAAATGAGTCCGGGAAAGGCGTCAGGAAAGCCGTCCACTGATCATACAGACTCGAGAGAGGTGGCGCGAAATGTATTCTCAAGTGTCAATGAATCAAATGCTGCCTTTTCTATAGAGCGCTGAAGCAGATTGATCAAGAAATTGAATCAAATGGACATGTCAATGAATCAAATTTTCTTCTTCAATTAACGAACGTCCTTTGTCAAGAATCGATTCGTTTCCCAACCCTGGTTCGGTGGGAAATGCATCAATTGATTCGTTTCCAGAGCTGGTAGAGAGAACTAGAAGGTAACAAAAATGTAATGGATTGGATAGCTATATGGTGGGGTGAAGTCATTGGCCACTCTTCCATATCAGGAAAAATAGGTTTGCTCGGGCCCTTGCAAAAGATCCCCGGGAGGTAGTAGAATGAAAAGGCAAAAAGAAGAGGAAAGAGTTCCCTGTTGTTTTAATCTACACCCCTGGCTCAGAAGCGGTATTTAGCTCCTCAAAGTACAGGATAAAACCTTGTTGAAACACATACGTCTAGAGTTTCGAGATAACTGAAACGGATTAAGACAACTAGATTGAAGCAAATTACAAAACTGCGAAAGATAAATCCTCCAGTAACTGCCCCCCACGATAGCTATGTCGTTCGGGAGTCGAGGCTCGAGACCCACAAATACTATGCGTAATCTGTTTCGAATATATGTCCAGGGATTGCAGCATTCCTACGTCTCTTTCTAGCATGTGGACAATCTTAGTGCTCTCCCCATTCCGTGCAAGTTCAATGGCAGATACCGCATTATCGGTCAACATGTCCTGGAGCAAAAACCTGATTTTGGAAAGTGCCCTGGTTTCACGATCCTCAAGCGGTGGCTCTATAACCACTCTTTCACCATTAACAAACATATAACCCTGAGATCTCTGGTTTATTCCTTCAATTATTGCCGCTTCTTTCAGTGAAAATTGTGAAGAAATTGGTTTCTCGATAATTAATTCTGCCCCGCGGCTCAGAAGTAACTCCACCATCTCAGTATGACCTCCCCCTGCTGCTGCTGCCAGTGGAAGAACCCCGGTCTTCTTGGTCGGTTCCATATCCCGAATTAACATCTCAATGATATGCGAAAGGCCAGCTCCTGCCGCCTCCTCAATTGCGGCGTGTCCAAAGTCCTCGACACTTCCTCCATTAGGATCTGCTCCCGCATCTAATAAGGCCACCGCAATCTCCAGATATCCATACTCGGCTGCGGCCGCCAACGCAGTCCTCCCTCCCCCGGGTGCTGGAGGAAGATTCACGTCCGCACCTTTCTCCAACAAGATCTTCACCACTGTAGAATTGCCAATCTCTGTAGCTGCCTGTAGTATGGTGCGTCCGCCGTAAGGAGCAATTGCATTGATATCGCCATGAGGAAGTAAGCGTTCGAGGATTCTCCCGCTATATTCTGCTGACATGGCACAAACAAGTGCCGTCTTTCCCCCTATCAACGAAGGGGCTGCATTTATCTCAGCTCCTGCGGTCAATAGTAAGTCTATAATGTTTATAAACCCGCCACTGGCCGCTGCCTGTAACGCTGTTGCCCCGAATGCTATCCCGGGGCCCTGATTGACGTCTGCACCTTCGGTTAGAAGAAACTTAGCAATACCGAATAACCCCTTGCCAGTTGCGACAGCTAATGCGCTACGCCCATGGAACGAGGCGGGAGAGGCATTTATGGACGCTCCATGTTTCAATAGAATTTGGATAATTTCGAGATGTCCCGCTTCTGCCGCCGCCTGGAGAGGAGTGCGCCCACCACACATGTCAGCATCCATATCAGCATCTGCGCCTGCGATAAGAAGCTTCTTCACAATGTGTGTGTCTCCACGTGAAGCTGCAAATTGTAACGCCGTTCCATGGCTCACGGTATTCAGGTTTGCCCCTGCCTTTAGAAGAAGCTCGAGTACCGCCTCATGACCTTTGATAATAGCATAACACACTGAGCTGTAGCCGACTTGATGGGCATGAGACAGGCTCGAGGGGTGAGTGTAAATAACTCCGTGACTTTGTTCTGGAACCTCCACTCTCAGTTGCCGGCGGTAGAGGCTGCAAGCTTCATCATGAGTAGCATGGGGCTCATTAACCGAAGCACCATTCTTGAGTAGGTAGTCAACAATGTCCGCATGCCCTCTTTCCGAGGCGGCCTGTAGCGCGGTGCGGCCAGAACGTCGCGCTGCTGGTTGGTGTATATCAGCAGGAGGTGAGGCGTTGAGGAGGTACTCCACAACGTCTACATGACCATTACCAGCGGCTGCCTGAAGGGCTGTACGCCCTTCGGAAGACTTCGGAGCGTCGTTTATTAGTGCACCATTCAATGATAAGAGGAGCTTGACAACGTCGAGACGTCCAGCACCAGCGGCAGCTTGTAGGATTGTCCGGAAAGGTCGGAGTAGCTGTAGATCAATGGTTATTGCAGGATTGTCTAAATCACCAGCCTCTATAGCAGCCTTCTCCCGACTCTCCTTCCTCTGTGGATTGTCGAGGTACTTCTGCACCTCCTCAAGCGTTAGGAATACGCGGCGCTGGTGACGAAGAGTTAATAGTACCTGGTTGACTTCAAAGTGTGCCCGGCTAAGATATGGCTTCCTAGTTGATTCCGTTGCAAAGATCTTTTCATTCCACACCCATATTGCCATGTCTTCTGCTACGCTCTCTCTACCGGACTTAAATGCATCATGAATAAATTCCAGAACCACTGGAAGCATGTCCTCCTGATGCAGATCAACCTTTTTAAGTATACTAATAGCGAGCGTGAATTGTGCTTCAGGTTCACATTTATAGAAATAATTCGTCGTTCCATGCGTAGTGGCCTTGCACAGACATACTACACACGACGCCATAATATTAGAGATAGGTGCATTAAATGTCGAGATCCGTTCCCACAGTAGGTCCACAAGCTCTTGCTTGTCGTCTTGACTTTCGGGATCGTACTTATACCGTTCGATATATAATCGCAGTCTGATCAACCGCTGCTCTGATAGCGAGCGCAGTCGCGCCTCCTCCTTGGGTTCAAGGTTTACAACTCCCGTGTTTTCACACACCCACTGATCGATTTTCACCGCTTGGGTCCAGTTTCCGCCGCCATTAAGTTCGTAGCTGTTGGCGTAGTCCTGTTCATTCAAAAAGGCGGCTTTTAAAGGTGGAACTCTTCTCGCCCTTTTTAAGGCAAGAAAAATATAGAAATATGCCTCTTCGATGGTTCCAAGACCTGATTCAGAAAATATCCTTGCAAGTGATGTCATCTTCGAGTTATTGATACGGAATCTCACATCCGCATCATTTGCACAACTGCGCCGCTCTGTTTTACCACTCATGTATAGAAGCTCAAATGGCAAGGCGGACACAAAGGCGGCATAGATTTCTTGCGCACAGAGATTGACTACCGCGGCTTTGGACGAAATATACATATGTTGAAATGTATCGTTCAGAGTATATGGGTCAATATAACCAAAACATGAGTAGAGTTCCGTACTTGTAAGATCTAGGGTACCTATCGTCGGAGTTGTCTGTCGATGGATCCATATCTGGTAGTCCAAGAGATCTTCGGGGGTAGCTGGTCCAAGATAGATAATGCTCTCAAATCCAGGTTGCTTCTTTCTCTTCCCAAGCGAGGATACCCAGAGGGACATAACCGCCTCTAGTTGTGATACATCCGTTGCCCATGACATCCATTTTTCGTTCTGGTCCCGTTCCCGGCTCATTGTTAGTTCAATTGACGACTTTCTAGAATGGTCTCCAAGAATTGTAAATTCGACCGGAAGAGAAAATGTAAATGATGCTTTGTTCCACCAAGGGACGAGAAGTATTTTAGACATAAAGATCTCATCCATCGAGAGGTTGAGAGTGCGTTGTAAACTCTTGACAGTATCACGGAGCTCTAGATTCCAGTCCACTGACAGCTCTGCCAGCCGTGCTCTGGTGTGCATCACAGCTGTGGCTAGTTCCGAATTGATGTCCCCACGCCCCACACTGCTAGGAATACTGTTGGTATCCCATGGTCCATGTGAAATTCCTAAAAGCGGTGTCGAGCCGACCTTCCAAGCCACACAACCATGTATATGTAGCGCTAGCCAGTCAAGCTCATGACCTTCCACCTTCCCCGGATTACCGATGTCATTCTTACTATCTCGTTTAATGTGAGCGCATGAGCGAATTGCAGTCATGGTCATTACTGCCACCAACTGTACCAGCGTCACGGCGGGATGCATCGCACGTAACCCAACAAACTGCGCAACGAAACCAAAGAGTGTAGAGATTACACTGAAATACACAAGTCTCGTTCGATCTTTGCGTTTTGATTTGCGGGACGTAATTATGCCACGGGAATCGGTTATGCAGCGCGCAAAACACTCGAACCTCTGATCCCCCACAGTCTGCCCACCCTGCTGGAGCCAGATAACAGTCTTGATGGCAGCTGGGGTCTTAGGGACCCATGTTTCCTCATCAGTGCTGGACTCGATGATATGGGCGCAAAGATACATTGAGAGTGCGAGTATTACAGTTCCCGCTGTAAATATTGGAAAACCGTAGACGTTGATTGAACCATCATCCTCGTTACTAAGCTGAAGGACGTACTGGGAAGTGGCTGCGAATGCTAGGACGCCGCCTTGTAATACTAGTCCAGCGGTAATCATCAATACCAACATCCAGCGTGAGAGTGGAATCATGTTGACATTGAGCGACAAGTTCGGCGGATTCTCTCCAAATCCACTTTCCTTCGGTTCTGGGTGAAAATCATTTGACCTATTCGTATTCATGTAATAGCCTTTCTCTATGGCTTCTTTCAGCGTATATATATGACTTCCGCTGGAATCTTCAACGCAAACCATCTGCAGCAGAACAGGACGTCCCATGACCCTGACTACTCCCTCCCCACTCCATAGCTCGCATACATCTTGGCTTGTCGAGCTCATGAGGTCGGACTCGACTTGTCCCCTGCTTTCCTTTGCTCTTCCGACCAGGGCACGGAGGCCAGGACTGCCGGAAACACGAATAGCTGCAACAACCGCTGTGATTACACCGAGTGGGGCAAGACAGAAAAGAAGGTTGTCGAGATTAGACATCGATTCACTCAAGAATTGTTTGGTGACCTGTTCACCAAAGAGGGTGAGAATAGGGGCGAGTTCTGTGCCGATACTGTTGGCAAAGCCATCCCAGTCGCTCGGGACAGCGCAAGCGATCCCGCTACATTCCCCTTGGGTATGTGGTACTCCAGCGAGAACGAGAGGGAGTATGAGAGGGGGCTTGAGGAGGAGAGACGCCATTGTAGGCCTGAGGCTATAGATAAAATCTAAGATGTAAGCAATGCTAAACGATAGCTATGGAGCGAGTATACGTTTCGGTAGAGTGATTACCTTGGCTGAATGAAATTTCTCGCCGTCCTATTCTATATATTTTCAAACAAATATATGTAATTCTTCTGACTGTGGTGCGCTGTACTTCAAACACCGTATCTATCCGCTGGTGCTGTATTTTCCGTGAGATTCTCTATGATTGCTGAGGTCTCCAGACTCCACCGTTGATATGAACGACTGAATCTCCCCGAAATCCATCATCAGCATCTCATATCCACCGGGAAGGAGCTTAAACCACACCTACCTGAACAATAGGCGCCACCCAGAACGTATCCTGTCTCGGGTATGGTCTACGACCTTTGATAAAATCTGGTTCCTTGTGTATAGAACGTCTCGCAATTTCGTCGTACAATCGATGACCGTTACTAGGTATCGGGAAAGGAAAGAGAGCAGAGGCCCGAAGATGGAGCTGACCAACTAAGCTTTATGAAGATCTGTCGGATCCATATGCAATAGAAATATGTAGCATTTGCGAGCACGAACGGAAAAGCTATGTAGCACAAATTAAAGGCTGAACAGTGCTACCCCCCAGTGTGTTTTTCATGTACTGCCAATCAATGATACTTCGGGGAGCAACATCACTCAATGAGATTATACCGATGCTAGCGCCGAGTCCCATACTAGCGAATTGGTGTGTGTTGAAAGAAAGAAAGTCTAATCAATATCGTTCGTAAGAGCGAAATTAAAGAGGGGAGGTTGCACTGTTGACCCCGATCAGTCCTCTCCCGATAAATATGTATGTTTCCACTTCAACAGGTTACCTAAATCTACCCGGATACCGCAGAGATGAGACTTATTTGCACGAGATGTAATATTTACACAGAGAAAAGCGACGGAGGGAAGACGACAGATTGTAACGTTTACTGAGTATTTGTAAATGGATATTTAATTTTAAGTGACACTTCATTCTTGTAACACTTCGTCATTAGGGTCGAGTAGATAACCGTCTAGAAGAAATTTATTCAATCTGAGAGAGGGATGTAATTGACTGTGACCAGCAAGATGCTATATGTTGTTGTGTGTTCCGAATGCTATGGCGAGACAGGATATGGGATAACGAGAGAGAGAGAGAGACAGAGATGGTGGAGGTAAACGGGATACATAATAGTTTTCCTCGCTTTAAACATTATGTTTCAGGACAGGTTGTCATGCCACCTATCCCTTACCATAAGATAAGTCCACAGCCGCAGTATACGTATACGTCCATGATAGTCACATATGCCATACGATTATTTCCTCCACATATAACAAGAGACGAATCGCCAAGTGTCAAGATTTATTGCGCGATTTTTAGAGACCATACCACCTAATCTCATTTTGCAATCTCTCGGTTCAGTGCATGCGCTTGGTACTTCCTCGCCACAAGCCATCCGATACAAGGTGAGCAACATTGTGGAAAGAAAATACATATCCCTCGGCGGTCAGCCCAATTAGTATCTGTCAGGTTAGCGGGAGAATGCAGGTGTAATAGACGATACTCCTAAAACCAGTTATATCCTCACCCTAACTAACCATAACATTTTTTTCAGATGTGAATGAATGGGTAGATTTATTCATTCCCACGGTTCTTAATATCACGACATCCATACATAGTGAATTAAGCTGACAGATACTAATTGAGTCTGGCTGTTAAGGGGATATTAAAAGCTGATTCGGTCAAACCATAGATATACTTGGGCACGAGATAGCACCACGTGGGCTTGGGAGTAGGTGAAATGCGGCCTGCCGTCTCCTCCGCCGACTTGCGCGGGTAAGCCAACATCAAATCGTTGTGGAACAGTAACAAAAATGCTATCTGGAGGGCATAGAGCGCGGGGAAACGGCAGGTCATCTGCCGGGTTTTACGGAACCGCAACACACGTTACCAGGAAACGAATCAATCGCACATGTGTCGAGAGAAGGTGCCGGGAAATACTTCAACTAATGTTGTACGAGCACAATCGGAAAAGTACCCCATGTTTTCCTCCAACGCTGTCTCGTGCCAGCCTTCTTCTGATTAGCTGCTATATGATTAAGCTCAGCGAGAGGGACGATCCTTGGCGCGACATGATCTGAGCTAAGCACGAGACAGCCTTCAACGATCTTAGTGTTGCAGTGCCGCCAAGAAGGGCCCAGTCGCCGTTCTTGGTGGCCAATACAGCGAGAGATAGATTTACTGTAGAAACAGGGGTCCAAAAACAAGATTTGAGTTACTGACAGCCAATAGGGCTCTTCCCATACTTCTGAAATAATTTTACCACACGCCGTATGAAGAAAACTTTGTGGATCACTCTCAAAATGTCGTTGCCGAGAAAAACGACGACTAGATCCAGGCCGTATGTAGTGATTGAAGGCGCTTCAGATGATATCTACTCTAGAGTATATGTCAAGCCGAATACGCCAGCAAGCGCAGCTATATAGCACTAATATTTATCATAGGTGGAGAAGCAATTCGACAAAGTGAGCTCGATTTAAGCTTATTCCCCTTGACAGGGACCCTGGCCCCTCTCTGTTCCTGCCAAGTCGCACGTGGCAGCAGATCCTCACCCATGCCAGACGGGACTATCCGTGCCAAGATATCAGGGATGGGAGATGAGGAGGCTCTACGAATAACCACCAGGTCCTCTCCACTTTTGCGATCTCTCTCTTCCGCCGTCACCATACTATTCTCTCCACCTGCGCCATCATCGATAATTCTTTCAGTCCACATGATTCCACCAACTTTGGCGGGCGCTTTGTTCGCTTTCGGCCATGAAAGGTTACGCGAGGTACTCCGGAGTGTTGGGTTATATTTATCTGTAGAGCGGAGAACCCACTAAAACTGACATTGTCGTGACTACAATACGGGAAACCCGGGTGTGATTAGAGCCGTACAAGTTTTGCAGGTTTAAAAGTGCCGTAGTAAAACCATATTAACAAAGACACCGACTTTTCAAAGAAATGTATTTCTATAGAAGCACTTTTTTTTAATATATAGTAGAGAACTGGTGTTCTTCAAAAAGGGTCATTTTGGTCACAAGCTGTTTTTTAGAAAAAAGCGGGTTTTTAGAAAAAGCCGTACCAGTACGCCTTTAATATACCATGAAAATACTAAAATATTCAAAAGCATAGTAGGTGTCTGGAAACTAGCAGGTCTCCGATATACAATTGAACACTAATACAAGTAGTAGGTGTTATGAAGATTTCTCTTGTACATATGTATGTTGAGGTTGAAATCGACTTCAAGATAGAGTTACAATTTGGCAATTTCATCATTAGCATGATGAAATCAAAGCGAGGGGTTTGTTATGTGGACCTTTGGACGTGGACGAAGATGTAGACTATAGTTGCCAAGGAACACAACCGAGGCAGAGGGCGTGAGCTTAGACTATTGGTTAAGTGATATACTGTAGACTCCCTTGGTATGGCATACCAGGGGACGATGACTATGGACTGTGGAAATACTCAAGTGGGCTATCTAAATCCCAGGATTCAGGTGGCCCGACTCTGTGTAATGTAGGATGAAGATAGTATTATAAACTAACAATACAGAGAGAATAAAGAAGGTTGCGTAAAGAGGAAAGAGAGAAACAGAACATCAACGAAAGACAGAACTCCTTTATATATCCAATAAACCCAGTCCGAGTGTGACTCATACATTCATACAACGGAAACCAATAGAATCCAAAGGAAACCCATATTACTAATCCTAGCCTCGTTGCCAAGTACTTCCTCTTTACGCCCTAACACAATATCCCACCGTGATGCCAAGACGCCGTTACAGGGTTGCGGGATGTCTACATGTAAGTCCATATGTATATACATGTAGGTACGAGGGTTGTGGGTACGCGTACATGTGTAGATACGAGGGTTGTGGGTGTAGGTCTAGCATGAGCTCATACAGGCGAGAATTATGGATTTGCCTAAGCCATCCTCGATGGTGTTGTGAGGAAGAGAACATCAGCAGGCCGTACCTATGTACGATCGCGAAGGGGAATCGATGGGCAAGAGGCTAAAGTGTCTATTCAGACTACACTTTCTAGTCCAGTTAATAAAATGTACCATTCGGAGAAGTTCGCCAATGCGGCGCAACACCGAAGCGACCACTCTACACCACCTATGGAGTCTGAGTGGTCCTACCCATTAAGATTGGCCGGAAGTCGTAGATCATATATCATATCCTACTTGCGTTCGCCTTGCATCTCTCGGAAGTCTTGGGAACCTTTGGTTTGACTCGCTACTTTGAGGCAGGTGCCTACAAGACTCTCATCTCGCGCGATCAACATTGCATATGCCGAAACCTCTGATGAAGCCCAAATGAAAATCTGAGGTTGGTCTGCCCTCGGTTTACGGGGAGAGCAGTCTTCCACCTATAATCGAGCCAATGTGAATATTGTTTGTGTACTAGCATACGGGTGATAAGTAAATCAGCATGGGTAATTTTAATAGGCTATCTTTTATCGATTAGCTTTAATTGTAGAGGCACTAAATGTCTTAGACAATGGTCTTGTACCCCGCATTAAGTGGTCTATGAAACAAGCCTGGTCCGTGCACTACTTAGTCAGGTAAAATTCTTCTTGCTTTTGTGGTTGATAAAATAACGAATTCTAGAGTTTCGTTACAAATTCCACTAGAGGCTTTTAGTCGGTTGTAACTTTGTGAATGAGCTAAAGAACACTTTCTATCTCTCTCAAGCTTTTATGAGACACAAGTGAATGGTATCATGCAACCGAGCCTCAATTGGTGCGGCGCCGTCCGGCGTGGATACATGCTGTCTCAGACACTTAGAAAATCTGACATACCGCCAAAACTCGAGAAATTGGCTATGCATGCAAGATCGAAATTACTACTAATGGTCACTTCTGAGGCTGATCAATAGCGTTCAACCAATCGTTAAAGAAATAATCCCTGGCCGGAGATAGCCAATTTATCGAGTTTTGGCGGTATGTACATCCAACTATATCCAGTTTGATTGGTCCACGCGGCAGGGACCTCTACCAAATGTGAGCTGCATGTAGATCGGAGCATCAATGGCTGCTCTCGGGCCATGGCACAATAAATGCTCACACATGCGAAGCAGTATATGACCTGTCTTGCGCGTTACGCGCACCGTCTCGTGTGTCACATTGGCATTCACTCTCTCTGATTTCGAGGTTTACTCCGTTTCTCGATCTCTGCCACGTAAAAACGGGCCTAGCCGAGATGGAGTATTTATGCGTATAAACTCCCGATAATATTCAATGGTCGTAAGGGTTTCCGGTGTCGCAGTTGGCTTCACTTACATCGACTCGCGACTTCGTGCAGGGTGGAAGAAGGGCTTGAGTCCGCGATATTATCAAGCACTTGAATGTGGTGCTATCCCCGGGGGTGATGGCATTATTAAAAGTGCATTTACTCTGTTATCGCGATTCACTACCTTTCGGGGTATCCCGCATGATTAGAGTAAACATGCATATGATTCGGTCAATTTTCATGCGGTATGTAGTAGCTATTACCCCCCCATACGTGAGGAGTGTCTTGGCTTAGTTGGAACATTGGGAAAACAGATGATAAGAGGGTAAAGAAGAAGCACATGGGCTACCGCCCCCACCTTACAGCCTCGCATTAATGTGCTTCTATATGATATTGGACGATTGAGCATGGAAAGTTGACATTGGATCGTTCATAGATACAGTTTGAACTGCTAAGGATCACTTTGATTTGTTTATGTAGGACGTTGGATAAATTATCTGGACGTACTATAGCGAGGTAACCCCTACCGTGGGACTATCTCTAGATATCAGTAGGAGGTTTCCAGTGTTATATTAAACTCTATGTATTCAGCTCTGAGATTGCTCAAGTGACCTCCAAAGCAACCATCTCACTCCGAACATTACCTTTATATCGAAGAATATCGCTTGAGTATATATATCGTTGTATTACATTCTACCCGCCTTCATCGATAGCAAATCGCTCCATTACGGGTGTGACCTGCAACATAGAATCAACGCTGCTGAACATCACATTGATGTACCAGAGATCCGCCTCTTTGAATCGAATAATATTAACTTGAACTAGTTAAACCACGAGGAGACGACCAGGTCAGAGACTTTCGCTCTCCACCATAGCATTTTGCCCGTGGGTAAAGGTATATGAGAAGAGCCTGCCTTCATAGCCTCATAGAAGCGGATTATTGATAAATTAATAACCAGGACCTCACATAGAGCTTACATTGAGCGGTTATTGTACACGTTCACCAATCCTCGACAAACAAAAAGGTACGCTTTCGTTCAAACATTTAAGGGCATTCTTAATATGATATCTAGAGAAACGCAACCCCAAGAAACCCGGGAGTAGATTTGGCTTGGGAGCCATGCAAGGGACCGGACTCTATGCCGAAGGTATAAATATATACCGTGATTCCATGGCTTGTGTTTGGTACTGATTATCATTTTCAATAGCGAAGCGGAACTGGCGCTCCTTTACCGGACGTTCTACACATCATGACTACTTGGGAATTTCGTTTTTAGTTATGGTTCTTATTCTGCCTCTGCACGTACATGCCCTGTGTACCACTCCAGAGTGTGTCCCGAGGGACGGGTGGGATAACTTTGCCAATAACCTCGGGAGCGATCTGGCACCGTTCCTCGCGCTGTTCGGAGAGCAGGTAACAACTCAATACATGAGCGAATCACTCGATTGGATAGACAACATCCTGCTTGCTCTTGCACCACTAGGGATTATCACGATATTGGTTTCCGCAATCAGGGTGTCCGGTACAGGACCGTTGAAATCACTTATTGGAAGGGGGAAGGAGACACGCGGTCAGGTGGAGACGGATTTGATGTCGTCTACCTCGAGCGATGTGTGTGAGCTATTGAGCGGGGATGGTGTCGTTCGTGTAGTTGGAACTCCTGCACTTCTTCAGCTTATCTGGGTTCCTGAGAAGGTGGGAGATTCTGATAAGTCTTGTGGTCTCTACAACTTCCGGGAAACGCTCAGTAGGAACCTTTATTATACGAAAAAGCACTCAGACAATCCCCAGAGCAAATTACCCGATGGGCGGGTGAATTCTGAGAAGCTAGCATTAGGGGGAATGCGGGCGACAAGTAACAGGCAGGAACCTACACCGGACGCATTGATAGATCGGAACCCTCCGAACGTCTCACTTAATCTCAGTGTCAAGTCGGTATCTCGCCCGACCTTAATCATTTTCATCATTATCGGCATCATCGCGCAAGGTGCGGTTTTGGCATTTGCTGCGGTCTCACAATATGTTTTACATTTCCCAAAGAACGACTCAAAAATTTCCTTCTATGCATTTCCTGTTCTGTGCGCTGGAACTGTTTTTCTGAGCGTGGGAATCCTTCTATGTGCTCACGCCGTTGAAAGCAGCACTGGGGAGATAACCTGGGTTCCCAAGAGGCCGGGGACCACCTGGGCCCGCAAGCCTTTGATAACCTGGTGGGCTTCCAAGCCCGAGCCACAGGCGAAGACGTTTGTGCTATGGCTCCAACAGGGGGGGCAGAAAGTAGGTGACCAAGAGTTCGAGGCATTTGCTCAAAGTTCCAAAGACGAAATAATCTCATCCTACCGAGAAGAACGTGGAGTGAATCGTGGAGTGAATCGAAAGGCACTGGTATTCGTGGCGATTACCTTTACGCTGCTAGGATTCATCGCGCAACTAGTCGGCTTGAGAGCTGCTCACTCTTCCGTTACTGTGATGCAGATGGCCGCTATCATTATCGTGACCGTTTTCCGTTCCTCTGCCCATTTCAAGCGAGATAAAGGGAACATAATTAAAAAACCTCAACTGGTAGAAGGCTTTGAATTGGATTGGCTTGCAAAGTATCTTGGTGGTATTGCCGACTGGAGGGTGGACACTAGCGCAATCCCTGCAGCATCTCAACAGCCTGGAACACGACCTGTAACAGCGGCTCCTGCAGCTTCTGGACAACCCGGATCACTTTCAGCGACAGGGGTTCCTCCAACCCCCCGACAACCCGGGTCACAGCCAGCAACAGGAGTTCCTGCAGTGCCTCTAAACCCTAGGTTACAGCCAGCGACAGTGGCTCCTACAGGATCTCAACAGCGTGAATCACGACCATCAACAGCAATATTACCAGCGCGCACGGAGTCAATATCACCATCAGACCATCCCCGCGATATTATTGGGGGAGGCAAGATACAAACCGACAAGGAGACTGAAGAGATCTTGAATTATACCCCGCAAAAGGCCCTCGAAGCACGTTCCCGTCTAGCGGAGCTATCTGTTGACTGGGACCTTGATCTCCGGAAGAGTGTGAAGGGATTAAAGAATGCGATAGAGATGACGATGAACGATGTGTATTCGAAAATGACCCTCAAGGAAGAGAGGCACAAATGGTTGAGGTCTTCATTTACTTGGCAGGTACCTGTTGTTGTGAAGTATAAGGATAGCGATGTCACGGCCGGTGTACAGCACCTTATCAAAGTCAATTTGACTAGACAGACAGACGGGCCTGACGGTTGTTCTGATTGGAAGGTTGATGAGTATATGCTGGAGGCAGTGCTTGGCCTCTGGTTATCATCCCTCATAGAAGAAAAAAGAAGCGGGGAGAAAAGTGATGAAAACGCACTCGAGAACATTTGGCATATCGGACCAGCTACAGATACATTCAGGGGAGAGTACAGAATTTGGATCCGCCGTACCGCGCCGCATAAGAGTACCAAGCGCTCGGATAAGAGAATGCGACATTTTGGATGGCCCACCAGAGGAGAACACGATGAATCACTTTATGTTGAGACCGATCGCACATTAGAGGTCATTTGCACACATCAACTTTATTTTCTGTTTCTACATCGTCTGGCGAAGGATGTCCAGATGGTTGGGGGGGAAACAACGACGCGACTTGAAGAATCTAAGTTGGATGGTGGGATAGCGGCACAAGCACTGAGTACCGCTCGCCTTCCAGACTTCAAGCTTATGAATACGAACCTGGCATCGATTGCAACTATTTTCAAGGATTATGATCTAGGCACCATCGAGGAGGCCTATTGTTGCATTATCCCTGCTTTCCAAAAGGTTCAAAAGCCGCCATATCCAAGGGAGAACTTTGATGCTCAGAAGCAATCGTTGGATCATCGTAACCCGGATAAATGGAGGAGTTCTCTAGGTATTGATATCGATCTCTATACCACTATGCATTCAATAGGTCTTTCCCAAAACGAGATAGACACCGTCGAAGAACAGTTATACCAACGCCTCCACAGTTTTAGGGAAATGTTTATATCCAAATATGTGAATGCTGGAATATACGAGGATATACAGCATCTGGAGCCCATGTGGACTGGTTTATACTTGAGATGCAAGCTTATCTTACCAAAGCGGCCACTTTCGTCTATCAATCTCGATCTCATGGTTCTCTGTCTTACTCGGTACCGAATTAAGGGAAATTATGATATTAAGGCGCTGCATCAGTTAGTATCAAGTACAATACAATCACTAAATCCCAAGATCTCGCCTGACGAGATTTTGGGGAAGATTGAGGATGAGGACGCCAAAACCTTTAGGGATCCAGACCTGCTGAGTAGGTTTGTGTGGGTCCAAGCTAGGAGTGGCAGAACGGTTGAGGTGCCTCAATCGTCGAGTACCTCCGCGCAGAATATTAATACTGCTCAACCACCAAAGCTTTCTGCCGACCCGTCGTCACACCATACATCCTCTAAGGTATTGATCGAAGCCCGTCGAAAACTATCATACATGTTCACATCACAAACCTTCGATAAATACGTTAACAACCCCACTTCGATCAAACGTATGGCAGAAATGAGCGTGACGAAGGGCTTTGATTCTGAGGAAACTAGTAATCAAAGCCTTCCGGTTGATCTTCTTTTGATACAAGGATACAGGACACCACTTCAGATGGCAGCAGAGCTCAAGAACATGCGGATTGTGGATATGATTCTTGATTTTTGGCGCAAAAATGGGGGATTCGACGTGAGATCTGACCAGCCGGCGGCGGAGGACGGAAGGACAGCCCTCCAAGCGGCGGCAGGAGGAGGCCATAGGAGTATTGTGGAGAGCCTATTTGAAGCTGGAGCGCCAATTGACGCCAAAGCAGCAGAGACATCTGGACGCACGGCATTGCAGGCAGCTACGGAGGGAGGGCATGAAGAGATAGTACAATTTCTTATCGCGAATGGGGCCAACATCAACGGAAGACCAGCTCCAAATCGTGGTATAACAGCCCTCGAGGCAGCTGCTGCGCGTAGAAATGTGGATATTGTCAAGTTACTTCTTAAGAAAAAAGCAGATGTGAACCCAATTCCTTCTACCTACGGACGAACACCATTACAGGCAGCGGCTGAGGCGGGACACAATGACGTTATTGAATTGCTTCTGTCTGAGGAAGCCAATGCCAATATTAATGCCCCACCAGCTGATTGTGGAGGTCGTAGCGCGCTACAGGGTGCAGCAGAAAAGGGACATTTCGAAACAGTGAAGCTGCTTCTGAATAAGGGTGCCAATGTTGATGATGATCTACCTGCGAAGGAGTTTGGATGCACCGCGTTCCACGCCGCAGTATGTTCTGGGAGGGGGGATATTGTCGAACTCCTATTGAACAAGCGTACAACTACACCTAATCATGATGCCGACAGCCAGATGAGAACAGCACTGTACGCAGCAGTGGAAAACGGTCATGATAGAGTGGTGAAGGTTCTTTTGGACAAGGATGCTCCTATTTATGCGGACAAGACTGAGCCAAACGGCAAGACCATCTTGCAGGTAACACTGCAAAGTGGTAACGCAACGATCATTGAATCGATCCTAAAAGCCTCATTCGATCTAGAGGCTGCTCTTAATCATGCTCTAATCGAAGGTCATGAAGACGTCACCAGTAACCTACTCATAAACGATCAACTGGACATCAACCGAAGTGATAGCCAAGATAGCGACCCAGCGCTGCTAAAGGCGGCAACTTTGGGCCATGTCGAAGTGATTCAGTGGTTGGTGGCGAGAGATAGTCTAAATGTGAATATTAAGAATAGCAATGGCGACACTGCTCTATCAATTGCGGCCAAGGCTGGATTCATTTTAATTGTGGAGATTTTGCTGGGACGCCAATATATTCTTCTCAATGAAGCCAACAACCAGGGGTCGACGGCTCTCACCCTTGCCTCTTCAGAAGGTCATGTTAAGGTGGTTAAAGCATTGCTAGCGAACCCAAGGATTAATATAAACGCCAAAGATAGACAGGATAAAACAGCCTTCTCCACCGCTTGGGAGAACATGAACGAGGCAATTCTGTTTCTTCTCCTCAACGACAAACGACTTGAATCTTATAATGAGACACTTGAAGAGTATATGTCACAAAAGCCTTTACTGTTATACGAAGCAGTGAATGAGAAAGCGGCTGTTCTCGTCGAAAGATTACTGGAAAGGCCCGATATCGGAACTCAACTCAATGCCGCGAACCCTCTTGGTGATACTCCACTCATGATCGCGGTTCGGCAGCAAAAGCTAGATATCGTACGAATGCTCCTGGGATATGAATCAGTCACAGTGGACAAGACGGTATTATCCATTGAGACCTCGCCGGAGATCAAGAAACTCCTCAAGGATCCTTCTCGGGGTACCAACAGAGCAAAGGCCAAACCCCCAGCACAAGATACTTCTACAGCACACACCCAGGGCGCTAGTCCAAGTTCAACCTCGGATCCAACTGATGGCGTAGGGCTACCACATACTATAGAGGTACTCCACTCATTATCGTCTCTTAGTTTAAATTGAATGCTAATATAATCATGATTATTTGATAGCGCGGGAGGGATGGTGCAACTAAGAATGACAGCCCTAGATAACGAGTAGTGATCACACACCAATCGAGTAACCGTGATCTGAGAAGGTATGTTGTTCCAGAATGGTATCTTGTTTATTGGAGAGCTCTAATATCTCCGTGTGGTAGAGCTGGTTGGGGATAAATTGTTGAATGGTTTATTTCAGGAGGGTACATCAGGGCATGTTCTTTAAGATGATATAACGAGTGGAAGATTGTGAATAAGATTAACCAGCCTACGCTTTTTTCTTTTGTTACCCTTTGATCCGTCACCTGTTTCCACTAGCGTCTTAATGCCAAGGCCTGATACCTAACTCCATCAGCTTGGGCACTTGGGTTTCTAATTAGCGAGATGCCCAGATCTCTAACCTCGGTATTTGTGACGGGGGGACAATATCCATAGATTCTGAGCTAATGATATGTGATTTCCGGGTTTTCGGGTCCATCGATAACTTCCGGCTATCTGCGATTGGTTTGGTCAGGGGTGCAGCACGTACCGAAACAGTGCGATTGATATATATGAGAGATGCGCAATGATACAATAGAGCATTTTAGTCCGTCCCTGTAATGCATTATTCAGGCATGTTTCTTCCGCGTAGAATGGTGTGGCGCACGTGGCTTCTGCAGCAGAAATATGGGACTAAATCATAGGGTACAATTTCGAAAGTGTAAACTACCATTAATGTGAGGTGACCTATGTTACCCGCATTTGGGGATGAAATTGGCAAACAATTGTAGATCTAATTGGATGAACAATGGAATTAGGATGATCAATTATCCTACCATCATGGTATTAATTACAGATATATTAATACTCTATCAAAAAAAATACTGGAGGGATAAACCGGGATTGAACCTGCATCATTTCGAATATCTAACAAGTATATAGATATACCGATATGCAATGTGTTATTTAAAGGTTTTGATTGGCAAGGTTTGAGGGGTTTTCTTTTTCTCTATCAAATATGTTTGTCAGTAAGTAGATATTCTATCAAATATGTTGGAGTTAGTAGATATTCTATCAAATATGTTTGAGTCAGCCAGTAGATATTGGTTCCAACATACCTTGAGTCAACCAAATAGTATATCAGATATGTGCACAGGGCATCTTGGGGTTTCAGTGATCTTAAGCGTTGGTAAACTGATATTGTTTAAGCCATAACAGTTCCTACTCCGGCCAAAGGCCGGAAAATGCTTGTATAATATAAGCTGTACCATTTAGGCCATGAGGGAAGATATCAGTTCTCTGTTTCATTGTTATATCAATTAGGATAATGGCAGGAAAAGATAATTTACCCTTTCCCTTAGGTTACTTTGAACGAAAAAAACTCGCTTAGTCCTAAAGCAGTAGGATGAACCTGATTTAGTCTAAGACCGATTAAAAAAACCCAAATAGGGAAAGAGTAACCTGTATCTCTCATATTTCCGGTAAGTTACCACTAAAGAGCAAAAGTGTACCACTTTATCTTTCCGGGCCGATTCCTACACTCCCGAATCGGGTAAAATACTCTAATGCAAATGTCAAAACACAGCCTCTCATATGTGGTCATAATAATATATCAAATTATCAATCGACCAAACAATAATTTGACAGCAACCCACATCTTCTTCAACGAATGGGGAGAGCATTTTCCTATTAGTTTCGGCTGGGCGGAGACCAGCGAGTGTCAGCCTCCGGGCTGCATACAATTCTTCAATGAATATCAACCCTAACCCTGCGCCAAGCCCTTGCCGGGTTGCCTAGGATACAATCTCATTAGAGTCTCTAATGACACTGTAAATGGATCAGCAAAATCGTCGGTAAATGTATGTGGTAAAAGTATATTGGGAAAGTTGTTTCCCGATTTACATAGTAATTTTCATGCGGAGAAATGCATCAGTAAAGTCGTAGTTAGGGAAATTGTACGACTTTACCAACGACTTCACCGACGACATTACCAACACTTTACCAATTACATTGACCGTTTATTGACAGGGGGAATAAGTTGCTGTTGCTGTTCTCTTGATCGGTTACTGTCACTTCCGTTGGTGGTTGTACTTGTGATCGCAAAGCTCGGGAGCTCGAGCTGCTTCAATTGGAATTGACAACGCGATCCAATATCATGACCAGCGAAATCATACAACGGGGGGAGTTACAAAGTCAGAACTACCTCTATATTCAAATTGAACAATACATTTTCTAAATTTAAATTGTATTCCCCAAATATTATAAGCCCATTAACATAGGAGGACATCTGGTGATCCTATTGACATATCTAGTTTCAGAGATCAATTATCTTGAGATTATGGCAAAGGCTTCACCGGAAAAAAAATGTTTTCCAGCGGAAATGGAAATGGGTTCGGAAGTGGTAAAGTCATAAGTAAAGTCGTAGGTAAAAGGCATTACACGCTGTAAAGTCGTAAGTGAAAGCATCCACAGATACATTTACACAAGACATCGGCTGTAAATGTGCTTTTTCGTGCCTTTTTATGCCTTTTACCATTTCTTTGTGTGGGAAAAAGCATAATTGATGCATTTACCGGGCTATTAGAGAGTGGAGGCAGTGGCCTGGACTGATCCTCTCTGGTCAATCGTTTTAATCCATAAGTGGCGAATATTGTAAGCGATGGCATAGTACATTTAGACACTCAAAAATATCCCCCAAATTGATGTTCGGGCAATAATCGAGTGACCATTTGTTCCAGCAATCATTGAATCGGCACAGTCTGTAGACATGAAAGCCACTCGTGTTGGCCTGAGGATGGAGATATTTGGGTGGTTCCAAGAGCTTTGGAAGATTATGTGTTAGGAGGCCGGGGGAGAGTGAAGTGAAGAGAAGGACAAAAGGGGTTAACTTACGAGTAATGAATGGTAGTCCATGAGTCGGGATCCTTTATTGCTCGAACTTTTCGTCAACCTCAACTCTAATGCGTTAACGTATTTCACCGGGAAGCCGACCTTCCCCGGGTAACCAACCTGTGTAACTATAATGTCAAAATAGTAGTGAAGATTTTTCATGTGTACTCGCCTCGCCAGTTGCAATCAATCACGGTACAAAATGGGTCGAAGTCGAGCTCAACAGCAGGCCAAATTCAATAAGAGGGTAGATGATGCCAAAAATGATCTGAATGCGGGCACAATCAAGAACATCCGAGAGGCTGCAGAGGTGCATGGCATTGCATACTCTTCGCTAAGGGATAGATTGGCGGGTGCGAAGAATAGGCAGGAGGCACATGTGGAACAGCAGAATCTCACGCCAGTCGAAGAAAATGCGATTAAGAAATGGATATTGAAATTGGATGATTGGGGATTCCCTCCCAAGCATCAATACGTCAAGGATATATCTTGTGATTTCCTGCGCAGTCACGGTATCCGTAAGCCCAAACTCGGGAAAAATTGGATTACAAGATTTTTAAATCGATATCCCAATCTGGCGTCAAAGTTTTGTACGAGACTGGATAAGCAGAGGTCTTATGCTAGTAACCCATAGATTTAAGCGGATTTTTTTGTTAAGGTAAGGAGTTAAGCGACACCCGTCCAATTTCAGACTAGCCCCTCAATAGGATAGCGTTGATAATCAGATAAGCTACGACAGGTAGCGCAAACACATAATGTTTTGCCGGATGACACATATAATATGGATGAAAAGGGATTGTTGATGGGACGTTCATCTCGTATTAAAGTCATCTGTCGACGGGGCAAAAAGCGGAATTTCAAAACGCAAGATGGAATGCGAGAACTCATAACGGTGATCGAGACGATATCTGCAGGCCAATTCGTAATTCCTCCGACCGTCATATATAAAGGAGAAGCACAGTATCAAGGCAGGAGAGAAAGCTTATTTTAGTTATTCTAAAAAAGGCTGGACGAACAGCGAGATTGGGCTCGAGTATATAATGAAAAACTTTGAGCCAAATACGGCTGAGAGGTATGAAATCAGAGTCACGGCAGTCATTCCTTGAAAATATATACTTACTTGTATATAGCGCTGGCGGGAGAACACGGCTATTATTATTAGATGGACATGTCTCCCATTGTACCTGGCAGTTTTTCTCCTACTGTCTCGCTCACAACATTATACCCCTTTGCCTTCCGGCACACTATACTCATCTGCTGCAACCTTTGGACGTCGGAATATTTAGTCCTCTACAAAGACGTTATGGTAACGTGATTGATGATTGGGCACAGGATGGTAATGTGGGCATACACAAAGGAATATTCTTCCCGTATGTTCTAATCCGAACCCTGCATCGCAAAATTCAACCTTTGAATATACATACTTACTAGAATATTAATAGACTCTTGATGGAAGCCAGAAGACGTACCTATAGCCAACAAACCATTGCAAGCGCCTTCAAAAGTACGGGCATCTACCCTCTCAACCCGCGTCAAGTACTGGGTTCTAGCCTCACAAAAGCAAAAACCCATGCGGCAGAAAAAGCGGAACTCCTTATACCCCGTACCCCCCACCATGGAAAGAGAATAGCTACACATACAAAGTGGACTCCTGCTCTTATGGGTGGTGCAGCGGCCACTCCTGATAGAGTTCTTGCAAAAATTATGGTGGAGAAACTTTCCCTCGCAGCTGCTGAAAATGCCGCTGAAGTGATTATCTTAAAGCAAGAACTGGAGTACTTGCGCAAGAAAAACAAGGCTGCAGTGGACTCATCAAAGGTAAAGAGTAAGGCAGTACTCTCAAAGGTGTTGGTAGTCACAACAGAGGAGGTAGTACGACTCCGGACCCAATGGGAAGAAAAACAAAGTGCCGCTACCTTAAAGTCTGAACAAAGAACAGCCAGAGCAGCGGCAAAGTTGGAAGCCAAGGGATCCAATTCCTCAGAAAGATTTACGAAACAAAAAGCTCTACCTTCTACACCCGGGTATGTATCTAGGGAATCCTCACCTTCAGAGAGCGAATGGGAAGAGATAGAAGAGTTTATTCCTGTACCTACATCTCCTTATATAGGCAAAAGCGGAAAGTGTCCTAGTTCTAGTAGTAGAGTGCTGAGATCGCCCAAATAATATATCTATATCCTTCGTTGCGTGCAAGTAATATATCTAATATCCTTCGTTGCGTACGGACGACCGTTCCTGGGTCGCCGGCGCGAGTTCAATGATCATCGCGACATCATATTTGCCCGTTGCTAGGCGACGGCTGGTTGCTAGGTGACGGTCGGTTGCTAGGTGAAATACGTTACAGCGATTCTCTCAGAATCATAATTCAGTGATAAGCATCGTAACTGCAGGTCCTTGCAAGTTGATCTTGGCGCATGCGAACCTGGTCATGTCCAGAACGGCATTAATGTACTTTCAGCCTCATAAAGTGCACATCCCATCGCTTGATCGCCAAGCCAGTTTGGGGGAGGGGGAGAGCTCGCTAGACTAGCGTGGTCACCCCTCACTTCCCCAGGGATATCTACACCACCAATTCTGGTCCCACGAAATGGCAGAAAGCTCACATGCGAATGACTTCAAGTCGTCGTTCGGGCCCATGCCCGCGGTGCCTATCATCCACTCCGCTTGCCCCTCCGACCCGGAGTACCCAACGGTCCCTCAAGCACTCGACCACCCCGGTGCCTTTGAGCTACCCCCTAGCCATATGCCCGCCGCTGCGAGCAATTCTTATAAATTTCTCTTGGTGACGATATACACGGGGCATCTCCACTCGAGCCAGCAATATCGTGTTATTGTCAAGCGTGGCTTACCGGCCCATGCAGATAATACATGCGATAGAGACCTATTCATGGCCATGAGATATGCGTACAACCATAAGCTGCGAGCATTCTGGCAGCGTTGCTTCTCGCTCGGTGGTCTCAAGTATATCGGAATTCTAGAAGTATAACTCGCTACAGTCAAGATCGTACTTGGACTGAGCTTGCAGACCGATTGCAGATAGTATTCAGGGCAGTATCCAGTTCTTATGAACATGGATATCCTGTCCCGCAACTCCCTCCTCTATGCCTTCTACAACCCGTCAAAGCTCAAAACAACCGATACCTGGGTCAACTGGGTCTTCGCGCTTAAGAACAGCCACCCACGGCGCTACGGACTTGAGTTTGTTCAAGGCTGGGATGAACGGAAGATCATTATACTCGGCGCTGTTTCTTGGGTTAGTAGTGTGGTAACGGCGATTTTATGGGGAATTCTCGGCGACGTACAGACCGGTATTTCTGTAGCGACTTATGTTTTGACGGCAAGTGGAAGTACGCGTTCTAGTATTCCGACGATCGGTAACCGTTGCTAATAATGGTCAAGCTGTGCTGGCACTGCTAGCGATCGTGAGTACATTAGAAGGATCAATTGATGCTGGGGGTGAGACGGGTATCAAGGCCGGATTAAGCACAGTATCATCGCCCCGGCCGGCGACCACAAATCTGCCTTTCCCTTAGTCTATCCCCACTCCTTTCCAAGGAGAAGGGAAGTTGTATAAGTTGTGTTCCGTATCTCAGCCAAGACCTCATAAGGGCCACATATAATAATAAGTCTAGATCACCCTTTTATCCACAGTCGTCTAACGGCTTCCGGCTGGGGAAAAAGCGGTACCAAATCTCTGCAGCCGATTACTTTCATTAGTGAATACCTTTAATCACGGAAAGATGATACTGGAAATGCTCCATCCCTTACCATGGGGACCTCAGGAGATTTGTGAGATCCCGAAGTAAGTGTTGTGCCACAGCGCATCCGAGCTTGAGTGATTACAGAGACGAATAATAGTTCAAGGGAGTAAAGCGAGACAGAGAGGAGAACGACAATTTATACATCTGGTCCCTCGATCTGACCTATCTGTCATTCCCTCACTTGGTAGCCGTTTCCACTTGGCGTGCCAAGGCTTTTCTGTCGTTTCAAACGGTAGCATCACCGTACCTAACCAAGATAGATATAGCTAAATAGCCTGTCCATCTGTTTCATAAGTGAAATGGGAAAGCTTATCTAACGACTAGGAGTCCAGTTCGGCTCGGATCATGTCGCCTAACTCTTACTCGAGTATTTGGTAGGGTTAGGGTTGCGACAGAGGCTAGCGCTCTGAAGGTCAATTTAAGCTTTCCCGGGGTGATCATCCTCTTGGCCGCATGAGTCCCGGGGTGTGTGTTGCCGGGATGGTTCAATTAGCACGGTTTAGTAACCGGTAATAGTTGCTCGGGAATGAGATTGGCGAGGAGGCAATAAATAGCATGTTGCTGATTTTAGTTATTGTGCTCAGTCCAAGGGGGTTAAGAGCGAGCCTACCAGCGCAATAAAGATCGAATAATGTATAGATACTGCGAGCTTTATAAAGCTGTCTGGCAGTGATTCTGCTATTACCTTACGCGTGCTCGGCGAAACACATTTGTGACCATTTTGTGACCATTTTCCAGACGGCTTCCACAACCATTTTTCCGCCATCGGTGATTTTCGTTTCGATGGACTCCCCAATGAGCTGCCGTTTCATCATTAGATATTTCTCCTCCGATCTACCTGGCCCCTTTCCTGCTAATAATGACTCTCCGAACGACCCTATACACTCTCATTGTCCAGAACCACCTCCCGCAAACTATCCGACGATTTATCTAATCACTTCAAATATCATTTTTTTTTTACGGTTTTAATAACACCAGTTTTTACCGATACTACCCTTACAACACCAAATCTCCGTTATTCCCACAGCTTTCCTGCCGGATAATACAAGATCTATGCCTCAGCGCTCGTAGCTTAATTGTAGTAGGCATTATTGTGGACAGAGGTTATGATACTGTAAGGGTGCTGAAGCGTGTTGTCCTTTGGTCGGAGAACAATGAAGAGATGTTACCTACTCGTTTGATGTAGGATAAGACGAGGATCAGGCTCTCTTCCTGTGAGATCGCTACAATTTCAAGGCTGAATACTTTAGTGATTACACTCACTTCGTTAATAGTAGTAGTTTTGAAACCGTCGAGTCTTCCTGAAGAGTTTACGGAATGTGATGGCTAGATAACCTTTAGGATGCACCTTTAATTGTTGCACCTGTCACTGCTTGACCCCAAATACTAGCCTATACACATTAGCGATGCATTAGGGGACCTTTTGCCGAGACTCTACAGAGGTCGCGCTATTTCTACGTTCATGATACATTTCCTAATGCGTTTACTATGCACTACTTCCCTAAACCATCCAAGACGGGGGTTAGTCATGAGATGTCACTCGGACCATGGATAAGTCTACTCGCTCCTTGCGAGAATTATTGTACCAACAATAGACATAGGAAGAAACGCTTCCTGTGTTCCTGTGAGGGTTGATAGGGTGATAGGGTTTGATTACTCGAAATTCGGGCTGTAGGAGAGAGCGTTGGTGTATACATAAAGTATCACTCGGTCAGGTAATATCACTTGGTCATGTGAATGCCGCTGGGTAGACGAGCGGATAAGAAACCTCGAAATGGCTCAGTTGTGGAACAAGCAGAACCGCAAAGTACTGTTCCTTGTAGGGATCATTGGATTGAGAAGGGAAATTGCCGAAAGCTCGCTGAGTCCGGTCGCCAGGGAACAGGCAGGTGGGGGTAAGAAAGGTGGTGTTTTACCCGCTCTATCATGCCTCCGCATAGGTGTCTAGACCGGATGAGAAGACAGACATTTTCCCACATAGTGTAGACACCTGACCGATTACCGGAACTGCCATTCCGATGGTTCAGGACCTACCTCATGACCTATTTTCGCCGCTTCGCCGCCATCTCGGTGATTAGTCAACCCTTATTTTCGCCGCCCTAACGCCGCCCAGCCCTTAACCCTACAACATTTTGGCTGCAGCCCTACCTCCCGTGCTCGCTTAGCGCCTAGGTGTCTTCGCTGCTTCCCCACCATAAAGGTGCCTAGTCAATACGTGTTTTCGCCGCCCAGGCCCTAAGGTATTTTGGCCGCCGCCCCACACTCCAGCCCTTCTTTAGCGCCCTACCTTTTCGCCGCTCCCAGCCTTGACACCGAGTATAAATACCACCGTACCCTCCCTTCCTTCTCCCCCTTCCCTTCTACTCAACTGATTAGCAATAATCGTGCTGCCGGATTGTTCCACCGTTGCCTCGTACCTTCTCAAGAGGAACAAGACAAGGGCGGGACAAGCTGGACAGTAGGAAGGATTGGCTGATGGCCCCTGACTTTTGATCATCGTGCTTCTGGATTGTTCCACCGTTGCCTCGTACCCTCTCAGGGACGAAGCAAGGGTGGAACAGGCTGGAGAGTAGGAAGGATTTGCGGTTGGGGGCTTTTTCCCTTTACGTTTATGCGTTCTGCGGGAGTGAAGAGGGTTGTGTGTTTGATTTAGTGTAGCCTTTTTAGTTCTATGTAGTATCTGTGATTGTGAAGGGGGTGGGATTGTGTCGTGTGTGTGGTTATAACAGGGTCAGGGGTTATTGATGTCTTGATCGGAGATTTCGGGGGTATTAACGTATTTCCTTTGTCTCTTCCGGCAATATAGAGTCGCTCCATAACTCGTGGAGATTATATAAATGCAAGAATATACACCACGAGCGGTCGCCCATATGCTACATCTAGCCTACCCGACAAGCTCTACCTTTGCGACCCAACCCAGCCGGCAAGTGATAGATATTCTGTTTAATAGCCACGGATAGTACGCTCACCGTAATGGTTTCGCTCTCGTGTTATTCTAGAGGTCGCCGCGGTGTGTAGGAGGCTAACCAGAACTAGCGAAATATCAAGTAGCGGGTTGACAAGTACCGTTGGTTACGCTGGGTAGGGTACGTAGCGTCGGCACCGTAGAGACCAATCGAGTTAGGTTTATCATTCTGAACTGGGCAAACCGATCCCCGGCATGTCCTAGAACTCCAGGTAAAGACGCAGCTTTCCAGAATATACCGATACTCCTGGATTGAGACGTATATATCTCTAGCGAAATGAGCTCAGTGTTAGAGAAGAGCCCATCCATCGGATGGAGGAGCACTGTAGCATGGTCCAGATTCCTCTGACCCCCTGCAAGAAACCCCTGGTAGGTGCAGAGAAGGGCCAGATGGGGCATCTTTTTGTACAACTAAAGAACTACCTGGACAGCCAATTTCTATTCACTATCTGCGAGGCCAGTCATATATCTTACGTGAGATGCGGCCTGGTGTACCAAAAGCTAAATAATTGCCGCACGCTGAAAATAAATCAATTCACAACTCATGGATTCTCACTCGATTCCCGAGTCTTGTTCATAGACTATCACTCGCTCCTGTTTTTTTTTCTGTTTAATTCATACTCGCATGCAGCCCGTAGGCTAACTCGCTCCTGTGTCACTTATGCCTGATGCATGAGTTTGTGACTAGCGCTGTAAGAACAATGGAATTTGCTGGAATAATTGCGTAAAATAGTGTATAGAAGTGTATGCTGCGGAACCAGGCACTCCGGGACGTATATCCGAATAATGCAAAGTCAGAGAGTGAGTTCTTAGTATTAATAAATAGTATCAGCATCGGGCACGACTGGCAGTCTACAGTTCCCGAGGGATGTATGCGGTAAAGAGCCCTCTATAGGCACATATGTATTGGCCTGGCGTTCGTAGTGATGGGCATGAGACAATACCTGGCGAGACTTTGGACAAGACAAGACGACACCATGCAAAGTTAAACATGCAAATATGCAAGATCTCGAGGCCGTTTTTCAAAGGTATCGGGACTTTTTTTTAAGTAAAAAATATTTTTCATTTCGTTCATTTCCGCTCAACCCCTAAGCCTTTAATTTAACCCTCACCAAAACCTTCATTATTAAGACCCTAACACTCATTAAACCTCTCATTATTAAGAGATTAAAGGTCATTTAGTTGCCCCAGCCGAAAGAGACCAGTGATCACAAAGTCTCGAGACTTTGGTAAGTCTAGCACTTATCTATCTGCAATTACAAAGCATGAACCCTAAAGTTTCAAGGCGAAACAAGACTTTGCTTTCGTCTCGTCTCATCTTGTATTGTGCCCATCACTAGGTGTTCGCGAACTGCCCACCAGATTCAGGTATATTAAATTCGTCGCTTGCCTACATAGGCATGTTCCGGGCCATTCGCAAATAGCTCGGATTCGTGAATGGACTGCTTGCTCCATACATCTGGGACAGGACCGGTCCATTGGCGAATGAACTGAATAAAAGGTAGTGAAATTGAGTTTTTGAACCAACGCCCGAAATGCCTGGGCTTTAATAGAGGTCCTAGGGTTTTACAAGAGGTCATAGGGCTCTACTAGTGATCCTAGGGCACTAATAAAAGGTTGTAGAGGTCGCCGAGGCTGATAGAGACCACTGGATGTCACTGATGCTCGCTAAAGATCTTAAAGGTGCTAGTGTTGTTCTAGATTTGGTCTTCAGGGTTGCTGGTTTTTTTTTAGAGGTCTCCAGTGATTGTAGCAGCCGTCGCGATCGGGGGTTGATATAAATCATTGTTAGTTATCAGTTTTGAATAATTTACAACAGTTTCCCCGGGCTGTTCGCGAATAGACTGGTCCAGCTACAGATGTATGAGCCTAGGAGTCCATTCGCGAATACCTCAAGTCCATTCGCGAATTTGTCAAGTCCATTCACGAATCCGCCATATTTGCGAATCGCCCCGTACAGTTCCCTCTTCATCTCTCGCTGGCACTGTGCCTAGTGGAAGTGGAAATACAGACTCTGTACCCCCTTGAAGCTCGGAAATAGAATCTTTACCGCCCAATAACCGAGCTAAAACCTCTTGCACAGTCTATCTCTGTATCCGCTCCTTCACGCACCCCCATTCTGCGGTGGACTTCCGGGTGCCTCTATCTCGCGGAGAGAACACGAGTGCTAAAACGGACAAGGATATGCTTCTAAATCTCAGGTCGATATACTACGAGAAACTCTTGACCTTCTGGCGGCGCCACTTCTCTTTAAGAAGTTTAAAATACATAACCATCATCGACGTGAGTATATGAAATCTCCACACCCTACTCTTCTACTCACCTTCGGGGCAGTACACAGACCCCGAGGATCATGTGACCCTTAAGGTGGATGCCGCCTTCCGCAAATCACCCCTATACGCGTTCCGCAACCCAGACATGTTCCCCACCTCGCACAAGTGGGTCGACTGGATGTTTGATCTGGAGAACATGGCGCCGCGGCAGTTAGGGCTAGAGTTTGTGCAGGCGTTGGATCGGCGCAGGATCTTGATTCTGCTGGGAGCGATACCGTGGGGGTGGGTAGTTTATTTACGGCATTAATGTTGGGGACGAGACAATACGAGACTGATTTTGAGTTGGTCTCGTCTTGTATTGTTTTGTTTTCTACTGAATTTGAAAAGCTCGAGACCTAGATTGGGTCTCGAGACAAAGTCTCGAGACTAAAAGCTTTATTGAATACTAGTACTAAATCTCCTGATCACTACCTAGGTCTGTATCTTCATCATATTCTGCTCTTTTCTCGTCTGTAAGCTCCCATAATTCATAGTCCGGTTGCCCAATCCAGTTCTTGACTAAAAGAATGTGTTTAGTAGCGGTATCAAGCAATCTATTTCTTTTTTGTGTCACGACATCTCCAGCTCTAGAAAACAGCCTCTCCGCTGGGACACTACTAGCAGGGACAGCCAAGTAATCTCGAGCCATCCTACACAGGCCCTTTGGGTAGCGGTGATCATATAATGACCACCAAGCTGCGGGTTCTTTTTGCCAGCCTTCAGCTGGCTCGTTTAGCCATCGATCAGTTTCCTCCTTCTCTGCTGAATTGCCCTGGAAGCCGCCAGTACTGCCATAACCAAATAGTTCCGCCAGCGGGTTAGGTACTCCGTCCTCCTCCGGGTGTCGAGAACGGTTTTCATCTGTAGGCTCCGGCGCTCTATAGTGCTTCCTATAGATCCGGAGGAAATGTGTTTTGGATTGACGACGGATTGGTGCTGAAAATCCGAGTCTTTCTAAACCATCAGGTTTGCAACGGGGATCGAGAATCATTGCTATTGCCAAAGCTGTATCTTGATCGGTCTTGCACCAATACCTGTTCAACACCTCCCACGCCCTGTCATATGCGGAGGATATGATGTCGCTTCTACCCGGATCGCTGTCCGCAATATGAACAAAGTTCCCGAGCTGTTTTAGCAGTAGACTGTAGTAAGGTAGTTGAAGTTGAAGGGTTGAATATTTGGAACCGCTTAGGTGTTTTGTCGGATTTACAAATATTTCTAATACTCCGTGTATTTCCTCCAAAAGACCCCATTCCTCTTTGTTGAGAATAAAAGGTGTAAGTTCATAGTGTTCGGAGAAGGCAAAGAGACTTAGGAGGGCAGGTTTCAGATAAAGAAATCTTCCGATCATATCATGTGTGCTATTCCACCTAATAAGAAGTAGGATTGTGTTAGCAAACACCTTAATCATGATTATAAATTCAAGATATGGTAGTATACCTGACGCGCATATCCAGTATTGGACGCAAAACCTTTAAATTCTCAATCATTCCCTCGGCTTGTAAGGCATCATATAGTTTTGTTGAGGCACGAATCTTTGACACTACCCGTCTTACTTTCTTCAAAACCGTACCCGGAGAAAGGTCAGACTCGTACTCCCAACTATTTGAATCCGCCATTACAGCCTCCAATTCCGTTGCCTCGGCTTTAAAATGACTTAGGATTGTTTGTGCCGCTAGATTGATCACATGTGACATACAGCGGACTCAACCATCAGATTTTGACCAAGACTATATTACTCTATCCAATATATCCATCATCTTCCCATTAACGGAAGCATTATCCGCAGTGATGCATCCCAAGAAATCCAAAATTCCGTATTGTTGTAGTGTGTTCTCTACTACCCCCGCTAAATTCTCTGCCGTATGTGAGCCGTGAAGACGTATGAAATCTAGAACTATATCCCATAGTTTAAATTCCTCGTCTATCCAGTGAGCGGTGATCCCGAGATATGGCAGTTTATTCCCAGCTGTCCAAGCGTCAAGAGTAATACTGATTCTGCCACCCGATTTGATGTGCTGTTCAAGCTTAGACCGAACTGATTGTTGAAGGTTATGGTGCATTTTTTGGAGGTCTTCCATTACTGTTCGGCGGGAGATTAATGGACAGTTACTATTGCAGCATTGAACCAGGCGACGGAATGACTTTGCTTCAACTAAACGGAATGCAGAGTCCGTCTCCACCAAAAATGAAACCAAAAGCTCACGGTACTGATCATTATCAAAAACCTCCCCCGGCTTTCTTGCACGTTGAGCAGCCTCTGCCTGAGTCCAAGGGGTCCTGATGTCCTGACTGCTACGCAATCTCTTTACCGATCTCGACAGAAGTTGCAATTCAGAAAGCTTCGCATCGTAAAGGGATTGTTTTGATGGCAAATCTCTATGCTCGTCACCTATATGTCGTATGTAAAGGCTGGTAGTAGTTTCAACAGGACTCCGATTAACCCAAATCTTTCTACAGTGGCAACAGCGGACTGTATGTCTTTCTCCGTCCTCTTGCTTATCCCTAATCATAAGTTTCTTGGAATATATATAGGCGTGGAATTTCGATTTTGTGTTTGCCGGGTTGCTAACTGTGCGTGGTCCTACAAGAGTGTCTAAACGATATGAGTATTTGACATAGTATTAGGGTATCATTCGCCTTGAAAAACTCACCCCAGTTACCGACAAGTGCCTTCTTAAAAACCGAGATTGGATCCGGAGCGGAAGGATCATTGATAGTGCTTGACGAATCCAATACCTCTGAACAAGCTGAAATAGAAGTAGGAGCATTGAATTCGGAAGAAGGTAAAGTCCTTTGAGACTTCTGACCCGAAGACATTGGATTAGATTCTGTCAAACACGGTAACAGTTGCTGTTGATGTTTTCTCTTGGATATGCAAGCTACATGTTGACGGCTAGCGCGAGTGAGTGTGCTAAGTGAAATGTGCTGTTGTGAATGATGCTGATAGGATGAACAGGTGCGTTGGCATTCTTGGCTATTATGGGCTCGTTGGAGGAACAAGGGCCATAGGGAGTAGTTGTATTTGGAAAGAGAATTTCCGGCTACAATGCCTTTACAATGCATGCCTTTATAATGCATGGAGATCCAAGAGCTTGAATTGTGTCAAGGAAACGACAGTAAATGTTTACAAACACTAGGGATGACCTACCTCGGGTTACAAGTTCGCTCAGCCCAGTTCCATTTGAGAGAGTAGAGCTCTTAGTATCCTCCCACCTCAGTTTGATTCATTGTGGTATATTCGTATACTCCAGAAACTTAAATTCCCTCGATAACGAGTACGTTTCCGCCCTTTATTTGAACAAACCTTCTACCACCCCCTCCACCTACTTGCTACGAGAATATGTTTCCGCCACGACCTTTGTGTTGCAGCCGCATATTCACGCACAAACTTGGCGGAAATCTGTTCTCGCCGCAGATAAAACCACATACTTAAAGGATAGATCCCCCCCCAATTAATTTTAAATTGAGAGTTCATCGAAATCTTGGACTTTTGAACCTCATGAGTCCTTGCATCAGTATAACCTACCCTAACTACTGATAAATTTCGATCCTCCCCGTTTGATGGAGTTTGAATATTCCGCCCCTCCACGATTATAGAATTTATCCTTTATGCGGGTAGATTACCAAACAGGGTTAGGGTTTCCACACTCAACCAATTGGGTTGCTATGGCGATGGATCCCACGCCAGGAATGGCACTGTTGGGCACAGGAACTAGGTGGAGCAAAATTGAGGCTAGCCAGAAACGGCATATCGCCTTTCACTGGTATTATCTTACTGGATGCCAGCAGGCTGGCCTGGCCCCGAATATATGTTTCTGCTTTTTGATAGCCTTTGAGTATGTTGGTGAGGTGATGTTATGTGTGCCAGTACCAGGATCGGCGGAACATGGAGCTATCTCTGATGTTGGTGGAGGAGAATGGGGTATTTCAGACGACTGTTTCTCTGGGCGAGTCTCGATACCACTACCCAGCAGGCCAACCTCGGTATTTTTCGTTTCGCGGGCCAGACAAAGTCAAGAGAGATCACAGGGCCTTAATGATGATGGCTCAGTCACTATCTATGAAAGGGAGTTCTTGATCAAAGCGAACCTCCTATGCATTGAAAGCGCCTATTATCCGGGCTCACTGGCCCCCGAGACCACGGAAATAGTCGATGATAGCATTCTCGATCTACCTATTCATATGGCGCAAACGATCAAAAAAGAGCCAATAAAGTTCCGCGAGGGTACGATAGGAGGCCGCCGCCAGTCTAAAAGAAGTTTTTGGGAAGAGATATACTTGATCTACATGAAAAAGGCCGTCACTTCTGGCTCAACAAAAATTAGTCAAACAGTTAACACCGACCACTACGGACACACTTGCATGGTGTTATCTCTATACAGCGCTATGCATTGTGTAGCATGGAATTACCATTTCCCCACTGTCATTGAGATGCTACTCTGGCGTGGTGTCTGCTTGTCATTGATTTGCGTGCCGTTCATACCAGCACTTTTCAAATACTTCTTCAAACTCCCGTACATCAACAAAGTGGAGCAAAAGACGGTGGATAGATTGACTCATTTCATCAATAACCTAACTAGTGTCTATATCTTCTTATGTAGACTCTATATAATGGTAGAGCCGTTTGTCAGTTTGAGACTCCTTCCGGCAGATGCGTACCGAACTGTCGCGTGGGAAAACATCTGGCCTCATCTGTAGGTATGAAAGCTTTAAAGGTTGTGACGAGATCTAGATACAGAGGTGTTTGCCGAAGAATTTGCTGAGTGGTCTTGGGGGACCGAGTTTTTGTAGGTGAGAAGAACGGTATTGAGTTTGCTTAGTTTGGCCATAAATTGTACTTAATACGATCTGAGATTCGGAGATAGAGAGTTTCAAAAATGGAAGGATGCTCAGCTGCCTTGACCAGAAGGCATCAGGTGATGATAGCCTAGCAACTGGTAAATTTGGACAAGCGCATTAGCGGATAATCTTTATCAGTTGAGCTTCTTACCAGCTACTTGTGAGAGCTTCTCTGTTAGATGTAGTCTTATACGTCTGGTGCATGCACGTATGGGTCCAGGTTCTTGGTGTTTTCTTTCTGAAATATGTTCAGCGAAGATGTCGAGGTCCAATCTTAGCTACCCGAATAACGTTCGGCGATCTCCTCTTAGACCAAAGCGGATGCACTACGGAATGAAGTGTCCATGGGAAGTTAGATTTCATGGGTTAGGGTTGAGGAACCAGTTGCACTCCGTTGTCGGGACTCGGACAAACCCCACTAATTAGGTGAGATTGAATACCCGTTCACTTTACCTGTCGTAGAACTATTAGCTAGAGGATGTGAAGTGGTATGTAGTACCTGTGAATTGGAGTGTGGGAGAATAGACGACTTGAGGAGGGTTTGAACACGTGACCTTTGTGAGGAATATGTTTATAGTGCAAAGAAGATACTATTGCGCCGCTGAGTTCCAGCGACAACTATGGGAGTTTGTTACTCCTTATATACAGATAGTTCTTAGTACCATGTGATCCCCTGATTACATAATCCTAGCGCTAAGCCTCCTTGTTCCAACTATGAGTCATCCCTTATACATGAGTAATTACCATACATAACCGATGTCGCAATGCCATATTTTTACACTTCCCCTCACTTGCCACATCGTATCAATTCTGACAATTTTTGGTGAGCTGGTTTTGGTAGTCCTTTGGTTATTATGTCCGCGACATTGTCTTCGGTAGGGACGTAGAGGATTTCGAAGATTCCGGCTTCGAGTTGTTCACGTGTGTAGTGATAGTGAACGTCGATGTGCTTGGACCGGTCGTGGATGCGTGGGTTCCGACAGAGTTCAATAGAACCTGTGTTGTCGGCGTGTATGAAGTACCGGTATTGTAGTTGGAGTTCGTGCAAGGCATTACGAATCCATACCAGTTGTCGAGCTGCGAGGGACAGGGCCATGTATTCGGCTTCTGTTGTTGAGACTGCGACTGATTTCTGCTTCCGGCTTCTCCAGCTAATAGCTGACTTCCCTAGTCTGAACACGTATCCTGAGAACGATTTTCTGTCATCTAGGTCTGAAGCGTAGGAACTGTCTGAGAATCCGTCGAGTGTTCTAGTATTCCCCTTCGGGTAGAACAGGTTCCAGTCTTTGGTTCCGTTGAGGTATCGGAGAGTTCGCTTGGCTGCTCGTAGGTGGTCCTCGGTTGGACATGAGGAGTATTGGGAGAGAGCGGTAACGGCATGGGTGATATCAGGTCTGGTAGCTATACTCGCGTACATCAGTGATCCTATTATGGATTGGTACTCAGTTGGTTTCTCGATTTGGTCTTCCGGTTCGCCTTTGTGAAGGTTGAGGTTCGGTTCGAGTAGTGTGCCAACTGGTTTGCAGTTACTCATTCCAAATTTATCCAGGATCTTGTTGATGTATGCGCGTTGTGATAGCGTGATACCGTTGTTTGTTACCGTTATTTCTATTCCCAGTATGAACTTCGAGTTACCGAGATCCGTACATTCGAAATCTGCCTTGAGTAGTTGTCTGATTTCTTTTCTGAATGGGGAGTCGGGTCCGAATATCATGATATCGTCTACATACACCGATATGTATAGATGGTGGTTCTTATGTATGAAGACGCATGGGTCGAATTTGGCTGGGACGAATCCTTTCCGTTGAAGGGAGTCTGCTAGGCAAGCATACCATTCACGGGGTGATTGCTTTAGTCCGTATATGCATTTTCGAAGTTTACAAACCTTGTTGTCCTGCCTGTAGCCTTCAGGCAGTTCCATGTAGATTTCCTCCTTGAGTACACCATACAGGAAGGCTGACTTGACGTCCATTTGTTGTGGTATCCAACCGTTGTGTGCAGCTAGTGCCAGTAGGAGTCGTAGGGAATCGTATCGTGCAACGGGGGCGAAGGTCTCATCGTAGTCTTGGTACTGTACTTGGGTGAAGCCTTTGGCAACGTACCTTGCTTTGTACCGCTCGATTGTTCCGTCCGCGTTGTGTTTCACTTTGAATACCCACTTCCCTTTGATTACTGCTCGGTTAGTTGGTCGGTTGACAATGTCCCAGGTTTGGGCTTTGTCAAGGGCGTCTTTTTCAGTCTGTATCGCCTTTTTCCATAGGTCTTAATCGTCGCTGTTCATGGCTTGATGATAGGTTGAAGGTTCGGTTACAAGGTGTACACGGTAGATCGCAGGTTCATTGGATACATCTTGGTATTCTAGGTCCAGATCCTTTCTGGCATTTATGATGTCGGCTTTGAATTCTTCAATCATTGCTTGACATTCACCTTTATCCATTGGACCGTCCTCTCTAACTGATTCAATGTACCCTTTTTGTTGTTCCTGTAGTTGTATTACCTTGTTGTTGTATTCCTTCCTTCTTATTTCCTTATCAAGTTCATAATCCATTTTCGTACGGACGCGATTCGATCGTCTTGGAGCTGGTGGTGGATCTGATCGTTTTGGAGGTTGTGGTGGTGTACCTTTGGGTGTTGTTGACGCAAGTGGTTTTCCTTTGAAGCCTTTGAATGGTATGACTGGTGCTGGAATTGTCTCCCAGTTATCTCTTGGATCTCGCGGTTGTCCCATAGGTATGGCAGGTTCTTTTCCCTTGTGTGGTGTAGCCGGTGGTGGTTTTCTAACCTGTTCCGGTGATTCCGGGAACAATCCTGGCATTTCTGTACGGTTCTCTTCGATTACATTTGACTCGGGTTCTGGGTTAGACCTGTCTTCTGACTCGTATCCGTCGTCTGATGGTGCATTTGCCATGTCTGGTTTCAGGCTGGGGATGAAGTCGAGTTCCACTGAGACTTCCCCTGATTCAGGAGGGGGGAATGTGACGTCCCGACTTTCAATTACCCTATGTTGTGTTCCTATCCAGATACGGTATATTTTACTACTGTCTGAGTATCCAACTATAATTCCTTCATACGCTCGGGGTGCTAGTTTGCTTCCTGCTGGCCTAGAGTTTTCTGGGATGTGGACATAGCATTTTTTACCGAATGGTTGAAGGTGTTGTATACTTGGCTTGGTTCCTTTCAGGGCTTCAAAGGGGGTCTTTCCCTTAAGCGTACTGTGTGGTAGCCTGTTTTTGAGGTAGACAGCTGTTGCATATGCTTCTCCCCATAACGACTTAGGATGGTCCATGATCATGCACCTGACCATTGTGGTTACCGTCCTGTTGAATCGTTCTGCAACTCCATTAGATTCAGGAGTGTATGGTGGAGTCTGTTGATGAACTATTCCTTGTGTATGGAAGTAGTTCGTTGTGTCCTTGTTGATGTATTCACCGCCACCATCCGTTCTGAATCTCAGTATTGTTGTGCTATACTGTTTCTCGATCCTTGTAACGTAGTCCTTGATGGCATTCTTTGCGTCTTCTTTCTGTTTCAGGAGGTATATCCATGCGAAGCGGGTGTAATCATCGATGAAGGACATATAGTACTGAGCTTTCTCTTGTGACTGTATACTGAACTTTCCAGATAGATCTGAGTGGATTAGTTCGAATGGTCGTTTGGATCTAGTACTGATTGGTGCAGGTTTCTTATGTACGCTCTTTGATAGTGCACATTGACTGCAGTGGAAACTTTCTGGTTTGGGAGGCAGCCTGTGAATGTCGTGATACAAGTTTTCTAGTGTCGCAGGGTGGCCTAACGCTTGATGCCATTCATCGTAAGTGGTCAAACGAACTGTATTGCTAACTACTTGTACATTCCAAAGTCCCTTTTCCAATTTTCCCCAAATTATTCCTTTCTTTTCTTTTGTAACCAACTTGCTTCCTCCTCCTGACTCCGTTCTAAATCCCTTTTTGTCGAGCACAGTTTCGGAGACCAATCCCACATTTCCCAAGGTTGGGACCAACAGCACATCGGTGAGGAGAATGGAAGATCTACTTCCATCGGGAAGGTGGCAGCTGAAACTAGCGCTTCCCATTCCGGTGACAGCGTGGTTAGTTCCATCAGCTGTTCGGACATTGCCGGTGTGAGGTCGGATGTTGATGAGTTGGTATTGGAAGGGTGTGACGTGAGAGGTCGCTCCAGAATCAAGGATCCAAGTAAGGGGTTGGGAGATGTCGTGGCGTACTATACAGATAGTGGTTGTAGAGTCATTTACTACAACCGATGCCGAGTTGTCCTTTCTCCTTCCCTTCCTGTTCTTGTTCTGTTCTTTGAGCTTTCTGCACTCTGTGTACTCGTGGCCTTTGTAAGGCTGTCCCCTTTTCTTGCACCAGGTGCATTCCTTGTCGCTTGTGGTACTCCTGGTATGGAGTACTTTGTTTCCTGTTTGAGGGGCTACTTCATCCAGGTTCTGTAGTCGTTGGCGTACGTCTTCGTAGGTAACATCCTGTTTGGTCTGGATGTTGTCGACAACGTTGCTCATCAATTTGGGTAGCGAGCTTAGGAGGAATGCCGCCATGGCTTCGTTGGATTTGGTGAGGGGTAGGAGAGCCTCAGCGAGTTTGTGGTCTGCGCTTTGGCATCTGGACTTGAGAGTATTCCAGTTCGCATCGAAGGTTGCGAGATGCTCGGTCAGTGATCCGCCTTCTTGCATCTTCGTGTGTAGGACGCGGCTGAGGAGGGTGATCGTGGTGTTGGGTGAGACACGATCGTAGAGGTCTTTGAGCGCCTTCCATGCGTGGAATGCATTTTCGGCGGAGACGACTGTTGGTTGTATTTCTTCGCATACAGCAGAGATGAGAAGGCTGTGCATTTGTTTACGAGCCTTCTTTATCTCGGTTTTGCTGAGTTCGGTGTCATTCTCGTCAGGGTTCTCGATGCTCAACGCTTCCCACCAGTCTACAGCGTCGAACGTTATCCTCCAGGCACTCGCTCAAGTTTGGTAGTTGGATTGCCCTTGTAATTTAGGGAGTCCATCAAACTTGAGACGAATGTTACTGGTGGCTGTGGTCTCTGAGGGTTTAGTCTCAGCAGCACTGGATGACGATTCTCCTCCTGAAGGCATGATGTTGTATGAAGTGTTGTTGAGTTAAGCGAGGTGGCGATGGTGTAGTGCGGATTCTATTTGGCAGAACCCGGGCTCATAACCTGTGAATTGGAGTGTGGGAGAATAGACGACTTGAGGAGGGCTTGAACACGTGACCTTTGTGAGGAATATGTTTATAGTGCAAAGAAGATACTATTGCGCCGCTGAGTTCCAGCGACAACTATGGGAGTTTGTTACTCCTTATATACAGATAGTTCTTAGTACCACGTGATCCCCTGATTACATAATCCTAGCGCTAAGCCTCCTTGTTCCAACTATGAGTCATCCCTTATACATGAGTAATTACCATACATAACCGATGTCGCAATGCCATATTTTTACAGTACCTTCCTTGAGCTGATAGCTAAACTATGGTGAATATCGAAAGTCAAGTTTGGTATCCCGCCCGACCGGGACTCGCTAGGATAGTATATCTAAAGCCCTATCTACGATTACGCTATATGACTGTGCCATGAGGGACTCTTGTGGCGTTTGGGTAGTGGTAAACCCGGATTCAGGTTCGTTCCGCCGCTAAACGCTTATTACACATGTAACTATGTAGTATGGCGGGTAAGAATGATGTATGTGTGGCTTCTCCTACACTGTTAATCGATATATGCGGTTATAAGTGGCCAGTTACTTCGCTTGATCATCTGACGTTAAAATATAGCATACCGTCTCGTGGCACACAGGTGTCATAATTCCGAACCTCCTGCATCTGTTAACGGTCCATCAAGCCTATGCCTGGGAGCTCAGTAATTCCAAACAGCATCTTCATTCATGCATGCCTCGAATATGACATCGACTACGATAATGCAAATTACCATACTGACTAGTATCGCCGATACCTACGCACTCTTGACGAATCGGGTGTCTTGCACTTTATACAAGAGCTTATGTAATAACGAATAAAAAGTAGCTAAAATGCACCGATTTTAACGCATAAGGCTCCGGCGCTTGAATAAGGCCTTTATTTTCCAGGAAAAATATGGTATCTAGTTTTCGTAGGTAGTGGTACATAGATAGCTAAACTAGAAGTGTTTGCCGGCCAGGCCTAGGTGCAAGCTCCATTCTCTGTGCTGTGGCAGTCTTTGTGCCAATCCCACTTCGCGTGTCTTGGCATCTTGGCACAGTGTCGAATATGCCAAGCATTCAACGACGTCTCTAACTAGGAAGCTTCGAATGCATGGGTATAATATCTTTACTGGCTGCCTAAGATGCTTAAGGATGTTTAAGAAGATGGTGGGAAATTCGTAGTTGTCGAATTAAATGGCTCCCCCGTAAATCTTCATTCTCATGCTTAATATGATCATTAGGTACTGTTGGCGTTTTTAGTCTAATCAGCTTGATGGGAAAACGATCAAAATTGATTTTGTGCAAAAACGATAGGGTCAATTAACGATACTTCTTGGTCAATTCGCTTTTTTTTTGAAGCATGTTTCATAGTCCTAGCACAAAATCACGCTTTTTTTTTTTTTGTTTAATTCGTTAATTACATGCCACAAAATCCCGTTGAAAATACCTTCTAGATCTATTTTCTTTTTGATCGTTCACGATCAGACTAAGAATTGAAAGAATACCTGTAAAGTTTCCTCTTTCTTTCTTTTTTGTCTTTTTTTTTCTCACGATCGAACGAAGCATTGAAGGGACGAAAAACTTTAAAAAAACCGTTGTAATTGAGCTTTAACAGGCACCCGCCAAACGTCATATGATACTGAGAAACAAGTATCTACAGGAAATCTGAAACTGAAAGAAACCGAAATCCACCTTAATCCCAACGCCCAACCACCCCACAGAAACCCATCCCGAACGATAACCTTGACCGAATTTGAAGACACTATATGCACTGGTTAGTATTGATCCGAAGGGGATAAAGTGAAGCAGGACAGGAACTACCTCTTAAGAACTTCATAGACACATAAGACTCGATTTACTTCCCCATTATTTGACTTGGAACCTATGCATATCCGTTAGCATGGACTATCATGAACGGTGTGAAAGAAAAGGAAACTTACCACTCACAATGGCAGAATATGAACAGGGTAATGTTTGAGAACTCATGAGGAGGCAGACCAAGCCTAATGCTGGGCCGGAGCCTCCGCCTTGAGAAGACGCAACTCCTCATCGTATTTCCTGATGAGGGGTTTGAGATCCATGACCTTGTTAAGCAACGTACTTCGGTCTCTCTGCATCCGGGATACCTGAGTCGAGGTGAACTCATCATCCTCGAGAAGCTGTAGACTAATCTTGTCGATGGACGCCCAGTATTGGTCGTTGAGGACCAAGATCTCAGCAATCTTGTTGTCGAGATCAGTGATCTTCTCTTCCTTGGTTTGAGTTGTGTCAGACATTTTTGAAGTTGAAAAAAAAAAAAAATGTTGTTCGAAAGAGTATTGAGGGGAAAAAAAAAATTATTTTTAAAAGAAATATTGTGAGGGAAATTTGTTGTTGACAAGAAATATTGCTGAAGGAGGGAGGTCACAAGCTTATGTGTTGTGGGTGGAGTTGGTCTTAGTGAAGGTGGGTTGTGCATGTTGGTGGGCGGCAGCTGGGTACTTATACCATTCGGCTCACCCCCGAGATTTGGCGGAGCAAAACGCACCCCCTCTCATTCTATTTCTCACGAGTGGAGGTCAGCCAGTACCCGGGAGATTAAGTTTTCGAAAATCAAATTTAGAAGGGAAGGTTCGAGTCTTCCTTTTCTGATGGTTTTTTTAAAATATTTTGCCTAGCATTTATATGTCACAAGTAAAATCTGCGGTGAGAATAGCTTACTTTCTGTACCTGAATACACGATTATAGTGTCTCACAAAGTGAGCTGTGAAACCTGTAAGTATAGCTGGCGATCATTCCATGTCAGATATTGTCGGCGTCCCTGAATGTTGCGATATTTTCACAACCTTTTAATCATTGACATCTAGACTGCTCAATTACTCCTTCTCACATGTCTTCATCTCCACATCACTAAGTAGTAATGCAATGTAAAATACTTAATCTTACGTTCTCTTCATCCGCACCCTATGTTGGGGTCACCAACTATAGACAGAATACAGCCCGCATGCAAACCTAATTCTACGCTTTTGAACGTCCCAGCCTCCCAGGAAGGAGGAGTTATCTTCGCTGCTGACTACTCGTGCACGTACATCTTATATCGTGTCTTCCTCAGTACTACGGAATGCGTATGATATTCCTGTCGATCCCATTGTTCCTCTCCAGATATCGATCTACATCGTCCATTCTCATCGGTGTTGATAGTTCACGGCCGCGTGATCGATCTCCGGGCTCAGCTACTGACTATTTAGTCCAAACAAGACGATTTTCCACAGAAACCCTGGATTCTATCATTTCTATCTCGTACTTTAACCCCTCCCACTAATGCGTCTACGCATAGATATCCAAGGCTTTGTCCAATTGTACCGAGTGATAGTCCATGATGCGCATCAGACGAACTAACTTATCAGGCTAAACCTTCAAGGGAGTGAGACATAGAGACCTCCGGATATACATTTGTTCTATGCAGGCATTCAAGGTACTTTTGGTAGTGAACCTCCTCCAGCTACCTCGCCTCAAGGAGGGTAACCACCGCCGCGCCATAGAGGGCCGCGCCATAGAGGGCCGCGCCCTCGGCGCCTATCCCGAGAGGCCGGAGAATCTACAGTTACGGGAGACGACCCAAACCACAAGCTTTCACCCACAGAAGTTTTTAAGTTCTCTGCGAGGTAGTTAGTTAGCGAAACCTTAATTTTGTACTTAGCCGATCTCCTAGTGCGTCGTGTTCGGGAGCTAGTAGTGCAGACTCGGCGACGGCTTGACAATAACGGCGCGCGCTTTAATGATTGAGCCGGCCTTTCACGTAACATCGAGCAGGACTAGACGTCGGTGACATGGCAGGGATGGGTAGACCCTTGCCCGCAAGCAAGGTCATGGCAGTTGACTTCCCGGCTCGCCAAGACTTAGTATGTAGTTATATAGAAGCTTACCTAATCTACTAATAATTGTTCAACCCGTAAAGTACACCCGCAGGAAAAAAGTGAGGAAACAACGAGTGCAACCAATCTGAACCCGAATGAAAAAGTGAAAATGGAAATGAATAGAAGTAATATGACTACACAATGAGATACAGAATAGATACTACGGCCTCTGAACTATATTTACGACTTTTTATGACTTCCTTTGTTCTTTACTACTGCTGCAATTCTCTTTGGTATGCTGTCAATGATTTTATATACATTTTCCCAATCTAGCCTTTCCCACTCTTCCCTAGCTTGGGCTTCAATAACTTTTATGTTTTCATTCAGAGTAGCCTCCCTTCACTTTCCGGACTTGTCAAAAGGCATGGCTAGGGAATAATCGCGGGGCTGTAGTGCGGGTGCGGGGATGTCATGTTAGACGCACTCGTTGTCACGCTACTCGTTATTTCCTCACTTTTTTCCTGCGGGTGTACAAACCGACAGCGCACCAATTGCTGGGGGAGAGGTATTTGATTTTGCACAAGCTGCACCGAAATAAACTGCCCTAACAACTCTACCTCAACTCCGAATAGCTGTATCCTGGTAATTTCTTGCGAGAGATTGGTTAAGGGTTAGGGTTTGCAACTGTCGTAGAGTAGAGTGGCCGTTTTGTAGGATCCTGAAAGCTCAGTTGACGGATCACTAATAGACCACTATCTTTTGAGGCAGCGCAATAGGAACACCAGTTACTCTTCATCAGTACCTTCGCACGTCTCTGCCTACATCTTGCTGCTCAGCGGTAGCAAGTGGCCGGTGTGAGATAGAGTATTCCATTTCTTCAAATGGTACTCTACAGATTCAAAGATTAGCACGCCATACATAGAGTCGGGGTACAGAAGTTTTGGTAACTTTTGGTTGCCTTTGCAACACAAAATTTGTATGGGAACAGCATACAAAACTAGTGTGTGCCTCTCAAGAGGGTTAGTAGCGAGTATTCCGCAGGGTACGAAGGGGGTAGTAGAGGTTGGTGTGGGATCTCGCAATAGGGGTCCTGAGAAATTCTAGCGTCGGTGAGGGTCAACGGGGCAAGGGGCAGCGAAGCGGTGGTCTCCTTGAGTAAAGAAGAGGAGAGTAATATTGTATAGTAATAGACAGCGTAGGTACAGAAGATGTTGCGTAAAGAAAGAAAGGAAAGGAAAAGAACAAGAAGAACAAACGAACCCCCCCTAATATACCCAAGGAAATCCCAGCGATGACAAATCCGAAGTGACTCATACATTAACAACCAACAGAACCCGGTAGAACCCAATAGAACTCTTCTGACTAATCCAACTCCTCGTAACCCAATGTATTCACTAATCGATCCATGAAAGTGCCACGATTCGACTTGATTCGATTTGGAGCCCTAAATCGAATCAAATGATTAAACCTTTACCTAAAATTGTAGTCATGATTTGGTTTGGTTTATTTGTCGCAAGAAATCGATTTAAATCGAAATCATACATCAATAGAAATTATTTGCTCAAAAGCCTTTCAGAGTGCTCTTCTACTAAATTGAGATTTGGATGTTTCTTGAGCTAATCTTCGCTCACTAAAATAACTTGGAAAGGTACATATTCCGGTGTATGATTGAAATCGATTGGAAATTGATTTTGTATTGAGCACAATCATAATTATGATTTGATTGCATGTTGTAATTTAAATCCAAATCGAATCAGTAAATCGATTTTTCAAGTCACCATTTTTAAATCATGTTGCACACTATACAAAATGTTACGAACTATATTGCTGTATTAAATGTATGAGTTATTAGGAAGTCTGGAAGGTTCCGTGGGATTAGTAATCGGTTGTTATTTCCTTACTATAAAGAGTCGTCTGTATCTTCTGTTGTCTCCCTTTCTTCTCCTTACGCAACATCTTGTATTCTACTTTGGGTTATTACTTTGGGGGATTTACTTCGCTTCAATACATTACTTTACTCTCAGTTCACGTTACGTCTGCTGCCCCTCATGCCCTGTGCATCCGCTGTTATGATCTTCGCCGCCTCCCTGTTTATCGCCGCGTCCTTCTCGGCCCTCGTCGCTGTCCTCTCCTCTGTCCTGATACAGACCGCTGTCCCTGCCTTCGGGTATACCACTGCCCCATCTCTCGCCCTCGCGCGAGACCTATCCTTCCCCTTGGGGAACCAAGTCATGTCCCTCGACCCCTCAGCTCTCGCCTCGCCCATGGTTCTTTACACTATGTTGCGTCGTTTAGGGTCGACTGACATCCACCCACTCGCCTCGCTTATGCGACCATCGATACCCTCGCTCTCCGCGGAGACCATAGACACCATCCTAATGTTCGCGAACGCCGTATTCTTCCTTCTAGCCTGGACTATAGCCTACTTTTTCAGTAGGCTCTATATGCAGGCCATGAAGGAACCACTTGCCGATCACCTCCCACCACTGAAGCCACCCCGGCGTACCCGCCGTCTACAACGCCGCCTCCTCCGACGCTCTATCCCTTGGGGGCGGCCGACAGGGAATGACCCGGGCTGGTGTTTTTTGACACTAGCTCCCCTACCCTTCCGGCCGTACCTCACCGGGTTGGGACCCTACCCATCCCCGGTTAAAGTCTTGAACACCCTCTACCAGCTAGGAGCCCCACTACTCCCCGCACTCGTCACCCTTCACGGTGGTACAGCCCATGTCGAGAACGGCCCCGGCCCACATACTGCTATGCGACTACTACGGTCAAGACGGATAGGTGCCAAACTCAAGATTGGGCAACTCCACCACCCAGGCGACTGTGAACCCTTTGAGATACCGATACTGCTGTCTAGGAACAAGGACAATCTCCACGCCCTAGTCGACACAGGAGCCACCGGGTATGGATTTATCGATGCCTCATTTGCCCACTCCCGCGGCTACACCACCGAGCCGCTTCCCGCGCCTAGGCAGTTACAGGTAATCGACGGCCGACCTATCGCCTCTGGAGATATCACTCATTTCTGCAAGCTCCGCCTCGAAGTAGGCGCTCATGTAGAAGGGATCTCCTTATTCGTCACCCAACTAGGTGACTCTAAGGTAGTACTGGATCTCCCCTGGCTCCAACACCACGCTGCCAAAATTCAATTTGCCGATCGATCTCTTTCCTTCCACGCCGACCGATGCAGACAACATACCGCCGCCTCATGGACCTCCACCCTCACTTCCTCCCCGCTGACTGCCGCCGCCGCCACCCTGCCGCCACCACCAATACCTCCGAGATCTACCGCCGCCGCCACCTCGCCACCACCCCCGATACCCCCAAGGCCTACTGCTTATCGCCGTACCATCACCCTGTCGGCGGCCCGCTTCCGTAGGGAAGCACAACAGCCCGAAAACCACCTCTTCCTCCTGGCTGCTCGTCCCGCCGGTCCGAACCCAACGCCGTCTAACTCCACCGAAGAATTGGTCCCTACCACCTACCACCCGTACCTCCACCTGTTCCAAGAGTCAGAGGCCCAAGCGCTCCCTATCCATCGGTATATTGACCATGAGATCCCCTTGCAAGAAGGCAAGCAACCGCCATTTGGCCCATTATACCGCATGTCGTCAGAAGAGTTGAAGACCCTTCGGGAATACCTTGATGACCAATTGACTCGAGGTTACATACGCTCTTCTTCCTCCCCTGCCGGAGCCACGGTCCTATTCATCAAGAAAAAGGATGGCTCCCTACGACTATGTGTGGATTATCGCGCCCTCAATGCCCTCACGGTCAAGAACCGCTACCCACTGCCGCTGATTAACGACACCCTGGATAGACTCAAGGACGCCAAGATCTATACTAAGCTGGATCTCCGCAATGGGTACAACCAGATAAGGATAAAGGAAGGGGAGGAATGGAAGACCGCTTTCCGGACTCGGTATGGATTGTTCGAATACTTGGTGATGCCCTTCGGACTCACCAACGCACCCGCCACCTTCCAAGCCTTCATGAACGACACCCTCCGGACCCACCTCGACGACTTCTGCACGGTATACCTCGACGACATCCTGATCTACTCGAACACGGAGGAGGAACACCAGCGACATGTCACTACCATCCTGGACAAACTACAATCGGCGGGGCTCCACTGCAAGCCGGAGAAGTGTGAGTTCCACGTCGATCGTACGGAATACTTAGGGTACATCATATCGGGCGAAGGGGTTACCATGGCTACCGACAAAACCAAGGCGATACAGGAGTGGAAAACACCTACCTCGGTACACGACATACAAGTCTTTTTGGGATTCGCCAATTTCTATCGGAGATTCATCCGCGATTACTCCAAAGTGGTATCCCCGATGACGAACCTGCTAAAGAAGGATACCCAGTTTGTATGGACCTCCGCCGCGGACCACGCCTTTACCCAACTAAAAGAAGCTTTTACCACGGCCCCAATACTGAAGCATTTCGACCCCGAACGGGCCTGCATATTGGAAACCGATGCCTCCGATTTTGTCGCGGCCGCCGTGCTCTCCCAGAAAGACGACCAAGGAATTCTACACCCAGTGGCCTTCTACTCCCATAAGATGACACCAGCCGAATGCAATTACGACATCTATGACAAGGAGCTGCTGGCGATTGTTCGCGCGTTTGAGGAATGGAGAAAGTACCTGGAACCGAGCAACCAGGAGATTACGGTATACTGCGACCACAAGAACCTGGAACACTTTATGTCCACGAAGATTCTTAACCGTCGCCAAGCTCGCTGGTCCCTAATGCTGTCTTCCTTCAACTTTGTGGTTACCTATCGACCGGGGATGAAGAATGGAAAACCTGATGCCCTTACACGTCGATCTGGAGATCTCCCTAAGGAAGGGGATGAAAGACTGACCCAACAGCATCAGGTTATACTTAAGCCAAAAAACCTCCGTCTAGCCGCCGTACTAGAGGTCCCCAGACCCGCCAAGGTATCACCCGACCGCTACGATGAACTGCAGGCTGCGTTAGCCAACGACCGGCTGTCCAAACAATTGATGAAGGACATCATCGCCAGGAAGAAACACTCTCGCTTCCTCCCCATCGGGGAATGCACCATTAAGGATGGGTTACTATACTATCAGGGCCTACTATATATCCCCGATGACGCCGCTATCAAGCTGGAGATCCTCCGCACCAACCACGATGCACCTTCGGCCGGACATCCGGGACGCGCCCGCACGCTGGAACTCCTGTCACGGAACTACTACTGGCCCCAAATGCGAAAGTATGTCGCCCGCTATGTGGATCACTGTGACACCTGTACCCGGATCAAGCCGGCCCGACACGCCCCTTATGGCCTCCTTAAACCCCTCGTTCCCCCAGTTAAACCCTGGTCCTCGTTGTCAATGGACCATGTTACCGGCCTACCAGAGTCCCAAGGATCCAACGCCATCCTCGTAGTGGTGGACCGACTCACCAAAATGGCCCACTACATCCCCACTAGAGATACCGCGGACGCCCCCGAACTGGCCCGCCTATTCCTACAACACGTCTGGAAATCTCACGGGCTGCCAAAAGACATAGTATCGGACAGGGGTACGACCTTTACATCGCAGTTTTGGAAGGCACTGTGCAATCAATTGGACATCAAACCGCGATTCAGTACCGCTTTCCATCCACAAACCGATGGACAGACCGAAAGAGTAAATGCAATTATGGAACAGTACTTACGGGGATACGTCAACTACCAACAGGACAACTGGGCAGAGTTTCTCCCGCTGGCAGAGTTCGCGCATAATAACGCCACCACGGAACCCTTAGGGGTTAGCCCCTTCTTCGCCAACTATGGGTATAATCCCCAATTAGAGGTCCTACCCGCCGAAGAAAGACACGAAGCCACGCCGAAGGAAGTAGTAGAATTTGCCGACTCGATCACCACTCTACAGACCGCATTGCGATCCGAGATCCTGTACGCCCAAGCCGCTGCTACTGATAGCGCCAACAACACCCGGCTCCCAGAACCACGACTAGAAGTAGGGGATTTGGTATGGTTGTCGCGAAAACATATACGAACTACTCGGCCATCAGACAAATTGGACCATAAACGCTTAGGGAAATTTAAAATACTCGAACGCATTGGATCTCACGCCTACCGACTGGAACTCCCTTTATCGATGAAGTCCCATCCGGTGTTCCACGTCTCCCTACTAGAACCCGCCCGAACGCAGCCTCTTCCTGGCCACATACAACCACCCCCACCGCCGGTAGTCGTCGAAGGGGAAGAGGAGTTTGAAGTGCAGGAGGTGCTAGACTCGCGGATACGTCACCGGCAACTACAATACCTGGTTAAATGGACAGGCTATGAACAACCCACCTGGGAACCCGCCCGGAACCTCGATGCGGAGTTAGGATCGCTGCAACGCTTTCACTCCCTCTACCCCACCAAACCCGCCTTAGTTCCTAAGAGGACCCCACGTGGGAAATGGTAATCTTACGACCCTCGGTGCCGGTCTTCCCTATGTGTTTAGTTAAATTTTTCTTTTCTTTCTATTTCTTCTTTTCTCTTTTTTTCTTTTGCCTTCTCTTTTTTATTATTACTTTGCTTTTGTCTGTCTGCTCGCAGGAGCTCGCCCTTTGGAGGGGGGAGCTAAACTGTTACGAACTATATTGCTGTATTAAATGTATGAGTTATTAGGAAGTCTGGAAGGTTCCGTGGGATTAGTAATCGGTTGTTATTTCCTTACTATAAAGAGTCGTCTGTATCTTCTGTTGTCTCCCTTTCTTCTCCTTACGCAACATCTTGTATTCTACTTTGGGTTATTACTTTGGGGGATTTACTTCGCTTCAATACATTACTTTACTCTCAGTTCACGTTACTTCTGCTGCCCCTCATGCCCTGTGCATCCGCGGTTATGATCTTCGCCGCCTCCCTGTTTATCGCCGCGTCCTTCTCGGCCCTCGTCGCTGTCCTCTCCTCTGTCCTGATACAGACCGCTGTCCCTGCCTTCGGGTATACCACTGCCCCATCTCTCGCCCTCGCGCGAGACCTATCCTTCCCCTTGGGGAACCAAGTCATGTCCCTCGACCCCTCAGCTCTCGCCTCGCCCATGGTTCCTTACACAAAACCTGAAACACTCAAATAATGACTTTAAAAAGTAGACCACACATGCCTGAAGAATAGACTCAAAATTCTAGAATTCTCTGAGCTCCATCTTGATAAAATTTTCAACTGTCCTTGAAAAGTATGAATTTTTTTGATGAGGTTGGGTGGCTGTTTCGGGTAGCGAAACGTGGCTACTTTGGCTGTAAAAAGGGTATATTACCAAAACTTCTGTCCTAGTTCTATATGTCTGCTCTGAAGTTGTACTAATCTGCACGTTCCAAATGCTCACTGCCGGTTCGGGAAGATCGACCTTTGCGACTACAAGGCTCTGGCATAAGGTGATCGGACGGGCAAGGTTTTTAATAAAAATAAGCGAGTATGATTTTCCTAGAATACATGAACGGCTAGCTATGAGAAAAGTGAAAAGTGGAAAGTGAAAAGTGAAAATAATATCAGTACTTTGTATGACTACCATTTACAGCGCGCACTGCTTCAACCCGCTGTGGTAGAGAATTGACTAGGGAAGCAATTTCTTCTGAAGTAATTGCATCCCACTCTTCTTGGATCGCAATGCGGAGTGCAACATTAGTTCTGCAACGACGCCGAGAAATTTTGTCCTTCATAATACGCCATACATTTTCATTAGGGTTACAATCAGGGGAGTTCTCAGGCCAGTCAAAATAATACCAGAAAATTCCTAGCTAACGCAGAACTCATGCAGTGAACTTATCACGATGTGGGGGAACTCCATCATACATAAGATATATGTAGCCTGATTCACAACTTGCCCGTGATAAATTCTGCCAGAAAGGAAATAGGTGAGGTCTTACAATCCGTTCACGGTAAAGGGGTTTCATGGATCGATTAGTTAGTACACTGGGTTATGAGGAGTTGGATTAGTCAGAAAGATTCTATTGGGTTCTATCGGGTTCTGAGGGTCGTAAGTGTATGAGTCACTTTGGATTTGTCATCGCTTGGATTTCCTTGGGTATATTAGGCGGTTTCGTTCTCGTTTCTTGTTCTCTTTCCTTTCTTTCTTTTACTACGCAACGTCTTCTGTACCTACGCTGTCTATTACTATACAATATTATTTCTCTCTTCTTTACTTAGGAAGACCATCGTTCGCTGCCTCCTTGTCCCGTTGACCCTTACCGACGCTAGAGTCCGTCAGGACTCCTATTGCAAGTTCCCACACCGACCTCTACTACCCCTTTCGTACCCTGCAGAATACTCACTACTCGCCCCCTTGAGACGGGGTCCATTGAGAGTAGGTCCCCATGCCTTGTCCCAAAATCCAAGTGGGCCTTTTATATTACCTATTCATTCAGTCTAAGTCAGCATAATTTGGTCAGGGTAGTGAAGTAGTCTGTACCATAAATACAACCCCATACCATAATAGTCTGTAATTTTCGGAATTTGGGTACTAAGCAATCTTCTACATACGCTTCTCCAGGTTTCCTAGTAACCAATGTATTCCCAGCAAAACCCCCATCATTAAATCCGCACTCATCCGTTCAAATCACCTTTTGGAAATCTTCAATACTCCAGTCATGAATATTACCTGCCCATGCTAAGCGTTGGACCTTCGCAGTAATGGAGAGAAAGGGTTTGATGCGGGCTACTTGGCGGTGATAACCTTCATCGGCAAAAGCTTTTCTGAGGGTTCGTTTGTTGACCGAAACACCAAGATCTTCTGCAATTTCCAGGAGGGTTTTGCTTCGATTCTGTTGAGAGGCAGTGGCATGTTCCACTAAGAGTTTTCTAATCGTCGGAGTGATAACAGGTGGTCTGCCCATCCTGGGTCAGTGAGGAGTAGAGGGCTGCTGGTAGATACTGAATACGGTGGAAAGAGGTACTTCAAGTTCCGATGCAATTTTCTAAATGGCCAGAGTACTATTTTACGAAGCCCTCTAATCTTAGAACGAAGACTATTTGAGAGTTTAACCTGAAGTGCTAAAGGTTTTGATTGTGGAGGAGTGGTTTTATATTCCATAATGGGTCGTGAAGTTGAAGGACTCGGATTACGGGTGGAATTGCTATTCTTTTATACTACCTGAAAGTTATCAAATATTATCCTCATTGATACGCGGGCAAGGCTTGATACCTACTAATTTAACTTTTCTCGTCAAAAACTTGAATTAAACTCCACCTATGTACATTGATCTTTATCTATGTCATGATGCAACAGTGTGGCCTGTTGTTGCAAACGGCCCAAAAGGGGTTGTTCTGTACTTTTCGCCCTCAGAGTCCTACCCGATCCTTAATGCGGACCCTGACCGTCCGATCACCTTATGCCAGAGCCTTGTACAGGAGCAACTCGATATGCCGGAGGTCAGGCCTAGCCGAGTATTGGCATCCCGAAATCTGACATATCGACGTGAAGTTACTGGCATTTAGGGTAAGCGAAAGGTTACGCTACTCTAAACTAGTGCCAAGTCCTGCATGCATACTCCACCTACATTGTGTGCTTGGCACTTCCGACAAAAACCTTCTGTATGTGTATCTACTCGTAATTTCATAACGTTTCCGAACACGACCAATATTGCATGACATACAAAAAGGTGGATTTGACGCTTTTTTGTATTGTATGCAATATTGGTCGTGTTCGGAAACGTTATGAAATTACGAGTAGTGCTCGAATGAGCACCCCAAGAGAGGCCAGTTAATTCCCTCTTTCCCGGAAGTCTGGTTACGCATGGAATGGCTCTCCCGCTACTATGTACTTGAAAGTCTGTATGAATCTCTGTCAGGTAGATGGCGGATTGAGTAGTGCTTACAAGGGGTGCATACATATGCATGGAGGAGGACTCTCAAGGTCTGGCAGCGGGAGAAAGAGTGCACACCCTTCCGCTCTTGAACCATTGCGTAATTGGTCATTGAATACAGTCAATTAAATCTTGATATATAATCATTGCCGGTGCAACCAAGTTCTGCATAATATGACAAGGCAAAAAGAAATGTGAAATGCTAGTGCAGCAAGGCGGCCAAGTTCCGATGTTAAGTAATTTTATCTCTTGGTGTTGTATGACCTGACCTTGTGTCACCATTAAGGGGAAAGAAACTCTACTGAGTAATATGTTGCGAGAAGGCTTGGAGGGCGATATTGTTAACCCTGTCAACCACACAAGTTCAGCGTAAGATCTTCTTGTCTCTGACGGCCATGGAGTCGAGTTCAAGCCTCTTCAATGTTTGCTTCCTAGAGCCAATGAAGGAATTGGTTGAATTAGTGTGTACGTACAGGGTTCTCGAAGTCGCCCGCACTCCCTCTCGCACCATAGATAGAGTAAACATGCACCTGTCCCATGGATGTAGTGCCACTGACAACCGAACTCTAGCTCTACTATACTTGAGTGTAAATTGAATATCATCCGTCATATCGTGTAAGGGGACACCCTAGGGCCGGGGAAGGAATGCTCTCTAAGATTTTAAAGATTTCCTACGGAAGAGTAAAAGGGTCCGGATCGGAAATTAATTGATTCTTAGTAGTAAAATGATATTGCCGAAATATGATATACGGGACAACTCGGGCTCCGGCGCATTGAGTTCCGGCGTATCGAGTTGCGATGTACTCACAACCAGCTCACACAACATTATATGAGTCTTGGAGCTGAAATTTTTACTGGTGCTAACCAATGCTTACGAACTACTCGACCAGAATTGATCTCGACCAACATCTAGCGCGGCATTTGGCCTCCACAAAAGAATATCAGCTTTGACGTACTGTGGGATAATATCATTCCGGACGTACGGAAATGAGCACTTTGGGCCAGCCCCCGACAGATTATTATGCCTGAAAGCCTCTATTAGGATGGTGGCGTTTGTGATATATCATTAGTTTTGCTAACCATTAACCCGGAAAGGACTGTCATTGGATCTTTAGATGCCTTATTGATCGATTTTCTCATCCCTGCGCGTGGGATCGGCAAGCACACTTCCGGATTGACTGACAGGGATAACTAGGCACGCGCAGTGATACGCTAGCCTCTCCTTTACAAAAATAGTAGATACGGTGGCATACGCTAGATCCCCTTCACCTTATATATATATATAACATGCAATGGTTCCATCATATTCGGCATTTACCAAATTTTACAACAGCTGTTTCATCATATTCACTCCACCGTAGCAATAACCATCATGGGGCGAGTCCTATCTAAATTGAATTGCACTGTGAGGAGGGACCCACCGACGGAACCGGGATCAAATTCAAAATCGCGAGCAAAAAACACCTCTCCGGGGAAATGTAGCTCTCAATCCAATCAGGAAAATGATGGGCCGCTTATTGCCGGTCAAAAGCCATCGGAGGCGCTGTCCTCTGGACTTGAAAGTAACCAAGCTACCTTACCAAAGCCAGCAGTGTCTGTTACCGTACTGTCCACCATCACTATTGATAGTTGCTGATACATTATCTTTCTAGGAATAGAGAGGAACCTCAGCACAGTGCCTCTGAAATCGAAACAGCACCGAACCTCTCTCGCAACCCAGCTGAGCAGCTTGAGACAGTAGGCTCCGTTTCATCGGAGACTGAGGGTACTAGGCTTTCGTCTACGATCAACGACCTTAGTCAGGTGGAAAAATTGCCTGGCGTTCCTGACGCGAACAATGGGGTTGAGACCTCAAGAGATCTTCTGAACGAGGTGCCTAGAGATCCTATCCCGGAGGTGCCTAGAGCTCCTGGGCATGATCAAAGGTAATCATTAAACCGCATCAGATCATCCTAATAAAAGATTTACTGACTAGTCTATCCAATAGATATTCAGCTTCCTGGTCCCAAGCGCTGGAGAAACTAAAAAAGGATAAGGCAGTTGAATGGGATTCTGATTCAGACTTTGAATCAAATATTGACCTAATTGCAAGTCTAATGGGAGAGGTAAAATCACAAAAAGAGAAGTTCGACAAAGGCCGGTGGCAATATACAGATAGCGATGGAAAGCAGAAAATATACGCCGCAACATTCCTCGAGCACATCGAAAGGTACTCTGCGATTGGTACGTTAGCTGTTCAGAAGAGCCCCGAGATAGTAGGGCTAGTCTGGTGTTCGTTGCAAATACTCATAGAGGTAAGCTAAAAACGTGTAAAGTGTTGTATTATCATACTGAATTCATACAGATTGGATTATCATTTGAACGCAACATGGCCTTAATTGATAGCAGTTTAGAGTACATTGGGGGGATCATGTGCTGCTCAGAGATTTACGAACAGTTATATTGCCACTATGAACATAATAGTGTTGACATGTTGAAGGGAGACCTGGTTGACCAATACGCCAGCTTGATGAAATATCTTTTATACGTCAAAAAAAAGCTTAAACAAAGAAAGACAGGTTTGTAAACACACAATGTCGTAAGATTGTTCAATGCCTGACCTTTTTAGAACAAATCTTCAAGAGTCTTGCTGCGGAGTTTAGCTCTGCTCTTGAAGAGGTCAAAACGTGGAGTGCAAAAGTGGCCTCGAGTGCAGATATGGCCGAGAAAGCGGGTACGAAACCCATATTCTATCTTGGGTCCCATATATAGCTAATATCTTTGAAAGTTTCATCCAAGGCTCGATTTGGTAATCTCAGCCCGTAACTTATTTAGGTTACAAATGCTAAATCTATCAACAGATCAACAGGCTAGGGATAAGGTGCTTAAGGAGCACCTCATACAGATGAAAACATGGATGAAAAGGATCGAGGACGGTGTGGATCGGCTCGGGTCAAAATTGAAGGACTTGTGGAAATCCGTTGAGAGTTAGAGTTCTCGCCCCTATGGTGAGATATAGTCTATACTAACCTAATAAGAGGATAGGTTTTACGAAACTCTTGATTGGGTATCTGCTGTTCCGTTTGGACATATACACAGAACACATAAAGATAATCAATTGGATGGTGTTGGAGACTGGCTGTATCAACACTCGTCATATCAGGCATGGCTAAAGACGACGCCCGCCTCGAACGTTATTTGGTTACACGGTGCTTGTAAGTTACCGATGGGGTTGTGAAAGCCATTCCGTGTTTGTGGTTACAAGAGCGAGACTAATAGCGCGACACCTCAAGCCGGGACTGGAAAAACAATGTTAGCGTAGGTTACAAAGATGTATCTTCATACTGGTTTCCCCTTCAGTAACATCTGATATAGGTCCAAAGTAATCGAATCCTTATTATCAAAAAAGCGCACGGGACACGCCGTAGCGTACTTTTACTGTCGCTACAATGAGTCGAATCGATGCAAGCCGGAAACAGTTCTGCAAGCAATATTAAGACAGCTTTGTATAGCTTATTCGAACCCCGGATCCGTGGAGCACAAGCTACCCATATCTTTGACCGATCTCCGAAACGAAGCGCTAACAAAGTCAATGGGACCACCGAGTTTACGTGACTGTTGCAACATCATCAAGGAGCTATCGGAAAATTTCGGACGAATATACATCGTGATAGATGCATTGGACGAGTGTAGCAGCAATAGTAGAACAGAACTTCTGGATATACTTTCTGACCTTGTGAGATCTTGCAAGGATGTGCGGATGTTTATCACTGGTCAGGATACGAGTGATATCGGTTCTGTGCTCAGTCTGCCGTCAGCGTTCTGCATCCAGTCGAGAGGTACTGATAACGATATTCGATTGTACATCAAATCTGAGGTGCAAAAGATGTGCCGAGAGGATAAAAACCTAGAAAGCTTGGTGAAACAACAACGCGAAAAGGATATTATAGAAGGACTGGAGAAGGATTCAAACGGTGTGTAAGTATACGAAATAACAATTCACATGGCGTGTCTTACAAACGTAACTAACCTACATAGGTTCATGTGGGTTCGTTTGAGGATGCAGGCCGTACGTCTTGAAACAACGGTTGAAGGTATGATTCAGGCACTTACCAGCTTCCCTAAGGGGTTAAGCGCAGCCTATACAAAACTATTGGAGAAGATGGAGAACGAAAATACAGTCGAACATGATGCTGCAATGGCAGTAATTAAGTGGCTTGTATATTCATGCGTCGAATGCTCTCCCGACACGGTCATTCAGGCTTTACAGATCAAAACGAGTACAATTGAGGCCTTTGAAGGTATCAGAGGGCTGGAGCTATCCCGCCTTCTCGAGATATGCCGGAATCTTGTCTTCTTTGACCAAGAGACGAGGGTCATCCATTTACCGCATGGTTCATTGAAGCAGTACCTACAAACCCCTAGTAATTATGACCATTGGAAGCCTGATGAGGTCAGGTCTTGGATTGCAGAACTCTGTCTCCAGGTTCTCATGAGCGATGAATACCAGAAACACCAAGCACTAGATTGTCCTGCACCTCAGCTGCGGGCTTACGCTGTCTTTAATTGGGCGGAGTACCTAAGACAGACACAAAAACGAAGCGACGCGTTAAATGATCTTTGGAAGGGATTTCTGAATATCAACAACGAGCAATATTGCCGTTGGGCTATACAAATACGCATGACCCACAGCGTTCTCACCGGAAAGGAGAATCGGCCAATCAGCCCTCTGTGGACAGCTTGCCTCTATCAGCTTTACGATGTTTTCAAGGCACTTCTTGCTGACGGCGCGGATCCGAATTGTCATAACTCCAGCGGGCAGGCCCTAGCACATTACTGCATCCAGAATGGCCTCGACGATTTTCTCAATCGATTAATAGATACTATTAAAATAAGCAACGCCGCGGGTACAGAAGTTGATCAAGCCTCAAATGTCGAAGGCACTACAACCGTTGAGAAATATGAATCTGTTAGACGCTCAGACCTTCATCCGTCTTTCGACGTCAATGCTGCAGATTCACAAGGGAGGACGGCTCTGTTTCATGCTTCATTACTTGGTAATGAATCTATCGTACAGCGTCTGCTGGGGACAAAAATGTGCGAAGTGAACCTTAGAGACCAGAATGGGGATAATCCTTTGCTCATCGTTGCTTCCACCGGGAATATCTTCATTATGAAACATCTTCTTGCTCAGGATTCACTCGAGCTGAATCAAAAGAACGAGGAGGGTGACACCGCATTATTACTCGCTACTCGCTTAGGATTTGAAGGATTTGTGGAGACTTTCCTTCAGCTCGCTGCACACCGTTATCAACGTCGGGAAGGCTCGGCGGAGCAGTCAATAGATCCTGCCGGATCAAAGATGACGCTTAAGATCACCAGTGATTTGCAGCTTGATATCAATTGTACGGATGACCTGAATCGGACACCACTTATGAAAACTGTCGAGATAAACAACCTTAACCTCGTGAAAATTCTGTTGAAGGAAGAGGGACTAGATCTCGGAGTGAAAAGCCAGTACGGCTTCACAGCGCTCTCATATGCGGCCTGGAACGGGTACACGAAGATAATTGAGGCCATGCTAGGAAGTGACAAGGTCCTGCAACAGCATCTCGAATTCAAAGATGAAGATGGCTTTACCCCACTAGCACTTGCAGCGTGGTGTGGATATTCGGAGATAGTGAAACTTCTTCTCGAGAAAGGTGCGGACGTGAACACTAGAGATAATTGCGGATGCACCCCGCTCAGACTTGCATCCTATCGAGGAATGCAAGAGGTGGTAAAGGAGATTCTGCAGCGTAAAGACGTTGACTTCAAGACCACAAATGACGCAGAAACCACACCACTGAAGTCAGCAACCGAAGGTGGTTATTCAGACATCATTGGAGATTTACTTCGCAAGTTTATCACGGAAGATGAAACAGACTTCAAAGATGAAGATGGTAATAACCTTTTGCTACTTGCTTCAATCCATGGCCAGACAGAAGTTGTTAAGTTATTATTACTTGACAAGCGTTGCTCCGATCTCAAATACGTCAATAAGGGGGGGTTGACTGCTTTGGAAGGAGCTATCAAAGGTGGTCACACAGAAATCATCAGGCTCCTTTGCGAGAGCAACGCCGATATCGAAGGTTTTGAATCCTATGGTTCGGTCATGCTTTCCCTAGCTCAAAACGGTCCTTTTTCGTTATTCAAGAGCCTACTTGAACTAAATAGCGATGACAAACTCGAAGTCAGGGATGAAGAAGGAAATGATGTTCTAATGCGAGCGACCATTGGAGGCAATGAAGATATTGTAAAATTGCTCCTTGATCAACGCAAATACGATCCGAATGTTCCCAACCGCGAAGGACTCACGGCCTTACATATAGCCTCTGCAGCTAAGCACTGGCAGATCTTAAAGCTGCTTCACACGAAAGGCGCTGGTATGGACAGCACAAAGGGACTTTTAGCAGCTGCTTTGGATGGAAAAAACGAGATCTTTCAGATGCTTCTCGAAGATTACGATGATAAGGAAGTACTTGACCACAAGGATGAGGACGGGGATACAGTACTATTACTTGCGGCAATCGGTGGCAACGTAGAGATTATGCGTTCCCTACTTAATCCGCACCGGTGTGAAATCGATTATGCGAACATGAGGGGCGAAACTGCATTGACACTTGCAATATCCCACCGGCATCCGGAGGTAGCGAATCTTCTTCTTGATAGAGGTGTTAAAAGGAACATTTCAAAGATCAATGGTTGGACCCCTCTACATCTTGCAGCAAGCACCGGAGATCAGAATCTCATCCGCAGACTACTTTCATATGACGATGTGGACCCCAAGGCTCTAACAAGGCATGGATCCACGCCACTCTTAGTGGCAGCTGAAACAGGTGTGCCCGAGGTGGTAAAACTGCTGCTAGAGAAATACGAACCCGGTATCGAAATTCCAGACATGGATGAAGACGGGGAAATGGTATTTCAGGCGGCTGCTTATAGTGGCAGCAAAGAGACCGTCGATATTCTCCTCGATCATGGTAAAGGCAACATCAATCATCTAAACAAGGCGGGAGAAACAGCGTTGATCATGGCGGTAACGCAAGGACACAAGGAAGTTGTTCAATCATTGCTTGGAACTGAGGGGATTGATGTCGCGATAAAAAATTCTCATGACGAGTCAGCGTTTGACATTGCGAATTATAAAGCAATGATTTGGGGGGAAGAGGGACAACATTCAGAGATACTTACATTGCTTACAGCTTTTGCTGATAAATCGCTTTCGAATGGCTCGTAGCTTTAGATTCGTGTATATAATTACATGCTATTGCTTGGTCTCAGCGGCGGCAGTGGACAGCATGACTATTGGGGTTAGGAAATCTAGACGTCTTGTTAGTATTCAACACAAATGAATGGTCTATGCTCTATCGATTAGTTTTGTAAACCAAATACTTGCACGCTATCTCCCCAATTTCAATCCTCATAGATATGCTATGTTTCGATCCAAGATAATATCCTTGCAGGCGGTAACAAAATCTGGTAAAGCTCTATGAGAAACATTGTCCGGTTTGCCAGTACTACCAACCCTAACCCTGAGTGATCTCGAGGCGTTAGCGCAGTAATGAGGCACTGGGGGACCCCTGTAATGGTAGCCTAGTGCCAAGATAATGCTCTGCCCGCGTCTCTCAGCCTCATCCTTGGTCCTTTCCTTATTATTCTACTCTCCAGGTTACGCGGCGGGATATGGAGATCCTGTAACCTGGTAGGATTTTTTGGAGGATGGGAGGTGCTCCCAGTTATGATTTTTCGTTCCTTCGTTTGGTCCCCTAACCCTGCTCACGGCCACCGCCACAGTCTCAAGCCTCATCACCCCACTTCGCTACCCGAGAGCCCCTCACCAGCTTCAAACCCTCGTTCGCTGCTACCCCGCACCTGACAACAACCACAGCAATCCTTTGCGCGACAAAGAACCGAATTCTCCAGACACACAATGGATATAACTGCAGCTCTGCGAGGGACGGCAACGCCGGCGCTTTGAGAGGTGTTGTGCTGCTGGGCACAGGGTGGTCGCGAAGGACGCGTTGGCGTTTAGGGAGTTGAGGGTAGCTTAGGTGTTGACTTGATGAGATTCTGCAGCACTTACCATCATCACGCGGGTTTAACATCTCAAGTAGGTAGGAGTGGGTATTTGAGGAGGTTAGCTAATACGCGATCGAGCAGCAGGACGGTGTTAGCGGGTGCTGGGTCGCTGCCGGGGGAGGCACGAGATGAGGGGGGGTGGTGTGTGGGAGCGTGCGTCTGGTAATTGGGCACATACGAGCTGCGGTAAATGGCATGTTGGCAGGAGGACTTCCCTGGGGTGGAGAGCGGGTCCAGTGGAGAGGGGCGACGCAGGTCGGGAGAAAGGGGGGGGGGGGTTGAGATCTGGACATGGAGGCAGATAACAATACACAGTTGTAGTTCCTCTTTACCCCACCGCATCGATTTAATCTCTTCTAAATCTGTCGAGCAAATAAAGCGCAACGTTGCGCAATCAGCAACGAGCCCCGGCAGATGTCGCATGATTTCTATCCACCGTGACTCGAAAGCTTTAGCCTCCTCATACCGACCCTGAGCTGCCAAGGCTCTACAGAGACCATACAGCGAGTTATATGCGACGTGAAGTAGTTTTGGGTGTTTTTTAATCCCCTCTAAAGAAATGTGACCTGATTCCTCTCCATAGAGAGGCGCAGAGAGGCCATTCGACGGGTACACGATCGCAATATAAGCTTCCACACGTTTTAGTTAGTGAAGATGAAAAGCCTCAGCGTCATCAAATCGTCGATGTTCATGCAGAACATATGATAGTAGACGGAGGTCAGCCGCGGTATCCCTAGAATATAACTCAATATTAAGATATTTGTTGACATGCCTGAGCGCGTTTCTGATGTGTTCTATAATAAGGCGTTTGTACCGGGAACTATCGAATTCGCTGGTGTTGCCTATGGCCCGTGTGAGAAGCTCTAAAGCACCCATGGCGATAGATGTGCACTCAAATAGATTAAGCCGTTTATGTCCCCATAGATGAACTAAGGGATGAATATCGAAGCTGGGTTCATCCTCTACCTTTCTTCGATGTGCGAGCGAGTACGAGAAAAGTAAGGATAGCATATCATCCAGTATGGTATCTATATTTGAGAAGATATTAGTATACTGAGGGCGTCCAGAACATGTCAAAAAGCATACCATCATCCCCTAGCATCATACCGAGGCGGAAAATATCGTCTCTAATCCCCTCGTTTGATAAGAAAGAACAAGTCGTTAGCAAGTCGGCAGCCCGAGGACTTGTTTCATGGAATGCCTTGTAAGATATCTCCCAGGTAGTTCGAACGGTACGCTCTCCGTATGACCAGACCGCCTTTGACGGTTTGGCTCTCATCACCTCGTCGAAATGCTCCTCATATTTTTAGGTACTTTTCAGGTTGCATCTTTCGAACCGAGATATAAGCACCACATTGCACAATTGCTAGTGTAAGCCCGCCCGGCTTTTGAACAATATTCGCCGCAAGTGGGTGATATATAGAACGCCTTAAATGTCAGTAGCGCTCAAGTACACTAATCGTCCCAATAGATGCCACTTGGAAACATCGAGACCTTTGTGGAATACTTGCCTTCTAATGATGCGCTCTTCGAGAACAGGGCTTTTCCTTCCTCTTCCTCCATGACATCGACATCTAATCCAATACCAAGTGCTGCGCTATCGGTTCTTCTGCTTGTCATTATCACCGTGCCATGGCTAGTAGTCGGGATAAACGTATCGATATCGGAGTTATTGAGGTCGTCAACATTGTCGAGGACAAGAAGCCATCAATTATTTTCTTTCTTTGAAAACCACGACTTCACACCTTTGACAATTTTGTCGCTATTTTTTATGTTTTCAGAAAGGTCGCCGTTCTCATCAAAGACATCCACCATATCTAAATACTTTGCTATAGATAGGTAGTTGGGCGCCCCGTGAGAATCCTGGCATATTCTCGTACCAAGCGCTGCGCAATTACTACGAATCCAGTCTCAGCAGATTGCTTTGTGGCCGCGTTGACCCAAAATATCGATTGGTAGTCCTGTTGATGAAGATAGGTATATTCGGACGCAATCTGGGTTTTTCCTGTGCCTCCTAATCCTATAAGGATCACAAATGCCAGATCGCTGGAAGCGTGTGCTTTCGCAATGGCCAAATGCATCTCATCCAAGATTGACGTTCGACCGGTAAAGTGCCTATTTCGCAAGTATTCAGGTTCGAAGGGTATATCGAATGTCACTTGAACCCCATCGCTTTCCGCATCTTCACCCCCGTCAGTTCACCATTCAACGAGCTCGGCGATAATCTACATACCTCTTAGCCTATTCCATCGTTCCCACCTGATGGAGATTACTCCAGGGGCATCCGCTACCATCAGCTGGATGCAGGCCGATACCTTCCTGTACCCATCATCCTCAACAGATTTATACCTGACCATTTCTTCTGGATTATTATTAATTGAGAGAACCTCAACGTTTTGGGCCCCTGGTATTGTTGATGGACTGGGACGGGTGGGCTATGGCATAATAGTTAGTATAAAAATAGCTAAATACTGACATGTTATACTTGCCTTATTCTCACTTGATGTTTTATATGTGCCATAGAAGCATCTAGTGACAAAATCACTACTTATATGATTATACTGAGCCATTTGCTTTTGGAGTATCTCTGATCCCTCGGATACCCCCGTTCACTAACTCTGGATTTGTCTTTTTTAATCTTGCAGCATCGAATATTTTCCTGGTGAACTTGATAATATCCGCCCCTTGATGGGGAGTTCCGAAGTATAATATTCCATAGGTCGATGTCTTAATCGCATTATGATGCTCCAAGTTATTCTTATTTGCTGAATTTGAATGAATAAGCTCCAGATAGTATTGTTAGATCTTTCTCTCGTTCAGTACTGTTCTGATCCGTTGACCAAGACGTACATTTGGCCAAGTGGGTGCCCTATGGAGCAAGATGATAGACGGGGCAATCCATTGGCCGAATGGGCGTCTTGATGGATTGTTGATCCAACGATCAAGTGGCCATTCCCGACCAGTGTTTGTAATGGGATATCGGTTTGGCGGTACATACTGGTACAAAACTGAGTAATAATGAGACAGTTAGTACAGTTTGAGCTTCAAGTGGTGGTGGTAATACTGAAATATGATGCACCCTAAACCGATACAAACCAACTAACAAAATCGTACGGAATATTGTTTTTCCGCCAACTTCGGTAGAACCTTTGCCGCTCCGGAGCAACAGTTGGCTCTGAAACACCCGCCAAGAACCCTAACCCACATACCATTTAGATAAATGGTATTACCGGTTTAACCATGCTGGAAGAGGTAGTTAAATAGTTGGTACAATTTTGAGTTTCTGGTGGTACAAGTAGTACAATACGGTGACGTTTTCATACCGGTTTGTACCATTGCAAACACTGTTCCCGATATAGGCTTTGTGCTATTTCCTTCTGCCAGATATGCTAATGAGTTCAATACTCAAAAGCCAATACTTAACCAGAGAATTCCGACTCTTTCCTCAAGTGTATACTTTAGAGGAATTACAGTTTTTAAACAACCATTAGAGTGTATTAGCCACACTAGACTTTCAAGTTTTGAGTTCAAGTTCTGAGTTCTTCGCAGCGGGGAGGACCCACCTATGCTATGGTCTCAATACTTCAGCGAACACCAACATAGGTTAATGGAATACAGGTACTGACACAGTTCGGAACCTCAATTTATGTGTACTTGATGACTTGAGTAAAGCCATTACGCGAGCTTACTGGATGGAGCGCCCTATTCATCATAATATGGGCCTTTTCAAAGGATCGCCCTATCCATCAATCTTGAGGAATTGTGCGCGCACTTGACCAAATCGACGTCTTGGTCAACAGATCAGAACAGTACCCTGACATAACAGATTTTCCATCTTACATCTTTGAGGATAATACCTCCGACGCTATGTGCGATGAAGATAATTGGCCGTGTGCTCGTCTATTTGTGGCAGTTGTCAGCTTTTCGAACATTCTCTGCTAGAATAATCCTTTACCTTTGTTGATTCACGATACAGTGTCTGCTCAGTGACAAGACCTATAGCATGGTCATGCAGTCTTTGGCAGCTAAGCGGAGAAGAGTCGTGGGTTCTCCCATCGTAGCCATAGGTAAGGATACGCGCATGAGGAATGTCGCCAGGAAGAAAGTCTTGGAGCCAAAGCTTTTTGTTATCCGCTGTCCAGCTAGACACTGGCCCGCCGTCAAGCCCATGTACCGCAACTAGCTTAACACGCAACACTTAGCTCGTGCTCACTATCCTCTCCTCGACGTGATTGTAGCATACTCAACAATGGGATCAATTCCTGCAACTAACTGCTTGATTCCATATGGTTTCTCATCTTGGGAACTCATACCCGCAGTGTGGTCGGATGATGTTTAATTACTAGCTGGATCGAGGATTGATAGTATTGGAAAGATGGTGCGACTGAAAAGTGCCTTGCTTTAGTTTTGTGTCTATCTTGCTAGGAGGAAGATGTTATTGAGTGAGCTTAAGGACCACCTACATGATTCCGTGAGATGATCAGCTATATACGAGAAATCTGGGTTAAAGTGCCCTTGCCATAACGAATTTATGATTGAATACCTTTATGAACATCGACTATGGCAAGGCTGAGTCTTACTTACTGCTGAAGGCCTATATGATAACGCATTCAAATCTTGGAACGCGCGCATGACTTCACAGACAAATCCACAAGTCTAGGAATTTCCGCCGGGCTCAGCTGTAATGAAGATTGTAACCCCCCAGTCGTTCTCCAGCACCACTACTCGCGGTAAACGAGTAGATACATCCATTGCACCTTTGAGTGTGTTAGAGGTGAGGCGCTTCACTGCGGTCCGTAATAAAAGAATTCGCTGAACTGGTAGCCTCGCGCAATGTTGGTTAAAAAGGAATGACTCATTGATGCTTGCTGTACAATATACATAGTTGCCTAAAACAACACTTACAGTTGTGTTATGTAAGATGATTCCGTCTGCGCCAATGATCACCTGTACACTTGATATACTGGAGATTTGGTTCGCTCGAGCACCGAACCTCTCACTAGGGAAATCAATGTGGAGTAACGTATTCGCTGTCATCCAGTTCCTCATCATCTTAATAGCGTCTATAGAATGCGAGCCTAAGTTGGGGCGCTGGGATTATGCATATCGTAATGCATGGAACACACGTGGTCTTAATTATTTCAATATAATAGTACTCGTAGTTCTTTTACGTTTCCGAACTGGACTGGGTCTGCATATGGGCGTAAATCGTGCTTGACAACCACATCTTGGTGGTGTGCGACCCAGTCCAGTTCAGAAACGTTAGAAAACTACGAGTACATACGGGCTGCGTCGCTCGTACAAGTTAGATATCTTTTACGTACCTGAAAAAATCCACTAGGTATCTCTGTCTTGTGCTCCGCCCATTCCGCTGCGTGCTTCAGGGATGCCCTCCGAATGTGGTACATATGGATGCCCACAGTAGAGCATATGTGGCTCGCCGGTGCGCTCATCTCTAGAGCGGTAACTCTAGATCTTGCCCTCTGTGTCGGTGTCGGATCGGAGGCTCCGCTGAGTGCATACGCCTCCTACCGCAAAGATGCCGATGTCAGGAATATCTAACCTGAGTCACCAGGGTTTCCAACGGTACAAACCGGTTGTGATACTCGGGGCAGGCAATAAGAACCTGAAAATGCAAGCTGCAAGCAGGGGCTCAATTTGGTGTAGCTTTTCGCCAGCCGCGAATCAGAGGTCGTTACCATAAAAGTCATTTTCAGGTTCTTCTTGTCCTGCCCCGAGTACATACAAGACAAAACCGTACCGACCACTAAAATGCTTAAGGCCAAACTGCATGCACCAACTGAACCAAATGCTTAACTTGAGAGTTCGAACCGGTTTAACCCATAAACCGTGGTTCTATGTCTTGACAGCTGAACATGCGCATGACGAGTGTTTGAGTTTAGGAATTGGGTGTTTGAGTTTAGGAACTGGGTCTTCCAGCTGACTAAGTATGATGTTCGAGCTCATGAACAAACCGTTTAAAGCGCCGGGATAACCGGTTTTAAAGATTCGTGAACAGTTTAACCGTTGTTCAAGGAGGTACAAACCCTACCAACTACTTAATTAAACGGTTGAGTACAAACGGTTTAAACCACATAATCGGCAAATCACTAGAAATCCTGCCTGAGTCAGGGGGCCGGCTCGTGCCAAGCCTCTTCCCCTTGGACACCCGGGCGAAGGCAGTGTGGGTGGTCATGGGCATTCTCAAGACCTTGGTCGAGTGTTGGTTGTTATTCGTTTGTTCACTAGGCCGAGAGATTCCATAGGCGCATTTAGCGGTCTCCCGACGCTCTGACATTTCGGAAATCTTAACTTTCGTATAAACCAGATCGTTCAAATACTATACATATAGCTATAACAGTATGACAGTAGAGTACAGAGATCAGATTGAGGCTTACACTAGTTCCAACGCGTAACAAGGCTACTGTTCGGGCTATTCTACTGTTCGAGCTATTCTACTGTTCGGGCTATTTTAAGATATTCGCCACCTAACTTGGTGGTGATTACTTTGCGCGTGGAGCCTTGTCTCGGTGCCCTGGGGAGACACGCCTGCCCCTCCTAGTGAGACCCGGGCGGAGCCCATATCACTATCAACATCCGGCAAATGTTACATCATACAGGACATAGTTAATTGTTTCTATCTAATCTCATGTATAGATATGCTTACGCGCGCCTGGACTCCCGCACACCCACCCTTACCTACATTTGAATCTTAATTCTTTAAATCTTCATTCATGCGCACGCCCGTCAACACTCTGGCCATTTCGGCCGTCATAAACAATGTTTACTTGCCTACCCCTCGCGTCCATAGTTCCATAAAAGATTTACGTACCGCAACCGATATATGATTTAGTCTTCACTTGGCTAGGCATCCGACGAGAATTTAGCGCTGCTCGTGGAGTTAATTCTGTTATTGAACATCAACACAATGCTCCTTGAATTATGTCCAATTAATAAACCGCCCCCTTTACCTTAATGCAGTGCTATTTAAACTATACAGTAGCGGCTCCAGCTTATAGGACATGAATGGTACGTCTCTCATTACCTCCACTCATCCGGTTAGTATCATTTCCTCTTTTCGAAGCTGGTGTCATGATTTATCTCTCATTTACATATCTTTCTGCCAAGCGCATCCTTCTTCTGAGTTGACAACCTCACTTAGTAATATATATATTCTACTATACAAATCCCTCCAATTGCCATATATTGTCAAGGTCATCATCAATAATTCCAACCTCGACGGGTGTACGACTCTTTATCTGCCGCCCAACCGCAATAATGCGACTTGATCCCGGTGATGGGGGTGAGACTGCTCGAGACCGGACTCGCCATGGCCAAGTCTGAGAATTCTCAGCAACAATGAGCCCGTTCTCATGGGTTCATGAGAACGTTGCAACCACATTAATCCAGTATGGTATTGAATATACGCTGCTATAAAAACTCGAGTGGAAAGAACAACAGGCAGATCTCGTTGTAGAAACTACGAAAATTTATATGAAAAGGGTTGATACTTGAGGTCAACATTCTGCTAGGTTCTCTTCCTTTTCTGACAATTTATTGGATTATAACAGACGATTTTATGAGAGTGTTCTCATCAGAATGACCCACTTATTTCCTCAAATATACTAGTATTACCTCGCTTATGCTAATTCACGCTGTCTCTCAATTCTCGAGACCAAAAGTCTCACGGGTTTCCTGAGAAGTCTCAGGCTCACCCCCATCACTACTCAATCCATGTACTAGCTTCGCCGGTACAGAGAATTTTAGTTTTACGTCCTTTAAACCTAGGTTTTTATGGCATACTGTGCCATCAATCATTGTTGTAATGGTGACAACATAATAGGCCTCGAGAGGTTATTTCTCTAGACACAGATATTAGGCAAGAGAGGAGGAGGGGGTAATTAAGCAGGATATATAGTTCGGCTCAAAACTGGCTTCAGGAGGCGAAAGGATATTTAGAAACATTGAAAAATATTCCAATATAATGGTTTTAATTTTGCCGCTGGCAGATCTAGGTGTTGATTGGAAATTATATAATGACCACTCTCAAATATATATCCAAACCCTAACCCTGGAACTAAGTCCAAGGAAGGCGAGATCAGATCACGCCTCGTCATTTTCCGTCTCGTGCCCATCACTAGACTGGTTCCTAATTCTGATAATGTTTCCCTACTGTGTGTACTCTCTCATCAACGAGACCATATCTGTCTACTAGCTTTGGAAACAAATGAATTGATTCTTTCCCACCACCTAACACATTTCTTGATACATTTCTGATGGTTTCCTATTGCCTTTCCTTGATCATGCCTTTCCATAATACACTTCACTAATCCCTTCTCGTACCCACTTACACGATTAATTATAGATTTATTAATAATTTCTTTTCCTGCTGAATTTCTTGCACGCATACCTGTTCACATCTGCTGACACATTTACTAATATTTTTAATCTATTAACACATACGGATAGTGTGGTCGACGAGCCGGCTCAAGTCGAGCCCTGGCCATGGCCCGAGCCAATTAGACTCGTGGAAGGTTGGGCTCGTGCTCATGGGAAAAATCTCAAACTCTCAAGCTAAATCATGAATTTAATTGCGAAAGAACAGGCCCCATGTCTGCTCGATTGTAGGTATTCCTGCACATGTTAAAACCCTTACCTAAGACCGGATAAAAATAAGTGATAGAAAACCTACCAAGAACTATCCCATTAAGTCTAAATATCTAATAATATAAACATACAAATAGCTCAGGCTATCTCAAGTCGAGCCATCGATAGAGCTCGAGCCAACTCGGCTCGTAGCCAATCTGAGCTCGTAATGCTTGAGAGAAAAGCTCAAGTCGAGGACTTGAGACAACTCGACTCGTCGACCACACTACATACGGATTAATCGATTCGTTTCCTGATGGCTTTGAAAGGTGTTAGGAAACGAGTTAGAAATGTGTTTGTCATGTTGTAATAAATAGCATTAGGAAAACCCGTCAGAAAGGATCTTTGGAGAACCCTTAGAAACAGTATCAGAGAGGGTGCATGATGGGAAGGGCATAGGGAGATCTAGATGTGTCGGAAAAGGTGTCGGAACAGGTGCGGGAAAAGGTGTTGAGAAAGGTACATGTTGGGAAAAGTATCAGGTGTATCTGTTACGGCTCAACCACGAAGTCGGTTCAGTGACGAAGTTTCGCCACTGGGCCAGTTCATTCACGAAGTTTCGTGACTGGACCGCATTCTTCTTGACCGAACTAACAATGTAGACTCTCCGTCCAGTCACGAAGTACTCATCTAAACCCTAGTCCAGTCACAAAGTACAACGTAGAGCTGCTCTAGTGATATGACTAGCGCTGAAAATGAGTGCAAGCGCTAGTATATCTCTGTAAGCGTCACAGAATCCTGTTGTAATTTTCTCCCACACACTTTGTTTTTCTCCCGCGCATTTTTTTAAGTGACTGTACCATTGCTGGATGGGGCCCCAGTCGTCGACAGGTGGCACCTGGGCTCGCCCCAGGATAGCTGTGCTCGCACCACCATAGCTGTCCGTGCCCAGGGGTTCTAGGGTTGTGAGGCGGTCAGTCCAGTCAGGAAACTTCGTGACTGAACTGGCATACAGCAGGCCCACTTTAGTGACAAAGAATATAGTCCAGTCATGAAACTTCGTGAATGAACTGGCCCAGTGGCGAAACTTCGTCACTGAACCGACTTCGTGACAGGGCCGTAACATATCCATGGGTAGAGTGTTTTATATCTCTTCCGATCCTGAACTTAGTAGCGTTATCAGGTGTAGTATATACATACAACTATTATTAAACTTTATATGATCATGAAATCTATATGGTGCCCCAGTCTTAAAGGTAGCATGGGAAAAAACGTCAAATCGCTTATAACTTTTCAACCACGATAGATATTAAAAATCTCTCAAGACAAACTTTTATTCATCACGGTATCCAGCTCTTATCTCGACAGATTTTTAACATCTATCGTGGTTGAAAGGTGATAAGCGATTTGGCGTTTTTCCCATGTTACCTTTAAGACTGGGTAATGGAAGACATCCCTGGATATTATGAAGGCGTTCAAATCTGAAGCCTTAAAGATAAATTACAGATTGTGCATAGCAACCGGTCACCACATCAAATTTTGTAAAACCGGACCCAGATCAGCACATAGGGCTTTCTTGAACAAAAGCCGGGAAGAAATAAGGCTTGTAAACATGATATCTATATCTTCAATGACTAATAGTGAACTGCCAAATCTTATTTTTTTGGAATTTTCAGGTATTGTTTTAGTCATTTGAAGTGTCGGAGTCGTAAGCAAACTGCCAGGTGAGTGAAGCTGTAGACACCCCCTGGGGGGTCTATAAATCACATTTGAACGCCTATAAACCTTCAAAAATATACACGGGATGTCTTCCAATGTATCGATATATAGTGTAAGCGGTAAGCTTAGCACTACAGTTGATAGGTGCCTCAATGAGAGTTTAATTCTCTCATGACTCAAACTTTCCTTTTGCTGCGATCTCAAATGAATTAAGTTAAGGACCAGGAAAGGCATCGCTTTCTCATGTAGTGTGCTATTTTAACAAAGTGAACTTAAAGATTTGTTTACTGATCCATTTGCAGATCTCGGATATTAGTAGCATTGTTGGATATATTAACCTAATACATTTCCTCAACAAATAGCTCGTAACCTTCGATTGGTCACGGGGCGATTTGAATGGCAGGCAGAGTAGTGAGGACGTCCAGAACATCGGGGCTGCTAGCGAATCAATTGATACGGAGGATGGTGAGTGTAGTCTACTGGACCGTATCGATGGTGCCGTTGGCGAAGCCTATTGCGACGGGGGTCAGAAGGAAAAACGAGGGGAAAATACTGTACGCCCCAGTCCCCACATCGACTCCATTTATCTCCATCCTGACTAATACGCCACATAACGCCTTTCTTCAAGGATCACATCATGACCATCATAGCCTATAACGCGATGTTAATTACGTTGCTCCCCGCACCATGGCTCATAATCTGGTCGCCGACACGCTTCAACGCTGCGAGTAGCACTCCGAGTCAACGGGCATGGACAATGACCTGGCTAGCTATGGGACAGGTCTTTGGTGTGCTTGCGATGAGCTCGTACTCCTGGATACGTATACGTGTCGATCAGTATATAGCAGCGGCTGGTATGAATCATGATACGTTCGCAATAATCATGGTCTTTTATGCATGTTTGTATACAGTTCTGCTTTCGTTTGGCGCTGTGGGCGGAATGGTTATGGTGGCGAAGATGATTATGGAAGATGAGTTTTGTTCGAGGATATAAGGCGTATGATTAAATTATAAAGATGTGGGTTGGGCTTATAACCTCTGGCTATGTGGAAACAGGCATAATGTTGGAATGGTAGACACTAGCCTTGCTCGGGGGTGCGTCGCGGGATCTCACTCGATACAACAATTCACTACTTTTTGTCTTGTTTAACCCACTCCGTGGTCTGGTCCTGAGACTATTATATCAGGTTCTTATCAAGTAAAATTTGATAACGTTCCTTAGCTCATATTTTCGATCAACCGATACAGAATCCAATGACATACATAAATCATACCATTCGCATCAAACTCAACTAAAATACCGAGATTTGGCCAAAACAACTATTGCCACAGCATTGAGAAGCACTTGAATATCCGATGCAGGTACATCAATATACGTAAGAGTAACTGAAAATCCAGATCCGAATGCCCAACAATAGTAAACCGCCCATAGTGGCTGCAACGTTGAACTTTGCCAAGCGTCACACAAATCGAGGTCTTGATACGAGTTTCGGGATTGTCCCCCGAAAGATGCGACAGCCTATGGAAAAGATTTTTGGGAAGTAACGTAAGTAAACGCCTCCCTCTAACTTTCACATGTACAGCGCGCTGACATAAATTATCGTATTCGCGCGAAAAGTAACGAATCACATCAAACATGACGTTTACCCACAGTTCCAAGCACCTAAGCCTCTAATATTGAATAGATAGAGACACGTAAGCCCAGACTCAGTTTAAAGATCTATTTGTGCACGACAGTTATTGAACGAGTTGTATGGGGGAGAGTTGTGTGAAATCTACCAAGTGTGCCCTGCACAAATTCAAGGTCTTGGTAGGCATTTCATAAGAATTGATTATTTTTACCAAAAATGGCTTGTTCAACGATTCCTCTTTCTTTATATTTGGATTATAAATTACCTCACTTAATCTGTGGGTTCAAGGTAGTTATGTATTTTCGGCGTAGTGTACCGAGCGATTGAAAGCGACAACTACGGCGGGTGAGTAGACACTCGTGCACCAGGGTCAGTCGCGAACTCTAGAAACTGGCTAATATTGATTGGTTACAATGATTGAATTGGTTGTGATGCGCGGCTGACCCGGGTGCGCGAGTGTCTACCGTCTACTCACCGGCGGTAGTTGATTACCCAAAATGGGAAGACACCTATACCATATTTGCGAGAGATAATCTTATCAATTGTGACCAAAAAGAATTTTGTTAACGATAGAGCGCGGATAATTACTATATAGCACACTTTTGAAAGTTTACTGCCAGCTTGAAAGTGGCCATGTCACCATTACTTGCAGGGCGCCAATGGGCCGTGGCCCAACCCGTGAAGCCCGGGCTCACTTCAGGCTATTTGGGCCGGGCCTTCTGGTAGATAATAGGGGCCGGGCCGGGCCTCATGGGAATCAAAGTCCGGGCTATTTGGGCCCTCTTTGGGCCCATGAAGAATCGATATTTCCAGGTCGAATGTTGAAAATCATGTCATATCTTTCATACCCTGACCTCCATATCTAGGTGTTCCCAGTCATGAACAGGGCATATATTAGATTGGGCCCTTCAGGCCATGAGCCCGGGCATGCCCGGGCTTATGAACTTGGGCCAGGCCTAGGGCAACAACATCGGGCTTTGGGCCGGGCATGGGGGTATTTCAAGCCCGGGCCGGCCCATTGGAGACCCTGATTACTTGGTACAAGATTCTCACCTGAATCCGATTATGACCAAGAACTGTGCCATACATACTAGACACCAAAATCTTCCCAATCCGACTTGACTCAATTTCAATCTCAATGTCCAGATGGCGCACACAAGTCTGTTCAGATGCTACGCTTTCCAGTGAAAACGGCGTGCTAGAAACTGGTGCAGTCGGCGTTTCTACCGTCCCCGAAACAATGCTTTTATGAAAAGAAACTACAATAAGACTGCCGTGATTAGCCAGTATCTTAATTTGTTGCTATTGTTATGTGTCGATGGGGTAGCTCGATCTAAATTTTGGGACGATTAGTCCTGAAGATGGGTGCCACGCGCTAAGCGTTGACTTTCACATCCCAAGCCACTCCCTCGGCACACACAAACTTCCCGCCGGTATCGAGGCGCTTTCAATCCCAGTGTAAGTTAACCGGAGGATGCCGGAGGTGCATCATGAGATATATATCAGTCGATATCATTTTGCCAAACATACGTTAAAATCGGGCTTCCGAGCTAGGAGTTGTTTTTGTTATCAGTTCATCAAGTATTTTCAGGCTAAGAGAATTATTTCCTTGTCACATGAATTGCTATTACTATTAATTGATATTCCTATGGTGCCCGGAAATGGTAGACGTGAGAAGTCCCTGGATAATCTGGTATGCGAATGGAGGCGTAGATACCGGTGGCACACTACCTTACTGTGAGAACGAGGCAAGGAAGCGACGATTTAGAGGGAGCGTAAACCTAAGTTCCCTTTATTTCCCCAATGTGACGTGATATTTCTATTTGGCCGATTGAACTTCCTATTTCAACGAAGGTGTACTATGCAGGGACAAAGTCACTGTAATCTCAGGCGTAAGTACAATTAAAACTTGACGGTATTAATACTCGCTGTTAGTCTCGTTCCCAGACTGTTTTGTCTGCATGTGCGCTGAATCAAGCAAACACAGGCTGGGCACGAGACTAACTCGCTGTAGGATAGAACGCCCTTGCTATTACAGACACCATAGCAGAAGCCTTATCATAATCCTCAACTAGTGATAATCAAATCACGCTCACAAAGCGATCAGTATACCGGAAAACGCCCATGGTCATCACGGAGCAGGATAAGGATAAATCCCAGTAAGCATTTCAATATATAATGTTTTGCGCAAAATGCCTCCAGCGAATACCGTCACCTCTACCCTCTCCCTGGACAAAGGCCTCGTCAATCATTCTTGTAGCAAAAACAGTCCGACCCCCGATAGCGACGGGAGTTCCCCTGTTTACCACATTTCCGAAACCTATCCCAGCTTGAAACACCCGCAAATTTCAACATCAATTTCAAAAGGACGATCACTTCCGCGGGTCGAATGTGATATATAGCTTTTCCCACGGTTCTAACCAGTCATCTCTGTAGCAAAAGCTGTGCCTGAGGTAAATAAACCGAATTAAAGGCCACATAACCAATGTCACTAATATATGGCTTGAAGTGAACAACTGATTTCCAGCCTTAATTGGCGCTGGTTCAGCAGCGAATGCATCCAGGGTTAGGGTCCTCCCTAGCACGCCGCGCATCTATTTTATCTCGATTTCAACCTGCATAGAAAGATGGTAAACCCCAAGCCACAAGCTGACGCAAGGAAACAAAGAAAAAGAAACAAACTACATTATTTTACGAAAGAGTTGGTTTGACTGTGAACCGGGGAACACGTAGTGTCGCCGCCGTTTCATTGGCGGTAAACTAGAGAAGAACATCGAATGATTGCCGTGCTCTCATCTCGGAGTTGCGGGCGCATCTTGACTTACCTTAATTGTCACTTGCACTTCTGCCTATGCTTTTTATAGTGTTGAATTATCATGACGCGAAATACCACCGCCGTTTCCCCGAGGAGCAAGTGGCTGGAAAGGGATTAATGTATATATCTCTTGTGTTACTACCTATAGTTTTCTACGGGAATTAGGAACCGTATCCGTGGTCTACGATGGCAAGTTTTCCCTACACTACGTCATGTCCTCCGAGATTATTATCTACTCCGCTAAGTAATATTTTTATTCATAGAGCCTCACCACCACCACAGTCCCATACGGAACCTCATCCCACCATCCCGACCTACCCATCCCTTCAATCAGCCAATGCACCAGCGCTAATTAAACCCTCCTAGTGTTACAGGAATACGAGCACTGCTCTAAGTCGAGGAAACAGGAGGAATACGAGTAATGGGTTGTGATGCGGGTACGGTCGGGTAGCGGAAGAATAAGCATAGAAAGGTACCGAGGGGTGTGGGAGCACCGGGTGCAACCACACTAGTATTAGGCTATTGTGAGGACACGCTTACTATTGGATGTCTCACCCGGAACGGAATAGAAGCGGGGTTTATGGCTGCAGACCATTCTACTTAAGGAAGTAGCTCTAGGACAATAGTATGATACAGCTCGGTTACTGGCAATTGCGGGGTTCATGGTTATGTGTCAGAATTAGAATGGAGGAACGGAACTATGCGGGGGCGCTTTTCTATCGGGGCTATCTTCGGGTTGATTGTCTTATTTTATTATCGTGGTATTAGTAGTATTAGAAAGCGGGCCTTGGCATAGGTTCCAATATGTATAAATAGGGTAGGATTCTGCCTCGTCTTAGTGGCATCATCAGTCACTCAGCGAGCGGAATCCGGTTTACAATATTACAAGTTTAAAAGCTACAGAATCATCGCTTAGCATTGGCAATTCCCCAAACACTATATTGTCCCTTATCCACTATGCTATTATTTTACCAATCGCATATTATCAACGTTCTGATAAGACAACTACTTGCTTAGACCAATACTTGAGAGTATTTTGTGTGGCGGATAGTCACCGTGCGCTCAAGTAAAGGAATAAGAAAGTAGTCTATTAGAAGGGCTCTTTGATATCTTATGCATCCTCGAGTAGCAACAGCAGCTATCAACAACTTCACTTGCACTACCTCCTTCATCGTTCGCAGAGGCAGTGCCGAACATCTCTATTGCGGATACTTTGAGTACGCCGGGTTTTTTGTCGAAGCAGGCACTACTTGCACGTTCGAAGAACACGACCCGGAAATCCTCAACTACCCTGAACTCTTCCCCATCAAAGTCACCCTCAGGCAGCAATCCTACGGATTAGCTCACCCCGTCCCTTGGTTCGTCGTTCAACCCTGGTGCAGAAGACAGCCACAGCTCAGGATCGAGCAACTTAGCGATGTCAAGGGGTCCTCAGCAACGACTGGAGGAAGATTACAACATGGAGAGTTCAATCACAGTGAGAGATCGAGGTATAGTCGAGACCCAGGCGAGACAGCGCCACAGGAGGGATCTGGACATGCCGATCAGCGACCTCTTCAGATCGACTCAGCTGGCCGAATCCTATGGCCAACCCCGCTCACGCAGGCAAGGGGACTATCGAGACTATTCCCCATACAAAACGCCAATCAGAGAGAGGTCTTCTATTCCGAGGCCCTCGGTCCCCAGGGTAACGGACGAAGACGAAGATACGAATATGGACGTCGAGGAACGCCGTATCGAGCACCCCTTTGGAGAAATCATCGGGCAGGAAATCGAACGGAGAGGAGCCCCAGTGGTTCAGCAGCTGAGTCGCGGACTTGGAGACCTCACTGTGAGCGTCCAAGACCTCCCTGTAATCAGGGACATCACTCGGCAGCACTCCGCGCAGCTCGCCCAGCAGCATGAAGAGCAGACCAAACTCATCCGCGAGTTGCAGATGAAGTTCGGCCAGGACCAAGAGGAACGGGAGCGCCGCGAAGGATTCATCCTCGCGCAAGTGCGGGCAGAGACAGCCGCAACCACTACGAATCTCCGCCAAGTCTTGGAGCAGATCGTCAACACTACTAAGGCCCACCAACAGCGGCAGGAAGAGCAGGCCCAGCATATAACCATGCTGGCTGACTGGATCCAAAAGCTGCCGAAAGACGGCCCAGCCCAAGTCCCAGAAGGCGTAGCAGCCACACTGGCACAATTGGAGAGGACCATGCAGCAGCAGGCCTCACTGGTAGATGGGTTCTCTGGAACGAAGACGGCTCTAGAAGAGATGATGGAGCAAATGAAGGAAACAGCCCGTAAAACGGCTGCGGAACGACCACTGGCCCCAGAGACAGGTGGCGGCGGATTAGGCCCGCCTCCCAAACCACCTCCCCAACAACCCGTCGTTCCTCCAGCTGGCTCCGAATCCAGTGAGGACCCCGAAGGCCAAAGCCTAGTACCAAGAAGCAACCCTGAGCGTAGTAGCCAACAAGGGAAGCAAGGAGGTCAAGGAGCACAAGGTGGAGGCAATGGAAATGGCAATAAGGGAGGTAACGCCCCTGGTGGACCGGGACCTCCAGGATCATCCTCATCGGACTCCTCAGATTCGGAAGACGAATGCCGCAGGCGGCTGGAACGTAAAAAACGGAGATAGGAAAAGAGGCGCCAACGAGAGAAAGAACTCTCGCACCCCCTTCGAGCCACCGTGGGTGATGCACCCAAAAAAGCCAACATTCCCTTCTCCGGAAGAGCCGATCAAGACGTAAGACTCTGGATCGACCAGATGGAGATCCTAATCAGTCTCCAGAAAAAGGTCCAATGGGATAACGGCACCAAGATCATGTGGGCATCCCTTGAGTTTACCGGTAGTGCGGGGAACTTTTGGCGAAATTTTACGGAGAGGTTAGCTTTGGATAGCAGTATCGGAACCTGGGAATGGTTCAAGCAAGAACTCCGTACCCAATACGGCAACCGTACGAGTCAGGAACAGGCCAAGCAGAAGATGGACAAACTCCGGCAAACTGGCCCAATCGACGACTACATCAATGAGATGCAGAACCTAGAATGGGACGCACGAGTTGGACCAGTTGTCATGAGATCTATGATCCTAACGGGAATAAACTCCTCGCTGGAACAACGGCTCTCTAATGCGATTGAGGAACCTAATGATTTCGTGGACTGGTTAGCCTGGGTACGAAAAGTCGGACGTAAGGACCACGAGGTGAAGGCTCGGAAAGAAATCCTGCGAGGTAAAGATACTGTCAAACCTCGCGAGGAAAAGACGGAACGGCGAAAATCGCGCAACAATGCAAATCCTCGGAAAACTTTCCCCACATCAGCCAACAACTCCAAGACCTCGGATGACTTAGGTGTCACCAAGGAAGAGAAGGAGAAATGGCAGAAGGAAGGAAAATGTTTCCGTTGTGGTAGAGATAACCACTTCGTGAAGGATTGCGTGGCGACGAGTAAGGTCAGGTTAACGAACCTGAAGAGGAGAGAGCCTCCTTCCGGGAGGAAGGACCACGGAAGGGAGGGTGATAAGAAACGAAAATTGGGGCCACAAAATGAGGCATTTAGGGCAAGAATTACGAATTTGGAGAACTAAAAATTGATTGGGTATTTCTATGTTTTACGGTTGTTTATTCTATGTTGTGTTATGGGTTTTTTTTTCATGTCTGGTTTTTACAAGGGATCGGGTTATGTTATGTTCTATCGGTTGTTATTCCGCGCAATTTAATTCTCTTTACATATACTCTGAGAAGTGGGGTCACACCCCGAAACGCCTGACGTATAAGTGTTGCACGATGACCTTCATCAACGCTTGAATTGTCTATATAAACTCCCTCGCCCCGCGCTCAACAACAAAGAACCATCAATATCAAACTCACTTATATCCAAGAACAACATACCTTTACCTTACACTTCTATACATACAAACATGTCCTTACACAACCAGGAAACCCGCCTCGAGATTGAGATCTCCTGGGCACACCCCGCAACTAGTACCCTTTATGCAGAAATAGTCAATGCACTCCTAGACAGCGGAACCGAGGACTGGGTTATGTCCTGGAACTGTATCCATCGTCTCAAGATCCCAACCCAACCTCGACCTAAGCCTCTCATCATCAGACAGGCCGATGGTACCCCTATGCCTAACTCTGGCACCCACATCACTCAATCTCTTACCCTCCGCATCGGCAACCATCTAGACAGAGATATCGTCTGTGAGGTTGGCTCGTTCGCAGGAGAAGACCTCGTCGTACCACATCGATGGCTCAAGGAGCATCAACCTACCATACATTGGGGTCAGAATAAGGTCACCTTCGACAACATCTATTGTCAAATTAAGGGATACTTCATGACCATATATGACATATACGAAGAAGACCCAGAAGAGCTCGTCATCAGACTGTTGAGGTCGTCAACCGAGACACAGATGATGATCGAGGAACACCCCTTCTGGGCAAGGGAATCGGTAAACGAGGCTCTCGTTGATGCTATACCAATGGAGTATCAGGACTTGGTCAACGTCTTCTCCAAGGAATGAGCCGATCGACTACCTGATCACTCTGAATGGGACCACACCATTCCCCTTATGGAAGGAAAGCAGCCTCCATGGGGACCGATCTACGCGCTCTCCCCAGTGGAGCAGAAGGCACTCCGGGAGTACTTGGACGAAATGCTAGCCTCTGGCAAAATAGTTCCCTCCACTAGTCCGGCAGCAGCACCCATTCTGTTCGTTCGCAAGACCAACGGGAAATTAAGGTTATGCGTAGACTTTCGTGGCTTAAACGCTATTACAGTCAAGAATCGTTATCCTCTCCCACTTATGACAGAGTTGGCCGATGCGACGAAAGGAGCAGAGTTCTTCACCAAATTAGATCTGAAAAATGGCTACAATTTGATTAGAATCGCTGCTGGCGAGGAATGGAAAACAGCTTTCAGAACGAAATACGGCCACTTTGAATATAGGGTAATGCCTTTTGGCTTAACCAATGCACCAGCGTCGTTCCAGGTCATGGTTAATACCATATTCAAGGATCTATTGGATCAAGGCGTAGTAGTCTATTTGGATGATATCCTAATATATTCAAAGACTAGAGAAGAGCATACGACTCTTGTGCGAAAAGTATTGGAGCGACTGCAACAAAACCACCTATACGGGAACCTCGAGAAAACGGAATGGTACGAACAGGAGGTAGAATTCCTGGGATTTGTACTATCAGGAAAAGGGAACCAGGTCTCGCCTAAAAAGGTGAAAGCAATCACAGAATAGTTAGCACCCACCAAGGTTAAGGAACTTCAATGTTTCCTCGGGTTCGCCAATTTCCTACGACGGTTCATCCACAGGTACTCCGAAATTTGTCGACCAATGACCGACCTCTTGAAGAAGGGTTCCGTATGGCGATGGAGCAGAGAACAGCAAAGCGCTTTGGACGAACTCAAGAAGAGATTCACGTCTGCCCCAATACTACGACACTATGACGAACACCGTGAAGCAATCATAGAAACTGATGCGAGTGACTGGGCCGAGGCCGCAGTACTCTCTCAGGTGTTCGAGGAAGGTATTCTACACCCGGTAGCTTACCACTCTTGCAAGTTCAACGAGGCGGAAGTTAACTACGAGATCTATGACAAGGAGATGCTCGCTATAGTTTCTGCTCTCTTGACTTAGAGACATTGGCTGGAAGGAACGGACATTCCTATCCAGATACATTCGGATCATCAGAACCTACAGTATTTCACAACGACCAAGAAGTTGTCGAGAAGACAAGCCAGATGGGCCGAAAAGATAGCACCTTTTCGCTTCAGGATCCATTACCGCCCAGGCGAAAAGAACGGCAAGCCAGATGCACTCACAAGGCGCCCAGAGTTCGCTATGGAAGGGGGAGTGATGCGTGAACAACCCGTAAAACAGTTGCTCAGCGCAGAACAGTTTGTCAGAAAATCACGGACCAGCGTAGAAACTAGACCTAAAATTATCGGCAACCCCGAAGAAGGAAGGACTCCGTTGGATCAGTGGTACGACATACCAGGCGTAGAGCTGCCTCAGCCACTACAAGACTGGTCTGAACAGGACAGACAATGGGTTCGGAGAGTGTTCCGGGATGAACCTCTCCCTGACACAAACCTTGAAGTCTTCGGGTCAGCGGAAGCTGCTGCCGTAATAGCAGAGCTTACTACTGAATGGACCTCGGGATCGAATGAGGCTACCCACGATGGTCGTTGGGTAGTGCCAGGATATGCGGTCAAGCAAGTCATTGAGGATCATCATGACAGACCCGTAGCGGGGCATCTAGGAAGGGACAAAACCCTCGAGTTGGTCGATAGGAACTACTGGTGGCCAGGAATGTCTACAGATGTAGCCAACTTCGTCAAGACTTGCGATGTATGCCAGAGAGCCAAGCAACGTCGGAGACACTTGTCACTCCCTCAACCCCTAGAGTTAGCCACCACCCCTTGGACTGATATCTCAATGGATTTTGTGGTAGAGATGCCAAAGGAGAAATCAGGATTCCGTAACGTATTGGTAGTCGTGGACCGTTTTACGAAAATGACTCACTTCATTCCAATGACGGGAATCAATGCGGAACAGACCGCTAACGCATTTGTCAAAGACATCTGGCGTTTTCACGGACTTCCCAGGAGCATTGTCTCTGACAGAGGAACACAGTTCGTATCGGCATTCTGGACGGCGGTTACAGAACGACTTGAGATTCGTAGAAGACTCTCAACCTCGTTCCACCCGCAGACAGATGGCCAAACGGAAAAAACCAACCAGCACCTCGAATCCTATCTTCGAGCCTACACCGCAGGTACAGGGAAGAAATGGAAGGACCTGCTACCAATCTGCGAGTATGCATATAACAATGCGAAACACTTGTCTACAGGACAATCGCCGTTTTATTGTAACTACGGTTTCCACCCACGAACGGATTGGCCAACAGATGCGGATATCGATCGGCTGGACGTCAACGGAAACAACTACTTGGACAACCTTCTTCAAGCTCACGAGTCAGCGAGAGATACGCTGCAGAAGACCCTTGACAGAATGGCGTCAAGACCAGGGCCAGCAGTTCAGCGGTTCGCAATCGGTCAAAAGGTCTTGCTGGATACTCGGAACCTCGGGGGATACGACAAGTGGTCGGATAAGTTCACTGGACCCTTCGAAGTCGCTGCAGCTATAGGAAATAGAGCTTATTGGTTGAATCTTCCGGTAGAATGGAAGGTTCACGATGTATTCCACGAAATGCTGCTACGACCTTATCGAGAGGACCCCAACCCAGGAAGACAACAGAATATACGGAAACGACTTGCAACACCCGATCCTCAAGAAGCGCTCTTAGATGAGAACTTCAAACCAAGTACGAATACTCGACCCCATACGCGGAGTCAAGGGCCAGTCACCGATTCGAGACGGCCTCCGAAGCGACAACGGACTGGGAAAGACTAGCTCGATACCTTTCCTACTCTATGACTTTTCCCCACAGGGTTTTTATCATAGAGAGGTTTTAACGGTCGAGGGCGACGTCTAGGAAGGGGGAGTAGTGTTACAGGAATACGAGCACTCCTCTAAGTCGAGGAAACAGGAGGAATACGAGTAATGGGTTGTGATGCGGGTACGGTCGGGTAGTGGAAGAATAAGCATAGAAAGGTACCGAGGGGTGTGGGAGCACCGGGTGCAACCACACTAGTATTAGGCTATTGTGAGGACACGCTTACTATTGGGTGTCTCACCCGGAACGGAATAGAAGCGGGGTTTATGGCTGCAGGCCATTCTACTTAAGGAAGTAGCTCTAGGACAATAGTATGATACAGCTCGGTTACTGGCAATTGCGGGGTTCATGGTTATGTGTCAGAATTAGAATGGAGGAACGGAACTATGCGGGGGCGCTTTTCTATCGGGGCTATCTTCGGGTTGATTGTCTTATTTTATTATCGTGGTATTAGTAGTATTAGAAAGCGGGCCTTGGCATAGGTTCCAATATGTATAAATAGGGTAGGATTCTGCCTCGTCTTAGTGGCATCATCAGTCACTCAGCGAGCGGAATCCGGTTTACAATATTACATGTTTAAAAGCTACAGAATCATCGCTTAGCATTGGCAATTCCCCAAACACCTAGCGATCTATAGCCCTCCACCGATACCGACAAGAATAGCGACCAACAATCACACACCACCGCTTGCGCGCTACCATCAAGAGCCACAGCACTACCAAGCGTGAATACACCTCACCCTATCACTCCTCAACCCACCACGCATCCCACCCCAAAAACCGATCCGTGATCGGTCCCGCTAATCACAGGTTCTCACTCGCCGAGTGACAGTTCACGACTAACCCCCGCGTCATCCATATATGGCACCTCCGACGTAAACTGCCACTAGTCATGGGCACGGGAGACACAATGCCAAGCAGAACATGCTTAGCTATGCTATAAGAATTCATTAAGAGTGAGAAGCCATACTAAGATAGACTAAGAGTCTTCCCTCGAAAATACGAGTGATTGTCTGTGACCCGATATCAGCATCTTGCTGCCTTTCGCCAGCGGCTGGGAAAAACATCAACTCGATGGCCCGAGCACCTAATACGAAAACTGGGTGCTTTACGCAATCTAGGGCTCTGGGGCTGGCGGTTCCCCTACGGTATAATTCTTTTGGTGTATAACGGTAAATAATCCACCAGAGAAGGGTGATTTACGCCAAAAAGCCCGAAATTGAGGTTTTTGGTAACGCTTCGTTTATTTATCCGGATACAAAGATAGATTTTAGGCTCATCCTCCAGCGCAGGTATGTAAGCTCTGGGAGTGGTAATTAAGCTCCAGTAAATCTAATTAACCTATAAGGGCGATAATTTATCTATCTTGATTTTAGCGTGGTCCAAAAAGGGATAGAACAAGCGAGCCCAGCAAGAATAAAGATACTCACGGCTAGGGAATGATGTATCAGATGGCAGGTCAAGAAAATATATCCACCTACCACCAGTGAGCGGTAACTACCCCAATAGCTTATCTTTTCGGGGCATGAAATACAATTCAAGTAAAGAAAGTCATAGTATAGGTGACATGAGTTGCAGCAATCAGTCAAGATTGTCTGGGTTCGAACCTCTAGAACTTGGTTTTTAAAACATTTTTATAATACTTTATCAATTTACGAAGTTTACTTACCGCTTATTCAGGGCAATTCTTTCTCAAGTTATCCTAATAGAACGGGTAAACAGGCTACTCTACAGGGTATCATATCCTCTCCGCCTCCGACGTCACCGGCCATTACAGAGAACCTATCTTTACGCCATTGCACCCTAGGGGTTTGGGGGCCGTTTTTAAATAATGTAGTGCACGGGGAGAGCAAAGGCGACCTCTAGTGTTGTATGATTTTAAGCTAGGTCAATGAGGAGTGGGCAAACAACCCGCGGAATGCGTACGTCACTATTGCATCTGTGGGCAGAATACACTCCCACAACCGCCCACCACCAAAACCTCAAACCTGAAGACCTCAAGACTCCACCCCACCGACCACCCCCGATCCGCAACTACGCTACATGACACCACGCCACACCGCATACCGCACAGCGAGAGAGTCCAGCGCACAACGACACTCGTACTTCCCCATGTCGTCCAGCACCGGCCGAAAGACTGCCAGCTGGAGGCGGGGGCACCTTCGGAGGTGCGATTCCGGAGGTGTGGGTGTTTGGGGTTAGCAGGGGCTACCGTCTCGGGGGTGGGTGGGGCGGATAGTAGGGGGTGACTGGTGACGGAAGGGGCGAGAGGGTAAGGGAAGGGTGGTATAGGGCGGCAGAGAGGTATATGAAGTCCATCGCACAGAGGCTGGCTGTGATTATATAGTTACAGAGTGGTATCAAAACCAGTATCGAAATAGGGCATCGAACCAAAAAAAGAAAAAGAAAAAGAAAAGGAAAGAGGAAAACCGACGCCGTAACTAAACCCAACCCGCTACCCGTAAAAGAGAAATCGACAAAAAAAGAAAAAAATTAAATAAGTCAAAGAAAAGTCAAAAAAAAAATAAAAAACACAAAACACTGAAAATAAAACAAAAATACCCTTTAAAAAAAACACCTCCCGTAAAAGCAGGATCAGACCCCCCTCGCCCTCCTCCCTTTCACCAGCCCCCACCTCTCCTCCTCCCTCATCCCCATCTCGTCCATCACAACCGCCACCTTCCTCGGCCGCTCCTGCACCTTATCCCCATCCTCCCCCGCTGCCACCCCCCCCTCCCTCTCTTCCCCCAAGGCAGTTCTAAATTTCCGTTTCGCGCTCTTATTGCCACCATCCAAGCCCAGCGCGCGGTCAACGTCAGGACTAAAACTAAGCACCCACCCCTGCACACTCTCCGCGGGAGAGACCATCCCGCTGTCCGCCACCTTTCCCTGCTCCTCCCCACACAGGCCCTCTACACCCGCCTGCTCCTCACCCCCCTCCTCCCACCCCTCCTCCTCCTCGCCCCAGCCCACCGCTTCTTCACTCCCGTCCCCATACGGAAATACCGGCCATCCCGCAGCAGCGCGTAAGCGCCTTACGCGCCCACACAGCGCATGCAGCTGCAGCAGCAGGGGGTGCGGGAGCGGCCATCGGGAAGGGTCGGGGGTGGTCAGCGTGATGACGTCGCCGGGGGTGATCTGCGTGCTTGACAATAGCTCGGGCGGCGTGCTGGAGGAGTAGACGTAGCGGGAGAGAGGAAGAAGGGACCGGCCGGGGAAGGAGAGTCTTATGTCGTACTAGGGGTGTTAGCTGTGGGGACGCCGGGGGGGGTGTGCAAAAGAAAAGAAGGTGGAGAGGTGGGGGCGCTCACGCTAGAGACGACACTAGGGTCGTAGCCACCACTCCAATTGCCGGTGTTAGGGATCGGTACCATCTCGATCGCGCCAGCATCAAAGTATCTGTGTGCGCGCGGTTCGAGGGTTATACAGTTCGCCAACTCGCCCACCCCCGCTTCCCTCCCCCCCCTTGCCTCCGATCCCGCTCCGTTTGCCAACTGTAACGTAGCCCCCCTCACCCTCTCCGCACCCTCGACACCCAAGAAGAGCGCCAAGAAACCCCAGAACGCAGCCGCCTTGGCTCCGCGGACAGAGAACGGAATGATGTGCGCCACTTCGAGCGCGGTGGGTTCGCTTATAGCTGTGAGCACGCAGCGCTGGGTGTCGCGCGCTAGCGTCGAGGCGCGGAGGGTCGCGGAGCGACCGGAACTTGAGGAGCGGTGGCTGTGCGTGGAGGAGGAGGGTGGCGCGGGTGTGCGAGTCGGCGTCGGCGGAGAAGGGGTTGCATGGTTCGAGCTCTGTGTAGGAGTCGGTGAGCGCGAGGACTCACGAGAGGAAGCCCGCGAAGGCGCAGGGCTGCCACCAGTGCCACTAAATGCCCTCAGCGCTACCGTAATCGTGTCCGCCCACGTCACCAGCTCCCGCCCTGTTACCGTTTTGTGTGCGAGGCGGGTTAAGAAGCCCCCCTCCCCCCCATCCCCCTCCCACTCCGTAGCCGGTAAATGCACCACAAACCCCGTCACCGCACTCACGACACTCGCTTGCATCTCACCCGTGAGCTCCGGCGTGACCTCCGGTCGCAAGCTCCGCATCGCAGCTTCGTAGAGCGCCTGTGTGGGGGGTGGCAGCGTGGTGATTGCGCTGTGGAGGAAGGCTGTGAACTGGCCGTCGCTAGGAGGCTCAGGGGAGGAGGAGGCGATGTAGGGCGGCGGCAGCGGGATGGTGAAGAACAGCGAGGGCGGCGCGGTGGTGCTGGGCGTGCTGTGGGTGTGGGTGGTGCGGCGGCGCTTGGACGATGTTGTGGCGGGCGGGGGCGGGGGCATCAGGGTGGCATCGGTGTCGGCGGTGTCGGGGGCGGGACGTTTCGGTGGCATTGGGGTCGCTGCTGGCGGCACTGCGCTGTGTGTTGCGGGTGAAGAGAGATGTGGAGAGATGACAAGGCTTGGCTGTGGCGTGGATAGGGTAACCACTGCACCCGCCACACCAAACGTGCCACACCCGGAAAAAGGGCGAATACGCGAGCAACGGGTGTTTGCCAGTGGTGCATGTGAGCGCGATACTGGCGATACTGCAAACAGACGGCGGGGGCTCGCGGTGTTGAAGGTATCACCGAAATCCTCATGCTCCCAAAAAAGACGAAAAGAAAAAAAAAGAAAAATGTGTATGTACATATCACGCCGCGAGTGATAGGCTACGACGCATGGTGCCACCACTCGAACACAAAGTCAATGTTGGACAGCAGCAATTAACCCGAGTATGTGGAAGGTAATATCGCTGTCCGCTTCCGGCGCATGTTATGTGAGACGGAGAGTGCGTAACCCCCGCTAGTCCCCGCACCCTGCCCGGGCCGCGGAACTAATCTACTTCCGGGAGTGATCACGCCATGACTACGCGGTGAGCACACCTTCTCCTTCCGACGAAGCCCTGAGAGTATACACCCGTCCCGCAGTCAGGGAGGGGGTGCAAATACCGGATTGAGACGAGCCCTGATGGTCCTGTTAGCGTGCTGTGCATGCGGGATGTCGTTAGCCGGGTGTGGCTAGGTCCCGGGAGAGGGCGGGGTGAGGCCGAGAGAGCGAGGGAGTGAGGAGGCCCTTGATGTCCGGTACACTGTCTCGATGCCTCACGGCATCTGAGGTTGTCGTCAGCTTTAAGGATGTTGACCCCCCGGCCTTGCTCGCTCCTACCCTCCGCGAGTTGAGGAAGAGGTGGGGGTGGGATTTGGGGGTCCCCGGGGGGGCCCCGGGGAGGGGGGGGGGGGGCCCCGGGGAGGGGGGGAGTCGCGAAGGCAGGGCTATAGAGAGTACTAGTGGGCTTCTTTCTCGACAACTGCTAAGATATATCGATATGGTGTAATGAGTTGGTGTGAAACTAGGGATCGGGAGACTCGTCTTCAACTCTCGTTAGGCTTTTATTGAATATCTTATTTTTCTTTTACTGTGATCAGATTACATAATTGAATTGGTGTTTTCTTAGTATTTGTAGGGCCTCTCACCCACTTTCTGTCTGTTTCTTCCCATTCTTTTTTTACGCAATGTATTTTTTGTGTGCGGGTCTTTAGTATCTTCTGTATGTCCCTTACAAATATATTTCGGCTTCTTCATAGGATTACTATCGCTGTATATCTCATAAAGTTACCTATGGTTATCTTTAAATACCGCAGCCTGCGGAACACACTTACCAGCAGCATCGTCCCTTGCAGAGACCTGAATTCATTACTATAGATCTAGAAAGTAAATAAGCTTTATACTGCCAAAGGTCCTTGTGTGGCCCTTATTTGAAATGTATGCAATGACAATTTTAATTCTATTAGACATTTTCAATCCAATTATCATTTACACGTCGTCATGCTAAATCTTCCAGCGGAAGTGGATCAATGTTCGAAACTAGTGCTCGGCTATTTGTTGCTTTTTAGATGTACCATCATCTACTCTCCTAGTCCAAGGGTTTAATTCTCTGAGATGGATTCTGCTATCTACAAAGTTGTGAGTTCAACTCTCATTGTTATTGGATTTTTTATAACAGCAAATGATAAGACGGCCAACATGTGGTTTAAGAACGTGGTTTGTTTAAACTACGGAGATCTGTATGAAAGAGAATTATGCGAGAATCATTAATAGAACCAGGATATTCTAGCTTTCCACCGATACTTCCGGCGTGCGAGTGTGAGATCGCGCTGAAGAACTTCTGTACCGCCAGCCCTGACTAGAAGGCCTTCGTAACTGGACTCAAGTAAATCCACTACATTGGCTGGGCGGGTCCACGTGGCCCACTGCTCCCAGCGCGGTCCCATGACTACATATACATATGGCGGCGGATCCTCACCCCACATCCTTAGCTTTTTATTGCATTTCTCCTCTTGCTGTTCCTCAAAGGTGTGCAAAAGGGAGTTAGCATACGGATCTAGCAATGTCATTCGACGAAATTTCATAGGCCGGAAAAGGTTCCTGTCAGGCTCTGATTGCGGGAATTCTCTGCCCGTAGAGAATGGATCTCTCCCTTTCTGCACTACATCCAGGTTATTCAGACCGTCACGGGAACGTGGAGCGTCAAGCTTCGATAGTGTGGAGGAACGGGTTCTCTTCATGTCGTCGGTGCCGTCTATCTTGTGGAGTTTCTCCTCCATCATCGTAAGACCATCGCAGTAGAGGTCTATTATAGATGCTGCACGATAGGATCTGAGGCTTACATTATCGCTGGAAGTCGTCTTATTTGTGGTGCAGCGCTTGAGTCCTATTATATCGTGACTAAAGTCTACAGTGACGTCCGGTGCCGGTCCTGTAGTATGTTTTGGAGTGTCCCAGTCGCCCTTCCCCGGAATTGGCGGTGCACTATAGGAATGATTGGATGATGAATGTGGTGCAATAAAGATGACATCCCCGGAGCTCCCTTCAGACCGGTGATCCGTGATATTCCCCACTGTTATGGAGCCGTGACTGATCATCTCTAAGCCCCGCGAGAAGAGTCAACGATTGTTCCGTCCTTGCAGATAAACTACCTGCGATAGCTCTGTCACTATGTCAGCTCCTGTGCATCCGGTATCTTTGGACAACTGAGGAGGCTTTTACAGGTTCACGGCGGTCATCGTCATATCAATCGTCAATTTGTACCCCGCAAGACTAGTCCTAAGCTCCCCGACCTCCTCCTCTCCAAGCACAAACCGCGACTGCTTCTACACGCTCCGCCAAAGGCCCTCTCCTGGTTGCTTGGCGTGCACACACAAAATCTCCTCGAAATTCTTAAAGTCCACCATGATTGAGTCGAGAAGATCCAGAAGCAGGTCAGCTGGAAACTGTGGATAGGCCGAGAGGTCATGGTCTCGGAATATCGTTTCGAGATAGCCCAGCGCTTTGCAGAGTGTTTCCAGCTCCCTGCTGAGAGAAACGACCGTCTGGGGAACAGATCCTACACGGTTAATAGTTGTGTAGAGCATGCGGGAAAGCTTGGCGCCGACAGCAACAACACCTGCAACAGATGCTAAGACGGAGAGTGGATCAGACATCGTGAGCAGGTCTGCCGAGGAGATTTCGGGAGCGCCGTGGCTATGATAGTCGAAGGTTCAATGCGCACGTCAGGAGGACTGAGCCTCGCTCGCCATTGCATTGAGTTGGCAATCAATGCCAAGATATCTGATTAATAACCGAAACCCTAACCCCGCATTGCATCTACTCTCAATGTCAAATTAACAAACGAAATAAACAAATTGACTAACAGGGTACAACTGGATGACGAGGGGTGCTCATTACGTGCGAAGAACGGTGTCGATAAACCGACAATCCGCGCCAATAGCCCAGACGAAAAAACGACTTATTAGACACATATAACTAATGTGGTTTTGGAAGCAATTAAATATATATTCTAGTAGAATACCTGCTTCCAAGCGGATAAATTGTGAAAAACACTGGTTTTGGGCAGGCGATTTTTGTAGACCTATCCACTCCTTCAATAAAACAAAATAGGGAAACAGGGAATTAAAGGGGATCTGTACTCCTGGTGATTACCTACAAATCCTATTTCTTGGAATTAATTTCGATTTTCTTACTTTGGATGACAAGGTAGATCAGGCGCGGGGGAGTTTCTGCGAGGGAAATACTGCAGGTTTATCGTGACCAGCACCACAGAAGTATATATTCCTCGGATTCCAACCCCCGTATATACTAGAGCTATGGCAGGCCTGCCCATCCCGACTAAGCGGAGGTATCAACCATAAACAGCGGGAAATATGTAACAAGTACAAAAGAAATATTTCGCCCGCGAATGATTCCTCCATCCCTATATACTTAAATACTTTACACATACTCTGCACAATCCCCGTCCTCCGGTGGATAGGCTCATCTGTTAATTCCACGCTTCTTGTCTCAGCGTATAAGAATAACTCTCTCTTCCCGTCCTATCTGTCCTCCTCGTCACAATATACGGTCCATCCGTGCTCTCCTCAACCATATACCCTCTCGCTGCACCCGACGGCGGTGCTGTCACAGCCCTATTCAATCTCGGCTTCGTTCTCTGCTTCGGCTTATCCCGGGGAGCCGTACCTATACGCTGACGTGTCGCGCCCTCTGTATTAAGGTCATAGTTCAAGACCGCCGTCCTCGACACCTTACCCGTGGTCGAAAACGTATCAATATTCTTCCTCGACCTCAGAACCCCTGGTGGAGGCCACCTAAAGCTTATCCCCTCCTCCGCCAGCTCGCTAAGCAGTCGCTCCCAGTTCCAGGGTGCGGGGCTACGTTTAGGCTTTATTGTGGTAGCGTCTTCGCGGTCGCTGAGGCGGTCTGACTCCTCGCGCTCCAGAGAGGCGATGCTGTCGCAGTAGAGGTCGATGATTGAGCTTGCGCGGTACGAAATTACGCTTCGAGAGGTGCGGGTTGTACAGGTAGTGCGGGCAGTGCGGACTGTGGCGGTCCGGAAGAGGGTGGTGAGGGTGCGGGTGGAGGTTGTGCTCATGATTGAGGCGGGTCGTGACGTTGCGCTGTGGGAGGTGTGCGAGAGGTCGGTGGTGGAGGATGAGGGGTGGAGGGGCATGTCGCCAAGGGTCGAGCCGGGAGTGTGGTCGGGGGTAAGTGAGGCGGAGGTGTGGCCGAGCATGAGCTTACACGCCACGATCTCGTCCCTCAGTTCCGCAAGGAGAAGCCGCGACTGTTCGATTTTTGCGGAAGACGTGCCCGCGATAGCGCTATCCGAACGTCAGCTCACAAAACATTACCACCGCTAACCACCCCCAAAACCAAACCTACAGGTTCACCGCCGTCATCGTCATATCCATCGTCAGCTTATACGCGGCAATGCCATTCTTCAACTCCTTAATCTCCTCCTCCTTCAACGTCAGACGATACCCCTTCCACAGACTGCGCCATCACCCATCGGCAGCCTTCCCCCTGTGTCCCGCGAGAAAATTGTGGAAGGCGTCAAAGTCTGCCATGATTGAGCACAACAGCTCGGCCAGCTGGACGGCGGGGAACTGTGGGAATGAGGTGATGTTGTGCAGCCTGAAGAGCTGCTCGAGGTAGCTGAGCGCTTTGCAGAGAGAGTCGAACTCACGGCTGAGGCAGACGGGCGTTTGTGGCGCGGTGCGGATTGAGTCGATGGTGGTGTAGAGGGTGTGGGAGACTTTGAGGCCGGCGGCGGCGGCGGCGGCGAGGGAGGCGAGGACGGAGAGGGGGCCGGATATTGTGGGGTCTGTGGAGGGGAAGAGGAGGAGAGGAGGGGGTGTGTCAGAGGTGGTGTTTACTGCGCACTAAAAATGATAGTTAGGCATGTAGCTGTGGCTACTCTGAGTTGTCATGGGTGCCAAGCATCGCGGGGATGTGTGCCGATTGGCTGCATTGCATCTGCAGATTTATGTAGAGTAGGTAAAGCCGACTGTACTACGTTACCGAATGACCATGTTGGTAATCGAAGTCTCTTTTTTTTTTTTTTTTTCTTTTTAGTTCATCAATTGCATGCAACCTTACAGTTATGGCGGTGTCGCACTAAGCCCCTGAACTTCCCATCTGCCTCCGCCGCCACTCACAAAACCAAACTTTCAAAATAAAAAGCATAATCAAAGTCTCGATATCTAAGAAGTGATAGATCAAAATCTAAAAATAAATATAATTATATATATATTAATAATAATAGTCGGGGCCGTTCCAAATCTGACCTTGGACTGGACCGGATTGGCTTGAATGTGCACTAACTATTAGAATAACTTGAGAAAGAAAAGCCATGAATAATTGATATAGTGGAATATGTTAGGTGCTCTGATCCAGCCAGTGACGGCTCTTATCCAGGGACGTCCCTGGTTGGTATGCACCAGTCATGGACGTTGTGGCACATAGCTGTGGCGAAGCCACTAAATAAGACTAGAAGCAACGTAATCGGAGACAGGACGCCTAGACTAGAAACTCAACCTCATAATATGATCAGTTGTCTCTCTTGTTCATATCGATTCTGAATTGTGATCGATCTGAATGAGACTCTAGTGAATACAGAAAACAGCCTGCAACGTCACCGGGTAGAGTAGAGCAAGCAGATGTCGCTGTATGGTACGAGCTAAGTATATAGCCAGGGACGTCCACGGTTAGTACAAGGAAGTAATAGCAGAACCAGTGGGGAAGTTCAGGTGAATCGAAGTTGTGACCTCCAGCTGAGTGCTCGCACTACAACCCACCAGGCACTATAATCTCCTATTATGTACATGCTGGATTAACGATTTTTCTGAGGGTCTTGCAGTCTGATTGGTCGAGAGCGAGGAACCCTAATCCTGCATAGCAACCGGCTTACCCACCAAAAATTAGGAACATGCATGACACTGGCATGCCCGGTATTAATTTAGTATGATGAGGGGATCAATTATACTACGGCCGTACGGGAAATGGAGCTGAAAGTAAGAGGGAGGAAGTACTGGAGGTGGAAAGTAGAATAGAACGATGGCTTGAATTGACTGAGAGCATCAATCACTATTATTACCTGGGAACCGTAACTATCTAATAAGTATATAGATATAACCTGCATATGCATGTACTCTTATAAGCTTTTGATTGGTGGAATCCGAGGTTTTCTGTTTCACTTCTAAGATTAGTCAGCATCAGTAAATTAGTTTTTTTTTTTTTTTGGATTCCCGAGTTGGTTCTTGAGGACTTTCTTTTTTGTTTACTGAGTTGGTTCTTGTGGAGTTTCTTTTTTGATTCCCGAGTTGGTTTTAGAGGTGTTTCTTTTTTGATTGCCTAGTTGGTACTCAAGGGGTTCCTTTTTTGAGGTACTAGTTGGTTCTCGAGTGTTCTTGTATTGATGCCCGAGTTGGTTTTTGAGCAGTTCCCTTCTTTTGGTTCCTGAGGATTATTTTTAGTAGCACGATATTAATTTTCACTGATGTCACGGGGCGTGTCCGGGACTTGGTTTGGGACATGAGCGATGATGAGAATGAGTTAGACGGAGGTGCCTCTGACTGTACCAAGGGATACAATTATTAAGATAAGACTTGGGCTGCTGGTGGTTAGGAAGTCGATATAGAGTTGTCTTCTAGGAATGAGAATAGCTACGCACAGGCCGAGACGAGAGCAGAAAGGGGAGAGATGGAGTGCAAGTGTATCGTGTACTGTCCTATGGAATTAAGTATCAAACTGTCATGGAGATAGACAAACATAAGCGGAGATGAGAGACAGATTTGGAGGAAGAGATTGGAACAGAGGACAGGAGACAAAGATTACTTGATGTAGATACAGATCAGTGGGTATTGACCATCGAGACTGTTACGGTATGAGTCGGAATAAGGATGGGAACAGAGGTCAGGGGTCTAACGGGCAGGGCGGGGGCAAGGATCAACTCGGGATACGTTCGAGTTCGAGCTGAGCATGGCTGGGGGAAAACTAGGACTTGAATGTCGAGATGGTCTCACTCGATCCGTGGATTGGGCTGGACTAGTACGTTCGGAAACAACAGAATAGTCTCAAACGAGGAAAGACAATAGTATTGTTCTAACAAGTATAGGAATAAAAAGAAGATGTTGCATAAAGAAGAAAGAAAGGAAAGCTACAAGAGCGGAGGGCGAGCCTCCTATATAAATACCCAAGAAATCCTGATGACTAATCAGTATAACTCGAACCAAAAAAAAAAAAAAAAAAAAAAACAGAAACCAAATACGAAATCCGAAACTTCTTTACGCATAACAACACAAAATCAGCCTAGCGCTTACAACCAATCCCTGACCGTAATCCAAAAATAGTAAACAACACCGAAGCCACACTGATCCTTCAACTAACAATACAATTCTGAAGCTGCCTCACTGGTAAGCGAGGTAGAGGTGGTCGGGCTGTGTTAAGGGGTTACGTAAGAGATTATGTAACGGAGCGGTATCGGGGAATCAAGGAGCACAACCGAGGTACAAGGTAGGGACTGTGATGAAAACGAGGATGGGATCAGGACTTGGTCCAAGACGTAAAAGCGAGATTCGCTTCGATGTCGAGAGTTTACGGAGGGGGCAGACTCGATACCGTTCAGTCAGGGAGGAGGTGGTCAGGCTGGTATAATCTACTAGAAGAGGTTAAGGTTATACGAATGAATATATTCAGAGACAATGAACACAATAAGAACCCAAGCTGATGGCAAGGGTGAGAATAAGAGCAATGCGTAAAGAAGAAAGAAAGAAAAAGAAACATGGAAGTACAAGACCCATATATATATACTGCTGATCCTTCGCTGAGGATGACTCACAAACCCATGTAACGTAAACCCATAGAAACCTAATAACTAACACTAAAGAAAATCCAAACAATAAATATTAACACATGAAACCCAAAACCGACTTTACTTCTTTACGCTGACAAAATTGAAACCGAAATACGCCGTGATAGAGGCAAATAAATCAGAAAAGTTGAGGAGAGTACGATGTATCAGGCTGAGACAGGGTTGTAGTCTAGGGGAAGTGGACTTTACGAAGAACCTTGCATGTTCAGGAAGCCTAAACTAGGCAATGAGGTTCTTTAGAACTGGAGTTCGAGGCCGAAGAGTATATAGAACCAAAACTAGAGAAGTAGAAACAAGAGTTTGCGTAAAGGAAAGAAGGGAAGAAAACCAAAACAGAAGCAGAACAAGACTCGCTTATATACAAGAAACAAAAACGTCAGAACAGATGCTTAGAGAAACCAAAAGAACAAAATTTACTAAGCCAGAGAACTGGCAAACAGGATTGGTGCACAACATATCTATAATGGGAAAGACAAGAACATGAAATAAGGGAACTAAAACAAGCTGGCAAATAAGAATACAGATAACAGGACGGAAACTGAATCAGCGTAAAGCCAGAACTGTAAAATGCCGAAGCCAGCCAGAAGGACTTTCATTCAAAGATCGAGCCAATTCTACTGTGAGCCTATGGTTGAATTGTCTATCAGCAACTCGAGAATCAGGGATCAGGCAGAGAGAGCTCAAATCAGAGTTTCGGGAATCAGGGAACCAGGAGCGAGCCAAAATAGGAATAACATCAGTGTCGAGCCAACTTTTGTGAATATATGGTTGAATGGTCTATCAGGTATACGGGGGTCAGGGACAAACTAGGGCCAGGGCATATCGGGGGAATAGGATTGTGTATTAAGACGCCTTGATACTGAGATACATTGTGATAGCCGGAAGCCGGTGTAATAGGGGTCTCTCGTAAGAACAATAGACTAGGGTAGAATAAAGACGGCCGTACAAGATAGACAATCAGGTTGCAGATTATTCAAAGATTCTATCACTAGAACTCAATAATCTTTAAGGACTCTGCGAGTGAGAAGGACTTGGTTTTTTTCTTCTGATGAAGACTGGAGCGAAAAGGACTATAGGGCGGGAATGAGCCTGAGTACTTATACTCCAAAGGCCTCTTTTCTCTGCTCCCAACTCCTTACTAAGTTCCTGTAACGGGGGTCCTTTCTAAGAGAAATAGAATAGGGTAGAATAGAGACGGCCGTGCAAGATAGACAATCAGGTTGCAGATTATTCAAAGATACTATCGCTAGAACTCAATAATCTTTAAGGGCTCTGCTACCGATAAGAACTTGGTTTTTCTTTTCTGATGAAGACCGGAGAGAACAGGACTGAAGGGCGAGAATGAACCTGAGTACTTATACTCCGAAGGCCTCTATTCTCTGCTCCTAACTCCTTACTAAGTTCCGGTGGGCCTTCCCTCAGTACCGGAAACAATACCACCGCTACCCCGCTTTTCTCTAAGCATCAGCAGGTGTTTCCGATACCCAAGGCAACCACCCTTAGTCAAAGCCTTTGTAACACCTGCAGCCTTGGTTGCCACACAACCGAGGACCTGCACGAATGAGCTGCCGCTCAGATGTAAGCTTAATCATTGCTGTAGAGCTTTCGCTTATTGTAGACTTCCCTAGCATAGTCCCTGCCCTTCGGCGGACTTACAATGCTCAGAGGATACAGAGGATCACCGGGCAATCAGAGCTTCACTCTGGCCGGTCTTCTAGACACTGGCGAGGCATAGACTCGTCAGTCATTGCTTCCCATGAATAGATCCTCTTCCTAGCGCCCGGAATGTAGTTACTCTAACAGCTGGTAGCTAGCCACACTGCCGGTACTTGCATATCACCGTGCAACTGGCTTCTAACAATAACTCTCAGCATGTAACCGGGCCCTGTGTGTACTCATACACCAGACAGTTGAAATGGCTCCGTTACACCACTCCCCTCTTCCAGGATCTTGGTCTCCGAGATCTATAACCATTCTATTACCATCCATTCTATATGACAAGAAACTCCGTGATATGCAAGGAAATGAAAATCCAAAGGAAAAAATCTACACCCCAACAATCCGCTTGTCCTTGGGTTTCTTAGGATACCTCATATGGAAATCCCGAAGGGCTTCTTCAGCACTCTTCTTGAGATGCTCCCAAGGTTCCCATGTAGCATC